TTTAAAAAAATGTCATGCAATTTTCTGCCAAGCAATAACATAAATCTGGAATTTTTTTCCCGTAATTTTTTTAGATGGAAAATAATATTCTTCTCAAGATTTTTTATATTATTATTTTTGAAAGGAAATCAAAATGTGTCTGATTTTTATTTTATTCAATCATTCTGTTTACACAACTCTAAATACCTGTTATCGCTCTTATACTCGACTAAGCGTTGACTTTCAATGTTACGCGGAAATGGAAGTCTACTGATAGGAATGAGATTTGTTGAAGATGATTTCCTCGTTTCCTGCATTTATAAAATCAAAAAAAAAATCTTTGGTTTGTGATACCATTACTTCATGATTCAAAGGAATCGGAAAAGTATTTACATATATTTATATTCGTTATTTTCTTAATTCATTTAGGTAATCAACTTACAAAATCATTTTCCATCTGATTTATTTTTTCATTTTGAAGGAAATTTTTCTTTGCCTTTTCAACTTTTTGTTCGAGCTTTCTTTGAAGACCTTTACAAGTATTTATGTTTGAAAGCTTTTTATTATGTTCATTTAGGTGATGTGATTTCCTCTGTTGTTCAGTTGACACATGAGATCCTGTCGTAGTGTTATCAACGTTAAACTTTGGAACAAGATTAGGTAATGCTGAACTTTTAAACACTATATCATCAATACTGTCACGATTTGACGTCTTGACGTTTATAATTCTATTGCTTACGTTCACAATGTCTTCACTTGATGAATTTTCACTCTCGACGTTGTTGCTGTTGTAATTTTGCTGTAAAAATAAGTTTTCAAAAAAAATTCGATGATATATTTCCACAAAGTATTAAAAACTTTTCACAAACTGATGGACAAAATTCAAGGATTAGCTTTTCATGATTTTCAACAATTTTTGAATGTTTTTTTCGGAATTAAATATCATTATAATAGATAGAATTGAAAACTTAAAGTAAAGCTTGTTTACCATGAAATTGGCCACACGATCTCCACTATCAAATCCTGAATCTTCCATGTTTCAATTTATTACAGCTATTTTATTTTAAATTATTGTATGTTGTGTTAAACTTCTTTTTTAATTTAAAAACAGAAAATATCGAAGCACCAACTTGTGACAATCGCCATGTTTATATTGATTTTTCATAAACTCTCCAAACGAATATCCGAAGAGACGAGAATTTTCCCGATTTTCCAATGAGCGCTTCACTTACTTTTTCTTTCACATTTTCATTCTCACTCTCTGAATTTAATCTCATTTAATGTTTCGGAGAAACTTATTTATTTTGCCTTGAAGTTAACAAAGGGAAGTCAAAAGATTATCATAGTTTATGGAGGATTTGGTTTATTGACGATTTAGAAATTTTAAGAAAAGTAGATATAAAAATAAAAGTCTTTCTAATGTTTGTCTTCATTGCTTTGGAAGCTTTGCATAAAATTTAATCGTCGTTCAATGTCAAACAGACACCTTGCAATATCCATCGATTCACATGCTCTTCTGTCCCAAGATCAGCTTCAAATACAAGCCCAATACCCATTGCATTCCGACGTTTTGATGTTGTGTAAACAGGCGTCCGAAATGTGTTCTATGAATGATAAAATAAATGAATACAGAAACGAGAACAAGGAAATAAGGAATAAAAAAAATGAATAAATTGCTATTTATATAATCAAAGAAAAATCGAAGGAAAATTCAAATAGATGTATGTACATTTCTTCTTCATCTTCGTAGTGCTCTGAAATCTCTTCTGATAACGTAAACAAAAAAAAACCAGATGAAGAAGAGCGTATTAAGGGAGGAACATTTAAGACATAACAAAGCTAAAACGCATATTGGAATCTGATGAAGACAAGAACTTCTCATTCCATTTCATAGCGATTCATTGATTTAGTGATTTGTCTACATCTCCTTCGCCCCTTACTTTTTTGGTGAATTTATCTAAAACTTACATCTTTCGATTAAAGTTTATGTATCGAACAATATTGCTTGAAGAATAAAGGGACTGTGTATAAGAGAAGCTGAGAAAAGGCTTCTTCTCGATTCTTATTTTTTCCTCATTTTTCTTAACATAAAACAAAGGAAAATTTATCAAGCAAATTGTACTGAAGGATTCTTTTTCCCTCAATTTTTCTCGCTCGCTTTTTAATCAGCGTCTGAAAGAATAAATTTGTTCAGATACTTTCAACTTACTTGTAACTTGAGGCGATGAGCTTCAATCGGTTGAATTGATAAGATTGGTAAAGGCTCAATAAGCACTTTTGGTAATGACTTCTCCAGGCATTTATTCTTAAGATTCCATCTGGCGCCTTCCAAAAACATGCCGTGTGCATAGCAACCCTTTTTATCATTCGAGTATTAAGTTGTTGAAATTACATAACGCGTGTGTGGGCATGTGGAATAAAAAGCATGATTGAAGAGGGAGGAAAAAAGAGTGAGAGAAAGAGAAAAAAATCGGATTTAATAAATTGAAAAATAAATTATCGATGGGGAATAAAAAAAAGCTTTGAATATATTTTCTTCTTTCTAGAAGCTTTTTTTTTTGCTTGCAATAAAAAAATCCGCTCAATTATTTCAATATGGTTTAAGGGTGCTGTTGTACTATGATACCAAAACATTTTTTCTTACGTGAGTCATCGAAGTAGATGAAAGGAAAAGTCTTACATTACTGATTCATGTAACCAGCAAATCAAATGAAAATAGAAATGTGATTTCAACATGATCAAAGATTTTATGTCATAAACAAAACCTCTAGTCGTTTTGTCCTTATTGAATGATTTCAATCAATCAGTCATTCTTTGATGTATATGAATGTTAAAAACTCACCGACTCAGGACGTTCTTCAACATCATCGGGATCGGCAAAGTCTGAGACGATTGTGAAAAGTGTAGAACGATCTAATGGCCAATTGTTTTTACGGCAAGCCATTTGAACGAGGGCTGTGAGAAAGCTTTCTGGGATTGCAAGTCCTGACAACCACATTACTAAAGGTTCGCCAGATGAAGACCAATAACGATATTGAACAGCACGATGGCTTAAGTGATCAAGCCAATTGGGCAACGATTTACATGTTTCAGGTGCTAATCTTCTCCAATCGTTAGGAAGTTGTCCAGTGAACAATGCATTGGAAATTTCTTCAATCGTTAAATCCATTCCAATCTCACCTGCCAAAGCCTTTCTCAAAAGCTTTAATGTACTCAACATTCTTTCGAGAAGCCGATTGAATCGTTCCAGTTCTTGCAACAAAACAATCAATGTTGGTGTAACATTCATTGCAAAAGATTTCTTTATTCGCCAAATTTCAAATGGTGCTGGTAGTTTTTTCAAAATCTCAACTGCAATGTTGTCAATGAATTGATCACGACTTATTCCACCATAGGCAGATCCTGTGAAAAGATTCAAAAATCTTTCTAAGTAAAAGCAGATTTTAAGATATTTTTTAAGATTTTGTTACAAACAAAACTTGGTTATATTTAAAAAGTAAAAAAAAGTGAACACCATAAACAACTTTTCTATTAAAATGTAGCAGTTTGTCGTCACTGTCATCATCATCACTATCATCATCATTAAGTTGTGCAACTGTGTATAAATATCAAATTTACATAAAAATGCAATCAGTTCGATGAATTCAAAACATGAACGGAAGAAGTGCATCATCACTGGTGTGTACACAAAAAAATTTTAGCGCTTTCGACACAAGCATGCGAAATCAGCAAAAAGAAACGAAATAGAAAAAAATCAAAATGAAACGAGGAATAAAACAATAATTCGTTGTCGACAACTTACCTGTACAAATCCATCTTCCAACTTTTTGTTTGCATTAAAAATATAAATCATCATTTCATAAATCTAATGGCCTGGCTAAGATTTATATATTTTTAAAACACATACATAAACACTCATCCATATGTAAACACATACACACATATTGTTAATGGAATTTTCAATTTTCACAGTAAACATAAAAGTATGCAAAAGCTTTAAATTTCTTTACGAGATGAAATTTTACATTTCTAATGACTCCAGCAATTGGTGATAAATAATTTTTGATGACATAGAAACTTTGTCAGTTAGGAAGCAACGTTCATTCGAAAACGACTCTCTTCGATATTGAATTCCAATTTATGTATGAAAATGGAAATTCATTACATTAGAATAAAAATCGATGCTTATTGAAACTTTTTCCTCATCTCAACTTTTGACCACTTTCATCGTACAAGAATAAAATTCCTGATGGATTTCTTTTCCATTTAATTGAAATTTTAAAGAAAGCCAAGAAACCCATCTATGAAAAGTTTTCAAAAGCAGCTTAGGATATTTTCAAACTTTTCGCTCATACATAACTTCAGAACAATTGATGGAGTAGAAATGGAAGAATTAAAAACGTACCTGTTTGTGGTTGTAATTCAATTAAATGATTCCATATTTGTCGTGTCGCTTCGCCATAGTAGTTGATTTCAGCATTCGGATGCAAACCAAATACTTCCGGTGTATTTGCGAAAGGTAATGAATCGGTTGCATCTGTTGTTGTACCAATCAAGTATAGGTAGAACAAAAATTGAAACTTTAGCAAAAAAGTAACATTTAGAAGCATAGTGTAACTCACCAATAAACTCTTCTCGTTGTTGAGCGATGGGTATTCGATAGTCAACACTGTCATCATGATAAAAATGAAAGGGTTGAAATGTGTCAAACAGAAAATCGCCCATATATTCATCCATGTAAACACGTACGATGCGTCTATCGAAATCATCAATTACGCGTCCACCATACATGACCTGAAAGAATAAAAATAAAAAAAAGGAAACATAGAATGAGAAGTATCGACATTAGCTACATAGATTGAAGCTTTTTTTCCCTCTTTCATCCTTCATTTTCCACACACAACTGATATCTACTTATGTACGTATCTACACAGGAATTTGAGAAAAATTATGTGTGATCACATTTCAAATGCTAGCAGTGACTGAGCACCAGATATGGTGGTAAATGGAGAAGATGTGGGTAAAGATAACATGCACTCAGTCAATCGAGGTCGAGTCAGAAAAGCAGAAGCAAAAAAAAGGAATCAAAGAAAAACATAAATTCTTTCAACTATGTGTTGTTTGATATTAATCAAATAGACGACATTTGAAAACCAGAGAAGCAAAAGACGAAAAAGCATTCTTCGACACTATATAAATGTGTGTGTTTACGTATTTACGAAAATATTTTCAAAGTACAATTTTAATGGTGGGAGAGCATAGAAAAATATGTTCAATAAATCAAACACAAAAGCTAAAAGAAGACAATGGATGAGTGGGTCTTATCCAATAGTTATGTTTGTACATTCTCCATTTATTTTGAGCAATGTAATCTTTTTATTATTAAATGAAATGACGAAATAAAGTAATCTATTGAACATACCTCGCCGATTAAATATTTCAAGCTGTTCCAGGGGATTTTTTCTGTTCTTGTAAGATATGTGTTCAATATCTCCATGCACACATTGAAATCTGATTCATTAAAGTCATAAATGATGTTAAAACCCAATCTGCCATATTTCCGACGTTCAAGTACAACAGCGTGAAAAAAGGCGAGAACATAAACAAGCGACTTAAATGCTTTATGACTACAACATTCCAAAGTTTCCTTTTGCATTCGAAAGAAAGTGGAGCGTAGATTCAATTTCAGACCATTAGGGGGTTCCGTCACAATTTTCAAAGACTTTTGAAGCATGCCAATTGGAAATGTAGGCGTCGGGTCGGTTGTTATCCATAAGCGGAAGTCAGGATGGAAATTGGAGCCAACATTTTCAAGAACTTTCTCCAGATTTTTTATAAATTTTATCAGTAAATGTCCGTTCTGAAGTAGCAACCAGCTTCCTTCTTTAAGTGCTTCTTCCAAAAGTCTCGTTGCAATCACCTCCTGACCTTGACCAAGTGAAATGTATTTAAAGCTTTCCAACATGTTTCTTTCATCCGCTAGTTTCATCAACTCTTCCGTAGGATCTGATCCTGAACTCAGCATGAATATGATTGGAGTTTCGGGTACGGTGTCTTCATATAGTGTCTTAAAATTAACGACCGGGGGTGTTACAAATTCTTCTCCCATGATTTCAGTCACGTAAGAGTTTATGGCAAGGTAGATTCTATCTTGACGGAAACAGCGAAGCAACATAATCTTACTAAATGACGACAACCCTTTGGTGAAATTTCCAGGACATTCAACACGTTCAGGTGCGTCCAAGTCATACCAAATTTTCCATTCCTCGTGGTTATCACAAAAGTGATCTGGAAGGGAACCGAAATCATCAGGAAAATCCTTTGAAAGCTGTAGCAAATCTTGCCAGCCTTTATCGTTCAACCATTTCACTGGGCAAACTTTTTCACTTTTTTCCAACGTCACTGAACCTTTAATGAAGAAATCAATTTCTTGTTGCGTCAATTTCCCAACACTTTGTTGTAATTTTGCTGTCAGTTGAAAGGAATATAAAAGTTTATGCTTTTCGAAGATTCCTTTGCATCCATAATCGTAGACGTTCTTAGTTAACGTCGTTAAAATGTTGAAAAGTCTCTGTTCAAGTTCAAAGTCAGGCAATGCCTTACGTAAAGCCATCTTAAAAACTATAAGATAAGATGCAAGTGAATATTGGTACATTGGGCTTATCACACCTAAATCTGCGAGAACAAAGAACAAATGTGCGCCACGTTGTGACACCGGACGATATTCGCTTCGAGTCATGTCAATGTCAAGTGATGTTGCCGCTGCCAGTTCCAATTTTCCAGCCACTTCAGCTGCTTTCAATTTTGAATTTTCAAGTGTGTGAATTAAATCTTCATTGTCCAACATGTTACCGGTGGAATTCGACAATTCACGCAAAAGCGAATTTTCAAGAGTCGACAAAAGACTTTTGTTTATGCTCGTCTCTTCAATGAGCATCTCTCTCTGTTCTTCCAAATCGGGTCGCTCTTCTCGCACCACGACACTCAGTAATTGATCAACAAGACCGTCAACAGTGACTGCGTAATTAATCACCAACGCTTTTGCATAAACTGACGGATCAAGTGATGGATTTGCTATTTTCGTTGTCAAATATAATCGGAAGTTATCATCAACATCGACTTCTTTGTCACCTAACAATACAAATCTTTGTCCCGAAACGATGCGAAAATTTTTCTCCAAAATATTGCCAATTACTGGATCGATGTAGTCATCAACGTCTTGAAACAACACTGGAGTTCCAAACTTCATAGCTAATTCAAGATGCTTCAAAAAATCGGAGTCATTAAACGATAAAACTTTTAAATTATTGTGAAATTCCCGTTTCTTTATCCATGTCAAAGCTTGTTGTTGTGGATCAATGCATAGAGAGAATCGTGATGAGCGTGTCGTTAGAATCCCATTTTGAACGGATAATTCATCAGGCGGAAGTCCTTCGGACGACCATGTGCTGATCTCGACGTTATTTGATAAGCTCTCTTCAATATGATATGGTGTTGTAACAGGAACCCCGTGACTTATCAGATCATCAAGCCAATCCTTAATCATGACTTTGCGGAAATCCCATGAAAAAGGTCCCGCATAAGCCATAAATGACGCTGACAATAAGCACGTCCCGATGATATTTTCTTTATCAACGTTCAGAATTTTCAATTCTTCCGACCATCGAATCTTCTCTGAAAGTAAACCAGTAACTAGGCGATCCGCTGCATTTAAACGCTTCTCTGACACTTCAAGTTGGTCGCTGAACTTTTGTCTCAACGCCAGTGACTCTTTATACTTCGTGTTAAGTCCATCAAGTTCCTTTTCTAAACTCTCAACTTCAAGTCGCAGATACTCGAGAATTTTTGCTTTCTCTTCCAAATCATTTTGCAAAAACTCAACGCGATCTTGTTTCGGTTTGACTATTCGATAAGTGTCACAATACTTCAAGACAGCTTGAACAAATTTCAAAAGACCATAACCAGCCTTTGAAATTGTTTTCATTTCATCCATTTTTGTTGTCTTCTGTTTGATGTGAATAAATAAAAAATAATATTTCAAAGTAAGTGCATGTTTAAAGATAAAAGCGAATATGTGACAAACCTTCATATGTGCTCGACAACTTGTAACTTGTTTTACGGTTATTAGATCACAATTCATTTCCTGAAGACTCTTTAAAAAGTTTGTTTCGGCCAACATTCCTTTTGCCGTCTTCCATGAAATATCTTTCAGACCTTTAAGAATGGCAACACATTCGCAAATGATTTGAACGGGCTCAGGTGGATTGGCAAAAGAACGAATTTCCGTAATATCTTTCTTTTGAAGCGTATCAAGTGCAGTGCGAGCATTTTCAAGATCGGGTAACGCTTGACGAAGTGCTTCTTCAGCTTCTTCCTGCTCCACTGTAATTTGCTTGCGATTTAGTTCCACTTCAGTTGATTTTTCTGTTGCTTCCTTTTTCTTTTTCATGACTTTTTCCGTGGCTGTAGAAAGAAAGAAGGAAAAAGAAAAGAAAATATAATTGTTGTTATATCAGAAAAATAATGAAGCGAAGAAAAAAGTAGAATTCTTACAGCTCTCAATGTCGTACACAACATCATTGCATACTTTAGCTGCCTTCGTTGCTTCCGTTTTGGTTTTCTCAACTTCAACTCGCAACAAATCAATCTGAGATGATGCATCTTCAATCTTTCTAACGCCGTCAGAGTAACGTGACATTTGTTTCGTGATATATGAGATTTTTTCATCCAACAGACGAACATAAGTGGTGACATAATCAAGATAATGTTTCGGTGTAACATAATTTCTTCGTCGAAGAATAGTTGCGTATTCTTGAGTATAATGTCTCAATGATTCATGCACATGAACGACATGATCATTGATTGGCTCTTTATAAATGTCAGGGATTTTTCGATTCTCTGAAATATATCCTCGTGCGACAGATTTTAAGGCTTGCTTTGGCCATGGGAAAATCCAATCGATTGTCGTATTACCAACAAGACCAGGAAAGCTACGGCAACGATTACGCAATGAATCCCCCGAGGGCGACATCGATAAGACCACATGCAAATTCTCCGAACATTTGTCTGTGAAATATTTCCAAACACTGTCTCTGCAAACGAAAACGGAGAAGAATTTGTAATAAATTACGCAAAATGTTTGAGATGCGCCCACAGTAGCAAAAGCAGCAACTGCAGCAGCCGGAAACTCACTTTGAAACGGAATATCCAGCTTCTTTTGCAGCATCCCGGCAATTACCAATTATCGTATCTTTCTCCTCGTCAGTAAATAGCGCTGGCACTGTTCCAATGGTGAGAATATTATTTATGAACTCCAGAAATCCTTCTTCCGCAATCTTTGCAAGCGTTTTGTTTTGGTTGTGATGTCGAGTTGAGGCGAGGCAAGGCGAGTTGGTGGAAATTGAAATGAAAATTAAACGAGAAATGTGTTTATTAAATTTTCTTTTCATTTTTCATCTTTTTCTTTTTGCTGCTTCGGCATAATTTTTATGATATATTCAGAAGTCCAAACTTCAAGTAGCTAAAGCAACCAACAGACAGACAGACAATTGTCTGAGCGAATTTCTCTTTGCGTGACCACAAATTTCAGTGTCGGATTGCATGAAGCATAAAAAAAAGGAAATGAAGAAGAAGAAAGAAAGAAAACAAATCGTCGGGTTCGTTAATGAGAAGTCAAATTTTCAGCTTCATTTTCTTTTCTGAGATGATTCATGATGCAGTGGAATAAAATTATGTGAAAATTATTACTCAAGCTTTGCATGTGTTCAGTGTGGTGCTTTAAGAGAACAGAACAAAAATTTCATTACTCACTTGTGCTGACGAAAACAGGAAGATTGTTGACTTCGTCATTAAATTGTTGAAAAGAATTTTTAAATCTTCTTTGAATGATGTTTCATTGTAACCACGACTCAGCTTTATTTCAAATACTTCACAGCGTGCTGCAAAAGCAGCCAATCGTGCTACGCTATGTTTTCCACATCCACCTACACCAATCAACATCACATGGCCTCTGAAAAATTTAAGTGGAGGGATAATTAAATTCTTGATATTTTTTGTAAATGAAATAAACAAACTTGTGAATTCTCAGCACACGGTGAACTCTCGTTAAATGATCAAGACAATCATCAAATAACACCAAATCCATATTTCCATGACGATCATTGTATTCATCCATAATCTCACGAAAGAGATGCATAACAGCTGTGAAATCTAAGAGATCTTCGTAAATTCTCGCCTCGTCATCGACCACACCATGTCGATAATCACCAAATAATAACGGATCTCGCATTATAAATTGATCTGCTGGCATATCTGATAATGAATCCTTCTTCTCAACTTTTTCAGCACGGAAGGAAATTGTTGTTGGTCGTGATCGTTGTGCTGGCTTTTGAAAGTTTTTCTGTACCAATTCATTCATTCGATTATGTAGCAAAGCGATATCGTCTTCAAATATTAATCGATCGCAAAACACTCGCGTAAATTCATTGCGCCAAACTCGGGCTAATTGACGTGGCTCTTCAAAATTTTGAGGCTGAATCATGGATATTCCACCATAAATACGCGATAAATCTTTTAAGTTGAAGATGTAATGGAATTTTGATGGTGTGGGTGGTAACTCAATTGTGGCAATTTTAAACAAGTCCAAAGTCATTTCAACAATAACATCAGCAACAGCTTGAACAGTATTGGCGAATTTCAGCAAATGACCCTTCAAAATACTTCCGTAAATATGCTTTAACGTCGAATTGAGAGGAAATTGTAAATTGAAAACGGCAAATTTCGATATGAAGCGTGGATCTACTTCGTTACGTCCTCCACCAGCTTTCCCCATTGCCGTAATGAACGCTGAATGTAGATGAAAAGATAAATGTTAATGTCATTGAATGGAAAGAATATATACATAAGCATAGCATGGAAATAATTTATGAAATGATTTCTTTTGCCACCGAAAAAGAAAAAATTAAATATTGGAGTGAACGAATGTCAAAGACTCAAACGAAGCTTTTGCTTTTTCCTTCTTTTTAGCTTTCATCAGCATAAGTAAATAATTTATGATTTCTACTTACACACATCACGAAAGAACTTCCAATTCAGATCTTTTCCACGGTCGTACATTCCGCCACATTCAACAAAAAGCTTCAACAAAGCAATGGGCTGTTGAGTGCCATAGTTATCCACTTTAGGCATGTTCATATCATCGACAAATGCAATTAGCTTTTTACCAACAGGTGGACCAAAAACGTTTTTTGTTCTCTTCTCAACGGCGGCTTCAATTGTCCTTTGCACATCCAACGATGTTGTTCGCGATGAAAAATTTATATTTAATACAATCTGTTTTGATGGATGAATAAAGTAAAAATTGTGTGAGGTGATGAATGAGATTTTTATTTTTTTTCTTTTCTTTTAGTTCTGCTCTGTTCTGTTGGTTTAACATCAACCACTTTTTGCATCAACAACAAAATGAATTTGAAAAACTTCAACTTTTTCCTGCTTACTCAACACAAATTCCATTATCAAATTCTTCCGTTCTAAGGATGAAGATTAACTTTCGCTCGAGATTCCGAGACAACAAGCCGAAACGAGAAATGGAGAAAAAACAGATATTTATGTAATTAAGTTGTGAGGTTTTTCTTTCTTTACATTTTACATATACATATTTATGTCGAAAGTGGTTAATGGGTCAACAGAAGTGGAATAAAATTGAATTATCATTTATTTTTCCTCTTTCATTCTTTCCATACTCACATAACGATCTGGATTAATGTTTCTGAGAAAGTTTGATATAATTGCGGTTTTTGATGTGCCGGTTTCACCAACCAAAACTACCGGATGCTTTAACTAGTTGTGTGAAAAAAAAGAAGGAAAAAAGCAAACATGAAAAAATGAGAACGACGAGGAGAGTCACACAGAATCAAACCTCGTTCATTAAACTAAGAATCCAATTAGTCCTCAAAGTGTCAACAGTTGGTACGAGAATGTCACTAAACTTTATCGTAGGATTGTGAATGTATTCAGGAACCAACCAATCCCAAGCAATCCACTCTCTGCGTTCAAGATCAAAGAAATATTCATATAAAGTCTCTTTCGAACTTGGACATTGCGTTGTATTCGCTGGTTTGTCAATGGAATCTTGAACTGTCATAAGAGGATTTAATTTTTTCATGAATATGTCGAAACGCGTTCGACTATCATCAATAAGAGAAGCTCCAAAGGAACAATAAAGACTCTCTACAAAAGCACATTCTATCACTTCATCATCGTAAATGATTTTATCGTTTTCCGTGTGCGGCAAAATTGCATCTAACATTTTGCACAATTGTGTCAGCATGTTGAGTTCACTTTGCATTACAATCGTCTTTAGAGGTTCGAAAGTTTGGCTCGTTCCATCGATTCCTTCGTGTACAAATTCCATCAGTTCTGGCACGAGACGCTCATACAAATCATGAAATTTTTCACGTTCGTGTTCTCGTCGAGTGCCGATATATCGTTGCCAATATGGCTCATATCCCAAGTTTTTGGGATCCACATAGACCATTCCAGCACGACTGACGGTGGCAGGCGAAGCATATTCAAGATTACCGACTTCAAACAGAAGTGCACAACGAGGATCAAGACGAATTCTTTCACCATTTGCTAGTGTCAAAAGCCTATTGTCATCCATCACTGAATTCATATTTTCAATCCATAAGGCATCAACATCACCATCAAAGCACACGTAGCTTCGCACGTTCACATCATCGCCAGTATTTCTATTCATTTCTCGAAAGATGTTGGAAAACAATCCATCAAGCCAGTCTCGACTTTCCAAGTCGAGATAACCGTACAATTCGATTACGGAACATGCCTGGAATTAAGGAAGCATTGAGAATGTCGAATAAAAAGTTTTGAATTTCACTTCACGATAGAAGCACAAGCAGTGCCGTCGTCGAGGGAGTTGAAGAACCAATGAAAAGAAATTTGAGACATTTTTACGATTTGAAAGAAATATAAAAATGAAAGAAGCAACGAGAGAGGCAAACAAACAAAAGTGTGAAGTCGATTTGACTCAACGGAGCTTGTCACGAGGGAGTAACTGCTATGCTGCTAGCAAAGTATGAATATAAAATTAAAGAACGACAGGAACTTTTTATGATTTTCTTTCTTTTTTTCGAGTTAAAATGTTTAAAGAGATTTTTAAGAAAAGATTTTTTTCTTGCTTTAAGATAATTTTCTTTTTTTGTTGGGCAGTCAAAATAAAATAAAAAAAGTCATCAAAATCCCTCGGGAAGAAAAAAAAGAAGGAACGTTGAGAAAAACATTTTTCAATTTTACTTTTACGAGATTTTTAATAAAATTATATTTAGTTAACAGTCAATCAAGTCAAAGCTCATCATGTCACTTAAGATGAATGAAAGAATCTAAATCACGAACCTTTGGATTTAAAGTAACACATTTCGTTGTGATTCCCATCGCGGTTTGTGCTTTGACCAACGTATTTATCACAACTGACTTGCCGCCACCTGTTGGGCCCACAACCATCGTACAATGTCGCGTTAACATCGTTTCATACATTTGGACTACTTTGTCAACCTGTTATGGAGAGAAACGAAACGAAAGATGAGAGCAAATAAACATAAACGGAGAAAAAAAGACGTCGAGGGTAAAAGCTACAGAAATATAAAGTGTCAGAATACTGTCAAATATTTAATTAGATTCATCATCGTTGTCATTTGTCATGTGTCCCCACGTATTCGTCGTGTTTGTCATTGGCCTTTTGGTAGTTGTTTAGCTTTTTTTTTTCTTCTTTGTGTCGGTCTCCCTCACTTCTGGCTGTCACAAAATTAATTTAATATAAACACAAGTTTGGGGGGCACTCACCTGATCCAACAGTAAAATGAATCCGTTCTGCTGTAAAATCTTTTTGACGGTTTCGTTGAGCTCCGGATAACCGACACGCGGGCACTCAACGCCAGGAAATAAGTCTTTTAGTAAACCCAAAAACAGCGGAACATCTTCAAATATGAATTTGGGAAAATTCATGTCACGTAAGACGCGCATCAAAACGACAGATTCGGAAGCTTCAGGCGTTTGACGCTTAGCAACGCCAGCCATTCGAAGGACGGAATTCAGTGAACGCAGGCCCCAATCGTAATGATATTGTTTCGATAATTGCTCACGAGCCAATTTGTAAAGAACTGTCATTTTCTTAGCAAGCACTTTAGCCGTAAGAAATCCATCGCTAAATAATGAAATTAGACAAATTAACTCCAAGTCTGGCATGATGCAAGTGACAGGTCGGAAAAGAGCCTTGATAGATTCCGGTAGCTCAGTTCTATATAAGTATACACAGAAAAATTATTTAAAAGAGAAAACATTAATTGCTTTCCTTCCTACCTTCCAGCATAACCAGGATTCATTGTGATAAAGACGCCAACTTTAGAATCGAGCGAGATTTCTTGACCTTCAAACTGAAGACGAAAAAGTTTTAAAAGATGATTAGTAGACTGTCTATTTTCTAAACTTCTAAGGGATTGCTTTGTTTGAAACATAAATTTATGCGTAACGGGAACGGAAGCAGTGAAAAATGATGCACCAATGCGATGTTTTAAGCTTTGCTTTTCCTTTTCTTTCCCTTCCTTTTCTTTTCCTTCCTTTTTTCCCCACGTTAAATTTTAAAATTTACGACTTTTGCCTCTCTGTCTACACTTATAATTTATAATGACGAAAGCAATTTATTATTCCAATCAAATCAACCTTCATCTCCTTCTTCTTTTTCTTTTCTCTTCATCATCTTATTCATCGCGAAAAGTTCAAATTGAATATTGACACATAACAATGTCAATACAATTGAGCTTTGAAAGAAAAAAAAGAAAGAAAGATGTGACAAGGATTGGAATATTTCGATTTGATTCCACACTTTTTGGTAGAACGAACGTAAATAGAAGAAGCATCGTCATCAGCGAAGGAAGCACAAAAAAAAGAAAAAAAAGTACACGAAAGAGACGAACGAAGCGAAAAGGCACAAGCACAGACGAGGAAAGAAAGTCAAAGTCAAAGTCCCTATCGCATCCTAAATCACCATCTTTGTCATATCAATAAATTTCCTATTCTATCTCTCATTAACCACCAACAACAGCACGGCACGCCAACACACCAGCACGCCAGCACGTTTAAAAGGGGACAAGAGATATAAACTTTTTACTTTACCATAAATTTCTCCTTGTTGGCCAATAAAGCGCTCCTTATTGTTTGCAATTGTGACGATATCACACTCAATACTGATAAATCAATTCGATTGAATTCATCGAAACAGCCCCAGGCACCTGCGTGTATTCGTGTATGTTATTTAGTAAGCGAGAAAAAAGAAAGAAGAGAAGATATGAAAAAAATAACACAGAAAATGAGAAAAATATTTGACATGAGAAAAAATAAAATAAACTTTATGTTTGTAAACATAAAATCAACAAATGTTCAATGCTTCAAGCGAGATTACAGAAAGAAAATCAAAAAAAAAAAATATCCTTAGATTTGTCAACACACCGCATTGCGATAATCCTGCTAAAATTGTACCCACAGCACGATTGTCCATGCCTTCTCCGCAATTTGTTACCATGCATAGCAATGCCATGGCTTTTGCCAAGTCTTTCGTAGTTTCCGTTTTACCTGGAAAGTTCAAATCAAATTTAACAAAAGACACTGTAAGCTGAATAAGACGTAATTGGCTTACCCGTTCCAGCAGGGCCAGCTGGAGCTCCACCCAATTTCATTACCAATGCCTGAGTGATTGTCAAATAAATACGATCGGTTAATGGAGTGATGACCAAACGTCCGTTCAATCCCATGTACTCATATCCGTATTCAAACTTTCCTGCGGATATTTAATCAATGTTTGTTGATGTTAGGAAAATTCTATAAAGTTCAACATAGGTTTATTCATTCGACCAGTAGCATTAGTCACAATTCAAAGACATTATCATGCTGATAAGTCAACTCTGAATTTATAAAATAGTTTTATGCGTTTCTTGTTAGAGAGCCATGAAATTACGATTCGGTATAAATTACGAAGTCTTTATGAAGACTTCTATCAATATTAATATATGTATATGTATGTAGTTGCACGTATTTATGTATAATTAAATATGCTACAGAATGAAATTAATCTGAAATGAGGGTAATTATGATATTAAATGAGTTCTGACGTAACAGTATATCAAAGGAAATTGTCGTAATTTTCGTGTTCTGATTAATACGAAACAAGAGAATAACAAGCAAAGAAAAACTTGAAATTATTCTCAACTTTTTGCAACACTCACCTGTACATTGAACCACATACAAGTTGTCAATATCTTTCATCCAATAGAACCTTTACAAGAAGAAAAATAATTATAATAAATCGAATTACTTTTTAAATAAAAAGAAGATGAAGAAGAAAGTTTTTCAAACAGTCACTTCGTCTCCTTCGTCTGTAAATATTTTTAACGACAAGGACATTTGGTCAAATCTTGGGTCAAATAAATATATAAATAAATAAGTAAACAAATACATGACATGTTTGATTTAGCAAAAAATAAAATCTGAAGATTTGAACAAACACCCACACACAAATATTTACGCAGCAGTAAAAAAAATCAATAATCGAGTCACCTTAATTGACTTTCCCATCCAAATTCTTGGGCATCAAGGACGCTATCACGGACAAAAGTTTCAATAATATCACGAGCATGAACATCGATTGTTGCAATTGTTTTAAACTTTGTTCGATCGTTCATTGTTAGATTTTCACGAACCTTTTTGACAAGGTCATCAATTTGTTTATTTTGACTTTCCAAATATTCTTTCATAGCACGTTTATTTCCTTTAGCTACTTTCTGGAAGACTTCTTCAACCTCAGATGTCCACCAAACTTGGTTAGCAGCTAAACAAACCATTCCTTGATACATCATAGTCCAATCTGGTCTCGACATTTCTTTGTTCTTTCCATAATCAAAAATCGCTTTCTTCGTAATATATCGATTACTATATCGCATTTCAGATAGAACAGCATTCATCCAATCTTCAACATTTCCGTCAGTTGACACTTGATTTTTGAACTGCATTATCTCGCCTTCAACTGAATTCATTGCTGTCACGACCTGACCACCAGATGAAGGACTTGCAAATGTCAATGACTTGATGTTGTCAAACATTTTTATCATATGTTCTTGAACACAATCCTTTCGACTGCTGCCTAGAATCGATAAAAGTTCCTCTGTCGAAATAAAATAAAAGCGAGGAAATATTCGTCGCTTGATATCGAGATAGTTGTTTAATGACTTCTGACACCTGTCCAAATTAGTATTCAATGTTCGAATATTTGAAAGACGCTCATCCACAATGCAAATATCAATCACAAGAAGTTTTTCTGCCGTCTCTTTCATAAGCTGTATGAATGAACGAATTAATGAAGCTTTTTAATTAAATATTTGATGTGAATACCCTTCGAAATGCTGTATCGATATCATCAAAGCTTTTTGCTTCATCTGGTAATTGATCACGAATATCTCCACAAACAAAGATCCCTTCGAGATATAACCATTTTCTTTGTGTTGCTAACCATTCTTCAATAATCTCTGAAACTAGTGTAAGACATTTTTCCCATTTTAAAACAGTCGACATAAATGGACCGATGAATGGCGAAGCGCTCATTGATTGTAAGTTCATTGAATTGTCTTCCAGTATTAGTGTTATTTCATCTGTTGGTCCAAGGATAAATCTACAGAATGAAAAAATAAAATAAATTACTCAACATTGAATCATTCTTAAACATTATTCCACTCACCCCCGATCAATATTGTTTCCCATTGTGTGTCTGATGACGGAAAATTTGATTGTTTCCCATAGTGTAGCAATTTCCTTCACTCCTTGCTCAATGGAGAGTTCTTTGTTTGCATTCATAACAATTTCTTCGACAATCTCTTGATATTTGTGCAATTTCATTGAGAACATGTTGTCCAAGGAGAATCGATCTGGTGACATGTCGAAAGATTGCCCTGTTTTCATCATGAGTTTCTTCCAATGACGTTCGCGTAGTGCGTCATGTTTAAGACTTGCTAAGAGCGGTACAACATTCTTGAATTGCTTCATAATTTGTTCTAAGACGCCAGCTATTGACATTTGACGTATGGGTTTTGGAAGTTTACGAAAATCTTTGATGTAATTATCGATTCCATCAGTTAATGCTTGAGTATTTAGGTTCACCCATAGAGTCTTTCCCCAAGTTTGTCTAGCTGTTTTCTGTGCTTGATAAAGTTTATAAATTACTTGCATTTGCTCAAATTCTCCTTTGACATTCAAATAACGTCCGTAATCAGTAACTTCAATGTCAAAAAGCTTCTCAGCATTAACTGAAAATTCAAAAAATAAACAATATTAAAGCAAAACCATAATTGAACTCAAGCAAAGGCTTAATTAAGAAATTCGTAAAAAATTTTATTTTCCGTAGAATGTTGTTTCTGGAAAAAGAAAATTATTAATTGTAAATGAAAAGCCTGAACGAAAATGAAATCATTGTGATGCGACAAAAAAGCAGCGTATTGAAAGAGTACAAAAGCTAAATGTTCACATAATGAACCGTTTTTGAGCATGGAAGTGTAAAAGAGTTTAATTCGTTACCCATTTCCGAGCGAACAGCTTCTAACTTTTCAAATTCCACAGCATATATTTGCATTAATTTCTGTCCTTTGTCCATATCTTCCTCAACACCGGGACCTTCAATCTCGAATTTGTTTACAAACTCGTCCAGCTGGAAATGAAAAGTTTTATTATTATGTTGCTTGCCTACTTGTTTTTCCCGCGTTCAACAAAATTTTTATAAACATTATCGTGCTGTGTGATTTCGAAAAAGCACTTCGAATGAAATTGTTATCATTTTTAAACAAATCCGCATGAAAAAGGGACAGTTTGATGGAAAAATATATTGCAATCAGTATAAGCAAACTAAAATGCGGTCAATGTTTGCTTAATGACGGTTTCATTTCCATATTCTTTTTATGTATTTAACAAAGCCCCCTCTTTATACACACAATCTCAGGCCACACGATTTTTTGGACATACATTAAGATCCCACAATGTTTTACTAACTGAAGATGAGTGGAAAAAAAAGCGAGCGTACAAACGGATAATGGGAGAAAGAAATGGAAAATGTTAATTTAAATTCGACCCAAACGACTATGACATGAGTATTGATAGACTTTAGAACAGAATATTTAAGCTTTAATTTTATTATCAACCGCATCCTGGGCTTACTTAACATCTCCCCACAAAAAAACTAATAGCATTGGTTTGAAATTTATTTTTTAATTTTCCGTTCTGCCCATAAGAGACTAAAAGCTTCCAAATAAGTATAATAATACCAACGATAATAAAAATAAAAAGAGAAAGATGAGGGGGAAAAGCGTTCTTCAAAGCTTACAAGGCTCAACGACCATGAAGAGAGAAAAAATCAAATTAAATTGCGAATACATACACTGGAAGCGACATGTGAGGAATGAAAACGTAAAAGCTTTGCTTGTTTATTTTACTGGTTCTGAACTATTTACAAATCACCACACATGCATTAGACAGGCGTGTTGTGGACGAAGAAGTAATCACAATATCACGAAATGTTTTCGTCTTCCCGCATTTTATTACTTTTTTTTTATCTATTTCAGACTCCAATCGGAAGTCACACAACCGTATAAATGGATGTTGCAATCAATAGAAGAAAAAAATTGGTTTAAGAAATGATTGACATAATCAACGTATACGGACAGATATTTAAGATATTTAAGAGGAGAAAAGTCTGGCTATGAAAAGTCATTCAATTAAAGTTCGAAAACTGTTGGCGATTAATGCATTTTTGTATAATGAAAAGGTGTCAGATTCAGAATAACATTAATTACTTTTTATGTATCATTCTCATGTTTCAAAACATAAAACTTTAAACAGTGAATAAATAGCAAAACAGAGCTTGGAAATAAAGTGAAAATCTCTCGTTAAATTTAACACTCGGTGTCTAAATCATTTCACTGACAAAAGTTTCATTGAAATGAAAGGTAGGTATTTATTTTTTTTCTAGACTTTAACAATGTTTTAAGAGGAAAAGAAGAGCTGAGTGTTTAATAAAATGTGGACGATGAACGAATAACATGAATGCGTAATGCTACCATACAACATAAAACTTTCATCATTGATTCATTCACTTGTGTTATTTTTTTGCGCAATTTTCCATTTTTTAAAAGCATGAAACTCACCTCTTGCTTAAACTTTTCAATATCATTTGCTGTCATTTGCGAGAATTTTACTTTTGTTGAGTGCAACGTTTTTGAACGATATAAAGCTGAACTAAACAACTTTTTCCATCGCTTTTCCAAATGAAATGCCATCAACATATCGCCGTAGGGAAACTTAATGCAACAAAAATAAATTGAAGATGGAAAAGGAGAAAAAATATATCAGTTTTTTACTTATTTTATATCTTACTTATATTAAAGGCGAATAAATGGAAGAAAAAGAAAAGGAAGAATATAAAAAAAAGATATGTGACACATCTTGAATGACACTTTTCATTAGAAAAGCATTCAAATGATCAAATATCTTTTTTATCTATCAGACAGTTACTTGTATCCGATGCTCCTCGAGGACGCTATAAGTTTCTTGCATTTCCTTAATACTGAGTTCGACATTTAATGATGTCGACTGAATTTCATTTATCGTACTCATTACGGTTTTGAAGTCTGACAATTGCTTAATGTTACAATCTAAGTTGAGTCGTAATTTCTACATCATGTATGAATAAAAGAAGATGGTGGTAAATACTTATGGTTTCAACATAAAATGTACGTTTTCCCTCGTATCTAAATCCCTTTCAAAGGTTTATGTATCTTATGTGAAAACATTCCATTCGCGATCGAGAGAAACGACATTACCAAAGACATAATTTACCTTAAACTCGCTATTCATTGCAACCATCTCGACACTGGTCCGATCCGACAACATATTTCCAAGGGTATTACGCCATTCGACAGCATGCTCGATAATTGCATGAATGAGGGGACGCAAATTAATCCGAATGGATTTCATATCGTGATAAGGCTTAACGTTCTCCAAATCGTTGATGATTTGAGTGAAGAAAATAAATTTCTCATCTAATCTTACAAGTGAAATGCCACGATTTAAGTACTTATCGCACACGACATTCTTATCGTTCATCCATAAACTCTTGTATTTATGCCACCTATAAGTCGGTGAAGTAATAAAATAAAAGAAGGAAGAAAGGGTTGAATCAAACTTTAATCACATAACAAATATTTTAGTGGTTCCGTTAATACAACAAAATCAAATACATAAAGCGACAATAAAGAGATTATAACAAAAAGGGTGTGTCGTTACAATCATTTCGATTTAAATTGATTTCAAACTTTTAAATATTTATGTAGATATTTTTTTTTATAACATTAGAGTGAATTCGTTTTTTCGTTCTCATTTTAAATAACTTGTTTTCCCATTCGAGGAATTCACATCGAGGAAAAACCGAATTCTTTTAAAATGATAATATTTCATGGAAGAAAATTTTCAATATTGAACAAGTTTGCATTTCTTGTGAAATAAGATCAAGGTTGAACATAAAATATTTAAGTTTTTCATTCTTTCACATTTTTAGCATATGAATAAATTATAAAAACATCTGAGAAAGTTTTAGGGATCATTAAAGTATTAAACAGAATTCTACACTGTTTAGGTTGCTTTGAAAGTTTTTAATAAAACTTAAATATTTAGCTAGAAATTCTAGATAGATAAAAATAATAAATTCGAGCTTTGAAATCATGAGAAGGAAGTGAAGAAAAATCATATTTTGTTGATCTCTCAAATTCTCCCTCATGATTTTCATTTCACCTTCAATCAATGAAAAACTTTATCTATTCTCTTACCGTGATAAATAAGATTGAACATCAGATATTGAGTTCTGAATAGTTTGTTGCAAATTCATAACAAGTTCGCAAACTTTTGGAATCTGAAAAGAGTGAGAAGAAAACAAAATAAGAGTTTTGTGAAGGATCTAAACGAAATCGTGCAATAACAACAACAACCAACAGATATTATGACAAATATTTTTCTCTTAGTTAGTTTTCCAAAAACAAGCTAAACATACATTTATGTACATTCCAATTTTGCAGGACAACTCAAGAATTTCAAAGTAGGAAAGCGTATTTATATACATTTATTTACATACTTAGATGTGTGTATATAATGTACATAAACATTTTTCTGTGTCTCTTTTTGACAAAAAGTAAATAAATAAATAAATAATATGAATGGTAACAAATATAAATTTCTTCATCCGTCGAATCGTTAATAAATACAAATATGCAGCATAACAAGCGACAAAGCATCAGTGTCGAGAGGGAAATTGAATATGTAATAGTTGAATCCTAGAGAATTCTATTTTCGGAACGAAAGAAACATGTTTTCTTTTCTCCATCGTCTTTTGTTACATTTTCTTCATCTTATGGGAAGCAAGACGAAGGAAAATATTGCAAACTATTTACGTAGCGTTTCACAAAGTCGTGTGCTTCGAAAATTATATGCAATTCGCTGGGAAGAATAAATATTTCATTTCTATTTTCACGCTTCAGCAAGGAAAACATTCGTTTCACAATGAATTAAGGAGATTTACAAATTTTCTAGATTCAAGAAAAAAAAGGAATGTGAAAAAAGGAAAGGAGGAAAAGTTTATGAGCATTTCGTTCGCTTATAAAGAAAATTCATGTGCAATCTGCACAAAGTCCTAGCTTTCAGTTACTTGTTCACCATCTATCCTTCGACACAGTGAAGCAAACAAAACAAACAAAAATTATTTGTCGTATATATTTGTCGCTATGGAAAACACGAATTATTGTCACAGTTGATGTTTGCTGCTAAACATTATACAATTTTACGTGCCATGCCTTGCACGACTCTTCGATTCAATTCTACATTTTTCTAACTAAAACATATAGAGTTGAAGGATTTTATTTAGTTCGTACATATTGCAGGCACAAAAAGAAAGCTTAAAACAGAAAGAAAGAGCGTATCAATAATTGTTTTCGTAAAGACAAAAAATAAAAAGAACTAAAGCGGTCACGTATTCAGTACGAGAAATGTTCATAGTCGATTTCTTGAGAAAACAAAAAAGAAGAAAAATATTCAAATGGCACAGTTCTCCCCTTCTTCCTATTGTCGTTCAATTTTTCAAGACTGATTCGAGTGAGACTCTCTGGCAACAGTAAAAAAAAAACCATTATTCGTCCACTGATTTTAAATAACTACGAGAGAATAAAAAAAAGAATCTGGAAGTGCATCCATCACATTGTTTATGACTGCGAATACTGTAAAATGAAATTGATAATCAATTTGATTAATCTGCTGAATAGATTCGCTAACAACTTCCTTGAATATCTGCAATACGTCGAAAAATTCGTGAAATGAAAGCATGATGAATGCCTTTTTTTATTTACGACTGCAGTCAAATGGATACAATTGAACGATATATTTACGTAGATAGAAACAAACAAGAGAACAATCTCCAACAATGGCTTAACAATATTTGGGGATAAGGAAAAACAGTATTTACCTGAACGATGTCTTCGTAAAAGCTAAATACATAAGTCTCATTGTTATCCAGTTTGGTAGGCGGACAGCTTTTAGCAGTTTCTGACATCCATCGTCTGAAGGCTTTCAATCTGAAGATGAAAAGAAAAACAAACAATCTCGAGGAGCACAATAAATAGAATTTCTCCATTATGAAAACTTTCACAATAGTGTTCAGGAAATGTTAAGGATATGTCATGTGGGATTGTGAGAGAAATCACATGTTTTGTTATATTTTTCTGCATCGGAGAACTTGCAAATTTTAAATCAAAGACGTGATGTTTATTCTTTTAAAAGAATAAAAGAAGAAAATTTGTGTTTGTTTATTTACCGTTCAAGAAAGTCCTTCACTGAATGAACCATAATATTGTAGATCTCATTAGCTGTTGGCTTCATGATAATTTCCGGTGCTGCCAAGACCGCATCAACCTCAAAAATCACGTTACTACACTTCAATTTATCGCAAAATTCTTGAAGATTTCGAAGAGTGAAGCGCATCAGAGTAGAAAATAATTCTTTTTCCCAGTAAATATAATAAAAGCTCATTTTCTCTGATTCACCAGTGAACGAGCCCAGAATCAGAGATTCAAGCTTTATCATGCTTGGACCAATGGAATTGTAAAGTTTTTGCAGTTTGTTTGTTTTATCGTTACGATCGAGTTCGAGACTTTTAAAAAATTCCAAGCACGGCTTAATGCTGTCATCGCTCTCGACAATTCGAACGCTTTTCTTTCGTCGCTTTTCAAAATTATTTAAATCATCATCCGGAGTTTCGCTTGATTTTCCCAACTTCGATGAACAATTGTTTAATGTGAGTGGCAACTTTTCATCACTCAGTCCTTTTTTCTTAGCCACACTCATGTCATTTGAAAATAATGAAAAAGATTCCACATTGTTAACTTTTGACCGGATTTTCTTTCCCATGATCCCAATTTGCACAACGATAGCTGATAACGACTTCAATAATTTCTCGCATTTCTCACAGAAATGCTGAATGTTTAGCGTTTGCCATGTATAACGACCAAGACCAGCTTGAATTGTTGACTCTGCATCGTATAGCTTATCACGCAAAAAATGGATCTGAAAGAAATTGGTTTCGTTTTATGACACAATTTTTCTGACTTAAGATAAGTATCATGCAACAAGGAAAAGTGGAAAATAAAATAGAATAGAAAAAGAATAGCATAGAAGAGACCCAACTGCGACAAAACAGAAAGATTCTTTAACCAAAGACATTGTTCGCATTTCAAAACAATGTCTAACTGTTTTCACAACAAAGGGGAAGGAAAACAGGAAAAAAAGAACTTTTTGTTTTTCACAGAAATGATTTGGAGGAAATTTTGTTGCAATCATAAAACATTAGTATAACACAATAAATCTTATCCAATGATCAAGCTCCTTCTCTTTTCTCTTTAACTTCTTTTTCTAAGAGTTGATTACAAACCTCTGCTGGTGTCAATTTGCCAACGATGTCATTATATTCATTCACAATCTTTGTGACATACTCCACGTCTGAAGATAATTGCTCCTAAATCAAAGGCAAGCACACATGGTGAAGGATAAAAGAAAGAAAAAATAAGAAAAAAGAGAAAAAATGAAATAAAAATAAAGGAGTGAGAACAATAAAAATAAAGCATGAGATGATTTCTTCTTCACTGTAAGTTAGTAACTTGCACTTGGCGATATGTATGAAAACATCTTTAGAAGCTGTCTCTTTCTTCGTAAAACTGTGCCTTTGGCATAACAATAAAATAAAAATCTTTCACCATTTTTATTATATTTTTTGCTGAATCTTGCTCTTATGGTCAAAAGCATAGCACCAAACGATACTTTTCATCCACAAATCCTTTCTAAGTTTCACCATTAAAGATTCTTCTCGCCAACACTTACTTTTCGCATGATGGCCATTCTGATGACTGGATTTAATGTTAAACCCAAAAATTCAAACTGTTGACCTTCAATCATAACATCGAATATTTCTATAAGAAGGAAAAAGGGAAAAAGGGATCCGTTTAGAGTGGTTTAGAGTAAATAATGTCACATTGAAATCAGATTTGTTTTTAAATAAGTGTGCATGCATGTCGTCGATCGGTATTTCAAGGGTGCTGAAAGCTGCTCAGACCTTGACTTTTGAGGCAGCTATAAATGTCAGTGAAACGATTCTTAGCCATTTAAGGAGAGCGAAAGAAAATAATTCACTTTCTACTGTCGTCTTACATTCTCTTTCGTTCTCCAAAGCAAAGCTTTATGATAGCAATAAGAAAGTCCGACTTCTTATTTCTTTCTAAGGCTCAGCACACATAACTTTACAACTTTGGAGCTTGAAGCATCTATTCTCTTCGTATAAAAGCATGTAAATAATATGACAGTTATTGACTATAAATCTTTATTTATTACACTCACATTTTCTCCGTCAACGGAATATTAAATAAGGCGGCTAACGGATGAAGAGAAGACACAAAAAATTATTATGTACATCAATTTGGAGGCCTTCTCAACAATATTTATGTATAGTGCCGGAATATACCATAATTATACAACAATCTGCCATTAGCATCTTCTTTTTTTCTTCCTTTCGTATGTCGGAAGTTAAAAAAGAAACAGCAGGAATATGAAGTCAAAGAATAGGAAAAACAGACAACCGTCGCTTCTATTTATAAAATTATGATCTCAAAGTTGAGCACCATGAGAGTAAATTGCAAACTTTGGCACAATATGGTCACTGTCACAACGAATAACGACAATACGCATACAATATCATATATCCAGACTGTGTCTATGTGTAAGTTAGCTGAAGGAAACCGTAATAAAATAAATGTGCTTACGTTGTGAAAAATTTACATCAAATTTCAACTCATACTCGACAAGCAAGCGATCGCCAATAACTTCCTTCCATGTTGGTATATTTTTCTGTTGTGATGCTGTGGTCATCACTATTGTATTATATTTTTTGGGGTATTTAGGAAGAGAAGCATCATGAAACGACATTACGAAAACAAATTATGGAATAAATAAAAGAGAAATTCAAATGTACAAATCTTACACTTGGCTTGAGAGACTTTGAAGTCAGTTCTTGATTCTCGTATACCTTTAGATGAACTTCTCATGCTCATCGAACTTTCTGATGCTTTCATTAATTTTTCCGCAAGCGCCAAATCTGGATTGTCGTTGCTTGGTCGATTGGCCATCCATTGAATAGCTTTTGAAAACATACTGAACTTTGATTTCGCTGTTATGGATTTCTTTGGCGTGACTGTTTCTAAGAATCCTACTGGTGCCTTTGACTTCACTTTGCTGATGGAACGAGAAGGCTTTTGAGATTGCATAGGAGACATTGACTGTGGCTCTTCCTTTCTCAAAATTTCTTCTTTCAACTCTTCAGGCAATGTTATAAATTTCAGTTTCAGGATGTTTCGCTTCAATACATTGTTTACAATAAAAGTTCCGTCTTGTGAAAATTGAGCAAACATTTCATTCTCAAATAATGTTATTTCTTGTAACATTGCATAGTATTGATTGAAAGCCGATTGTTTTAAAGCGTTTTGCTCAGAATTATCATCTTCTTCCATCTGTTTCTGCTTTTTTTTATTTTAATGTGCAAGAAAAAAGAATTTATATTAAATAAATAAATTTGCAAACATTATGCGAGTCTAAGAAAATAAGAAATTATTGGTACATGATTGAAGGATGAAGAATCACGAGAATTTCTTCTTTGAAAACTTCGCTTTGTAAATCTTTTTATAAAAAAATGTTTTTTCATTTTTTTTTGCTAAAAAGTTTTTCTTTTGAATTTCAAAGCTCAAATTTCGATGTGGAAAAGGAAATAAACACTCACGCTTCGAAACGCTGTTACGGATTTCTTCAATTTATCGAATAGTAAACGTTCCCATATTACAGCCCCCGAGTATTTGCTTTGATTTCTTTGAAGTGGAGGATTTTTCCGATATTTCTAGTAGAGATTCAATGAGATAAAAAAAAAAATAAAAGGGAATAAGCAAAAATCATACATCAGAATTTGCGAAAATCTTTTAAATAATATTCCAATCACTTACCAAAAACTCGCTTTCGACGATTTCAACTTCAGTTAAAAATTTCCTCATAATACTTTCTCTCTTCAAAAGCAAATGTTTTAAAAGCTTTTTCCGAGTTTCAATTTTATTCAAATATGAAACCAATTCCAAGCCTTGCTCAGCTGACTTTAAGGAATCAATACATTGATCCAACACATTACGAGCTTCATTTTCAACAATATCCGTACATTTATAAAAATAATCTAGTGTTGCTTCCCAATTATCTTTGTTGTTTGGCACAAAAATATCATAGTCAACGTTTAAAATGTGACTAAGCAAGCGATAAACTTTTTTAAGCATAATGTCAACTTCTTCAGGGTCAGCAACATTGGAACGTAAACGATAACCAAACATATTTTCAAACTCATAGAATATCTGAAAAAAGAAAAATATTTCATCAGTTGACTGAGTCATTTTTTTTGCCATTTAGTCTTTAACCTTTGCAACATTGGAAATGTCTTGACTGATGCGCGTTGTATGATCAACAAGACCAAACAAGATTTTCTTGTCAAACTCCCACCGTGATCCAATTCCTGACTCTTCTATGTACGCTCTCGTCTCCATATAAGACGACTTCCAACACTGTAATAACTCCACGCACTCTTGAGCACGCGTGTAAGCAGCTGTTGCTGGGAGACTGATTCAGATTGAGACAAAAAGAAGTAAGGAGAAAAAAATTATAAACATTTTTGATTCCCTTCGTGTTTCACTTAAAAGACATTTAAGAAACATAAGCAAATGGACCCTTGTTGAAATGTGCTTCTGTCAATATGAATGAATGTTGTTCGAACGATTAATAAGCAAAAAAGAAAAATTTAGCTATAGCCATTGATAAAATATAAAAAATTCATTTTCATTTCAAACATTAAGTTGTTTACGTGCACTTATAGTTGCTTAACTAAACTTATTTACGTAAGTTTTCTGTGTTTCTGCATGCAAATACAAAAAGGAAGAAGGAGAAGAAACAACCTTGGAAAAACAAAAATGCCTCAAACAGCGAGCTTTCCTAGAATATGACGACACTCGGAGCAAAACAATAAGAAGAGAAAAGTTCCCAACGTTGTCGACACATCTATCTCTCTGGTTGCAATCGTTAGAGAACAAAAAAAAAAGTTCAAAATATATTTCTACTATAGTGGATTCAACTTGGATTTATTTCGTATAAAATATGAATGTATACGCCGATTTTTTTCTATTGCTACCATGTCGCTATGAAGCAGTCATTTCTCATTTTCTCAAAGCGAAACTTTTTTTTTAAATATTCCATTTTATAAACGAAACTTTTTTCTTCACGCCAGTTCATAGCCAAATAAATTATGCAGTATCATTTTCATTTTTTCATTTGTTTGAATCATATGAAAAGAGAAGAATGAAATGGGTGAAAACGACAGAATGAGCAAGAGATTAATTTAATACAGTGGAAAATTTTAATCACAAATATGCCTCTCTACATTTATATCTCACTCATCAAATAAATGCATAAATACCGATTATCATATAGCAACATCGTTACAATTGAAAAATCACCCAAAAAAAAAATTTTCCATTTTTCAAACGTGTTTAATTTAATTTTCATAAACAACTTAATAAAACTTAATCGGAATATGTATTTTTATCGGAAGCACACGTTTGCATGTCTGATTGTGCTTTTAAATTTCGAATTTCCTCAATTGAGGCTCGAATAAATAAATTGGATTTAGAAGATTTTATTCTTCTTCTCCTTTTCTTAGATATTTCAAAAGAATATTTATGTATTCATATAAATAATTCATGTTTTTTTTCTTTCTCTCTCTCACACGTTGTTTTAAATCAAATAAATGAAGGCAAATATTCGATATTATGATGTTTCGTTTACTTCATGACAGAGAAAAAAAAACATCATCTCATCATTTCGTTTTCCTCATATGGAATAATAATAAAAAAATGAAAATTTAAGCTATGATCCTTCACAAGTGTTAGGCTTTAAATCAATACATACTTAGCTTACTTCAATATAATTACCTAAATATCTTTTCGAGATCAATGAGCTTCATGACTTTGACGGTGAAAATGTTTGATATCTTTGATAGGAGAAGTAACATGTTCGCATCGATACAGAAGTAGCTTGACATCGTCCAAATATGTCTCAAGCCAGCCATCATGTTAGGTATAATCGAGATGATAAAGGAGAAGTTGCTCTCCTCTTGAATTTTCTATGAACACGAGCATATTATGTTGAGAGACATGAAATTGATGTAGAGAATTTGTAGAGCAAAGATGAAGGATACAAAATTATATTTTTATGGATTAACAATCTGAATACAGCAAATTCTCGACAGGTCTTATGTCATGTACATATTTGTGTGGTATGAAATAGACTGCAATTAATACTGATCTGACACCGCTACGTGAGTATGGAAGAAGTCATAATTTATGCTTATATGTGAGCATACATCTACATATATTTCCTTAAAAGCCAACTTCGATGCATGATTGCATGTTTAATCGCAAACTATGTCATTTAGTAATGGATAAAAACATTAAATCAAAGCTTAATAGAATAAGACTACATGAAATGTGTAGTTTCTATTCTGATCTGGCTATCTATACATTATCATAAATTTAAAAGCTTTTTTGAATTATATAAGTTAAAAGAAGACGAAAAATTATGAAGAAAATTTTATAGTTGACTGAATTTTAATAAAAACGAATAAGCGAATGTACGTAGCACAAAAGAGATTATAAGAAAATTTAAGACAGAAGATATTTCTTATTTCGACTTGTTTCAAAAGGTTCTTCTATTACACAGTACTTATAAGAGAAATAAATATCTAGATACTTGATATTGAAAAAAACATATTTATAGAAAAAAAATGAAATCGTTTTATTTTCTCTTGTAATGTTTTTTTTCTTTTAATAGGAGAAAAAAGGATCCTCATGCATTTAGATCTTATCACAAATTGCTTACAGAAATAGTTACTTGCATGTTCAACATCAAAAATTTTAAATATTTTTTTTATTGCATGAAACGTTTACTTCCTTCTGGCTCTGAACTGGAAAAATTAATTGAAAATGTGTTCAAACATTCAATAGTAAAGTTCTACAGCAAGACAAGTTCCATTCATTTACAAAAGTCCCTTATTATGAATGACATGTCTATGAAAGCCATAAAACAATTTGCCTCAAGGAATTTGTGCTTCCATTTAACTCGATGAAAAAGCGGTGATGACTACATTTTCAACACTTCCGACTTCACCACCGACAACGTCATTGCGATATTTTTTGGGGGAAAATATCTTTCGTTTTGTTTTTGCTGTAGACGCGTTATCCGAATGTTATTTCAGAGTTACTGAATTAATCTCATATAAGAATATTACTGAACAATTGAGCTTCTTGTTTATCGAAATGTTAGAAAAATCTAAGGAAAAATCGACAAAACAAAAAGGGAAGAGAAGGGGAAGAACTTTCAGCACAATATTTATCAATTTACAACATCTTGTAACTCACTGAACCCATATATTAGCGTCATCGTTTTCATGCTGTAGGAAACATTCTCAAAACGAAACCAATTTACTTTGTATAAACATGCTACACAACGGCATGTAACAAAACATTTTACACTCAGTATCAATATGTAATATGATGGAAGAATTGAAATCAGCGCTCAAATATATTCTGCTGTAATAAAAAGGAAAGTACACATCATATCCGAATTGAATTCAGTATACACGAAAAGGGAGAGAGAATCAAAACTGGAAAAAATCTTTATTATAAAGACAAAAGCAATGTAATTTTAGATGTCGGAATCATATCAAGGGATTCACATTCTTCCCTTTTATGCTGGTACTTTAAATGTTAAAGTGAATTCATTTTGCTTTTACAACTCCCGAATTGTTTTAGTGTATTAGAGTGCAAAATATTCTTTTTATCACCTCATTCGAGGCTGATAAAGGAAAGAATATTTCATTCATTTGTTCGAACAATTGATATCATCGTATTGTATTGATGCATAATAAAAATATAAAATTACTGTTCATGAGATGATATGTATTTGTTTTGCTGAGATTGAGACGAACGGAATTCAAAATAATTTTCCACTTCAAGAACTTGTTTAATGGAATATTATTCTCAAAATAAAATATTTTAGCGAATATCAGTAAACCAAAGACCGTGAAAACAAATATCTTAGGAAAAATATATGTTAATAATACTTACAACAAAATACTCCTGCAGTGTAGACAAATATTCAGCATTTTCTCGAGCCAAGTCACGTTCTGACTGAAGCTTTTCGATCAATGAGGGCCAATTATCAAGCACTTTGGAATTTTCACTTTTCAATTTGTCTTTGAATACGTAAATATAAAAAAAGAGGGAAAGAAAGAGAAATCACATAGTTAATGTTGCGTTAAATTGATATCAGGGTGCTCAATCATCATTCGCCGACAATGTATCGAGGGATGAATCAAGGAAGCTTTATAAAAGGATGTAAAGTGTCATGATATGCAATTCTCAAATTTCTTGGAGCAACAAATTCAACATAAAAAAACTATTTTTTTACATATAAATATATAGAAGTGTTGGAAACAATTCACGATTCCAAGAGCCTGTGTATTTAGGATCCTCAATCCATTCTCAATAAATCAAGAGAAGCCTTTGTTTGTTCTTTACTTTTCAGTGAATGAATCCATTAGAAAAGTAAAGGCAATTTCGAAATTAGAAAATATTTGTGTTTTTCATCACTTAACGAAAATTTTAATAAAAATTATTCTTAAAAACTCACCAAATATCATTACAGCAAATGGAGACTTCAACTGTTCTATCAAATTGTGGCATTCACGTTCACGTTCAACCCATAACTCATATTCTGCTATCGGATTATTTGGTTCCTAGATAAATATTTGTTAGAAGTTGGGAAAAGTTGTGTTTTGAAACAAACAAACAAAAAAAAACAAAAAACAATGATGTTCATACTTTATAACAATCATGCATAATGATGATTTATGCTTATAAAGCAACAGTACTTCAAAAGTATTAATATGAAGTGAAATTTACTTAATAATTTAGGATTATTAATCTCATTCACATCAGACACATTGTATCATCTTTTCTCTTTCCGCTTCTGTTTTACTCTTGCAATTAATTTATTATTATGGCTTCAACACTTTGTTTCGAGCGTGGCAAACGAAAAAAGGCAATATGAATAATTAATGTTAAGATTAATGCCATTTTCATCAAGCAAATCATAATCGCAACAATAACGAGTGAGTGCTGTTGCGCGAATATCTTCTTAGAGAACGAAACAATGTAATAAAATATATTGCACAACTGAGGATTCTAGAAAATGATGGATAGTGAAAACCTTTCATGCTTAAAATTAGCAGAAGAATAAAATAGGAAAAGCTAAAGAGTTAAATATTCCATAATTCGACATAGAAAACGAGATTATTTTTAAATGAACTACTGAAGGCTTTTTTATATTAATATTAAAATTTATGTTGTTGTTACTTACTTTTGCCACCCCATCACGGAGAGTCCTTGTGATGAAATTTATCCATCCATTGTTTACTTCCTCTAACTGTGCCAGAGTTATGCCATCGAGGCTCATTTTTGTTGGATCAATTTTCATTTTTATTTTGTCATCATCGTCAAGAATGTGTTCTTGTCCAGAAACTTTAAATTCAGTTGGTAAACTGAATGAACATGCAGCGTGATCTATCGTCCTGAAATTAAATTAAAAAGAAGAGAAATTTTAAAAACATAAACTAGGATCACAAAGTGAGAAGAAGAAAAAATGTTTGAAAGCATAACGGAAATGGTTTTAAGGAAAGAGTTGTTGGTCAGAATAAGAGAAAACCAAAATAAATGAAATTTTATTTCCGCTTGCTCATAACTGCATCTATTTATTTTTTTTTCTTTCTGTGGCGAATAATGGATAGTGGAAGCTCATTCAGTTATCAGCATGCATGAGAAATTTTCATATTCATTTGTTAACAAATATTGAGAATGAGAAAAGTTATAATCAGTAGAAAATAGTAATTATTTTTTGAGCTGATGCTGCAAGAACAAGAAACCTCATCCACATCAACTGAACCGCATTAAAATAAAAGCAAAGAGCTACGTTTTTCCTTTTTTCTTGTTTCAATGAATTTCATCATATGAAATAAGTGAAATTCATGTCTTTCCTTTCGGTAACACGAATGCTACTGAAAGGACTCTTTCAACTACTAAACAAAGAAAGCTTCAACACAAGACGTTTTCGCAATTTGCTGACGGTACAACAAAAAGATATATGTTCTTACATGCAAATATAATCTTCAGTCAAAAGATGTGCCAAATAAAAACTAAAAGAAAAGAGAATTATATATGCAACAGGGATTGGAACTTGCAATCTGCAAATCTTTCTTTTCATTTATTCTTTACTTTCTAAATCGGGAAATTTATTATAAAGTTTTACTATTATAACTTCTGGGGCTTTTCAATGTTGAAGTTTTCGCCCTAGTCCTAGTACCTGGCATGCAATTGCAAAAATATCTAGTGAAAGGAGAAGAAGAAGTTGAAACACTTTATAGAGACGAAGCAAAAACTATTACGTTTGCAAGTATAATTTAAGCTATTTGAAATTAAAATGGAATATTTTACAATCTGATTTTCATTCGTGTGCAAGAAAGGAGTGAGAAATCTCATAACAATTTTTCATAACAAATTAGAATAATTTCCAAATAATTCTTATGAAGGAAAATATTTATTTTTCCCTTGCTTTTTCCGTACTTATTTTACATTATTATTACATGCCAGTCCCTTCAAGTTCTACTGTTTCATTATTTAGACATTTTAAGAAGACACAGGAAAAAAGTTTAAGTTCTGTTTCAGTTGCCAGCAAAAGATTTTAAGCAAGAAATGAAAGGAATGAGTAGATATGAACAGGAGAAATCTTTCAACAAAATTGTTTTAATGATACCGAAATCAAGCTTTTATCTTTACTTACATATCTACAAATCTCACAATATTCAACATACATAATACTTAACATCTATGCCAGCACAATTGCTTTATTTCTCGTATTGTCTGCTTTTGCCCTCACTCTTCCTCTTTTACCCATTTTTGAGCATCAAATCAAGAATAAAATTTGCATGAAATTATTTTCTTCCTTTTCGCTTTTCTTTTGTATTTTTCATTATTTACATGTGTACGAAGTAAGTGTTTTGGGACAGAAGAACGAACATTGATTGCACGAAGATAGAAAGAAAGGAAAGAAAAATTCAATTCATGTTTTTCCCAACAGATGGTCAACAAATTGAACCAAAGCACTAATAACGCCATGATATTTCAAAATAAGTTTCTTTGTGAGTATTGAAAATGAAACCTGAAATCGTCTTTTCCCCCTTTCTACCTACATAAATATCTAAGCAGTAACTCGTTTCTCGAATGTTTTTAAAATGAGGCAAAGTTTTATTTGGTTGAAAGTTTCTCTTTCCTAGATAGACATATTCGGTATACATACTTATACAGAATATAAATAAAACCAAAGAGTTGTGATGAGAAAAGCAATAAGAAACTTACCATTCAATCGTACGTTGAAATATATCAAGATTATTTTGTAATATCTCGACTGTTGAGTTCTTCTTTATTGCAACATTCTGGTTCATTTCTCGTTCCCTCTCTGCATCCTGTTCGGCTTTGGCATATAATTGATTCCATTTTTCATCCTGACTTGGAGGTGTCGGTTCTTTGGGTTAAAGCATAAAGATGTATATAAAGAAATTGAGAAGGAGAAAGGGAGAAGAAGAAAAATTAATCAATTAATTTTTACACATTTATCTTCCTTCTTAACCTACAGCACAAAACAGTAAAGAGTCTTTAACAAATCTCAGCACTGAAAAATACTTTTCAAATGGCCAATAAATTCAAAGCTACAAACCTTCATATGGGGTGTTTCTAGTCTTGAGAGATTCTGTTGATGATCTCGTACCCAATGTTGACATTCGACTTAAAGCCAGCGTCTCATCGGCGTCCCATGCTTTAACAATTTGTTTTGCTTCTAAAGCCTTCACACGATAATCAGAAGGTCGAGAAAAATCAATTATTTTATTATCCTCCTGCTCTGCCTTCCCACTCGCTGTTTCGAAAATATTTTTATCATGTATCATTGGCACACGAAGTTGAAGTTGGAGAATTTCTTTCATGACTGTTCTCGAAATAGATGATAATTCGTGTATGAAAGATCCCCTCAAAGTTCCAACTAAGAATTGTTCTGGCATTTCCATAAATGCTTTGCTTAACGTACTGATTGGAGCTGAAAATTTAATTTTTGTATTTTCTTGTGTTTATGTTATTCGATTTTTATAGCTTACGTATGGGAATTAAAGATTTTCTTATAAAATATATAAACGAGACACTTTTCTCGATTTCCTTGACATTTTCCATACCAAACACAACATGTAGAATTGGCGTTTTCTCATATGACTGTTCAATTTTCTATAAAAATATAACATGTAATCAAAATAATGAGTGACGAAAATATTTCTCATGTAAACCAATGGTAATTACCCGAACTTCGATGTAGTTATACTCTTGTTCCTTGGGTGGCTCAGGAGTCTCACCTTCTGGCTCATCATCTTTAAATCATGAAAAGATTTTGTGCAAAGAAAGAAAAATCATGAATGAAGATAATGGATATTACTTAATGATTATGAAACTAATTAAATTATTTTTCATTTCAATTTTACCCTTTTTCCTTACCTTCAACAGCAGTTCTCCGTCTTTTCGATTTTCCGCCTTTTTTCTTCTCAGGCACTAAAAACATAAAATAGAAGTGAAGAAAGAAAAAAGAAACAAAGAATGTTTTACAAGTTGAGAAAACGGTGAATAAAAGTTGCTTTTAACACACGGATAAAAGCAATAAGACATTAACTGTAGCAAAAATAAAAATTAATCCTTCAAAAGAAAAGCGAACAAGAAAATTTACATTTTTAATTGTTCGATGAGAGAAAAAAAGGGGGAGCTACTCCACTGGGTGTTTAATTTCAATGTAAATGAGAGAACATTATTCTCGAGGACCAAAAAGAAACCAAATGGAAAAATAAAGAGGCAAAGATAAAGACACGCGGTATAAAAGAGGGATTAAATAACATTTCAAATGAAAAACATTATAGATTTACGTAAAATATTTTATGTCTAATCCAAAAGTAGTTAAATGTAATTTCTTGCCATATTATTGCGCGCGATAGATTAAACTTTCTCGCCAATGAAAATAAATAATGACTCCCCTAAGGATCTTCTCTTCAATTAAATAGAATACAAGAGCCAACTACGACAAGGGAAGCTATTAACTTTCACGTTGTGACCTGCAAAGTATTCTGAAAGATGAAAAGTTTTAAAAGTTCGATGAAAAGTAAAATTTTAATCCCTCAGCATGTAAATTGACGTCGGCTGTCTTATGTTCCAGCTGAGCATAGGTAAGTATAAGAATAAAACAGCTCATTTACGGACTGCGGGTCATGAGATTTTCTTTTTCTTTACTTCAACTTTATCGTATCCAATAAACCGCATATTTCATGACTCTAGGGCACAAATGACTAAAACAACAGCTCATGGAGAGAGTAACATTTAGAAGCTTTTCAAGTAATGCAAGTATTTTTCTAAGACTTATTAAAACTTCGGACTTTTCCTTTCTTTCTTCTGGCAATAATAAAGTTTAATAGACATTTTTGAAAGCTTGCATCAGTGGATAAAGGTCTCCAATGGGATGTCTTTAAGTGAAATGTTTTCTCTTTTCAAGCTGTTATTTTTATCTAAGAGTTCTTTTTAAAAAGAAGAAGAAGACATTAAAATATGATTTCTAAGAAATTTGACTTTTTTGTGAATAACTTTATAACTATCCACACTAGAAGAATTGAAGATATCTATTATTATTATTCAACAATCTCAGTCTTACAATGTGCTAACGTTTTCTCAATTCTTTTCTTTTATCCTTTTCAACTCCTTCAACAAACATTCAGCACATGTTAGAACATAAACAATTGGCATATTCGATTTGCCTAAACAAATATTCTCTTTTCATAAATTTCTTCCAAATAAATAATCGCTAAGGTTTGTATTTTTTTAGGGTGATTCTATTTTGTGTGATAAAGGTAAAAGTTAGAATATATTACAATGTTCTGCAAAGATGGCCCTTCAGATATCCACATGATATGTGCGTAATAAAAGATTTCTTTTTATATGCATATTTGAATTCTTTTTCTGTGTGTTTGTGTGGGTGGGAAAGCATTGTAGGGAAAACAAATTGAGAAGTTTGAAACTGGCCATCACTAGATGAAAGGACAATGGAAATCCGCAAAGCAAATAACTCACCAGAACGTGATGTCTCCACAACCTCTCTATCGACTTGCTCGATATCAGGGTCAGGTCGAACTTCCGCTAACTCTTCTTTGATGTCTTTACCTTTTTTCACTAAAAAATCGAGAAGAAATTCATAAATAAAAAATATAAATACAATGCGAACCCATAATAAAAATTTTGCATTAGTATAGGCGAGCTTTAATAATAATTTAAAAAATTTTATGAATTTTTTTTTTCAATAAAAGTAAAATTGTTATGTTAGGGATAGATACGATGACCAAGCAGTGCCGCATTGAGGTCATCTTGACAAATTTATCCACAAAGCTATAGACATATGTCAACGTCCCAAGGTCTCTTGATTTAATTTAAGAATAGATCTTCTTACCTTTTCCCTTTTTGCCTTTTTTTTCTTTGGATATGTCAGTGTCAACTGGTGGCGGTGGTGTCATGTTTCTCGGAACTAAAAAAGGTATCCAAAAGTAAATTGATTGTAAAAACAGGCATGAGTGTCAGAAATTTTATTTTTTCATTTTGTTTTAAATCGTTACAAATAAAGCAAACTTTATGCAACTCACCTTTTTCTATTGACACAACTTCACGTTCTACCAATCGATCATAGAAGGTCCGATAAATAAGGAAAATACATTTTTCTATTTCTGTTACGGCAGTAACATTTGTATCCAAATACGCTACGAACTCATCATTTCGTTCATTCATTAGTGTCTCAAGAGCTTTTGGATGGTCTTGAACACCTAGAATCTTTGAAATGCGATCACGCAACCAAAATAATCGATAATCAGCCATGAGTGCTGCGTTTTTGTTGAACTTTACACTTTTCAACTGCAGCAAGGCAAATGAAATTATTATAATTGTTTATTATTGAATATGCTTTATTTTATCTGTTTTATTTGTTTTAATACTGTTGTCACACGTAAATGTAAATTGTTGCCCGGAGAAATAATGAAAAAAATCAATTTCACTGGTTTTCAATACAAACATTTTTATCAATCGCAGTCGCGGAGAGAAAATTGAATTATTATCATAATTATTTAATTTAACAATTGTTTTTCACTCATTTTGCAAACGATAAATGTAAAAGTTCTCTTATTATGTGAAATATTAATTGAAGTGTTTTTGAAAGAAATGATTTTGTTTTTCTAATGCTAATCTTACTGAAGCATAACTCTGATATTCAAACAGTTTTATTAGTTGCTAAGAGTAACAAAAAAGAATTTCCATAACTTCCTAAGACTCGTTTTCATGACGATTAAACTTGTTTATGTTTTCGAAATGATTGCAACTTGACGTTCTATTATTAAATAAATTCGAAAAATGCTTCAGGAGTGTGTTCTAAAAAGTGCTTAAAGATCTTTCAACATTTTTGAACTTTCATCATTCATAGAGCCAAAAAACTCAAGTTATCAAGCAATCGATTCATTCTGAGGTTTTTCAAATAAATATGTAATGTACAATTTCTTGCTTTTACCCATTAGAATCATCAACATAACCATTCTATACTTGTATTATTTCCTGAAAAAAGTCTGATATGAATACTTCCACAAGAGTGACTGTTGAGTGACACTTGAAGCCTTATGTATTTACATACTATTAAGAGAATGTGAAAACTTTTCACTTAACATCTTGAACTTTGTGCAAACGACCAAGTTTCTTCTGAAAAGACTTAGAATTATTAAGTTTTGATAGTGCCATTTACCTACTTGTTCTAGCGAGATTGTTTATTGTAGAGCAAAAACTTCCAGCTCTCTTGATAGCTCGCACTAATTAAATGTTTTTGCAACACTTTTGTTTGCCAACCTTACTTTTGCATTGTTGGTAATTTTATTGAAACATATTTCAACCTACTGTAATGTTTTTACAATTTCCTATATAAAGTGAAGGGGAAGAAGGCAAGGGAAAACGAAGAAGCAAGTTACTCGGTAACAAATTTTCGTAATTAAATTTATTCCAAAATTGTATTTTATTTATGCGAATAGTTTGCTCTGTTGCTGTATTAGAAGTTTCTGAAACATTTTTTTTGCCCTTAAGATATTAACGTAGATGTGTATCTAGTTTCATGTGCTTCATAAATGTTCCTAACAAGCGAATTAAAGCAATTTATTTAAATAACAATAGTTTCTTCATCTAGCTCTTTCGTACTTAAACTTTCAAAACATGGACGATATTATGTTGCTTGCCTACATACACTTAATTTCAATCGCGTTGTTTTCATCCTTACACGATTTATTTGCTATTTTAGGAACAATTAATGCTGTTGTACATTCAAATGTTTCATCCTTTGTTTCATCCTCTCCAGTAATAAAGAACTAGTTGAGCAACAACCTAATTGTGTTTGGTATACATACATGTTATAAAAAAAATTCGACTAATTTCATAAAACATCTTTGAACATTTTACTAGCTAGGAAGGTATTCGATATTTATTAAAATGTTAGAATTATGCTGACAATGATAATCTGTGTTCGAAGTAGCATGTTTCCTAAGTATGATGCTTTCGAATCCCATTCACCTAAAAATAGATAAAAAAGATTGCAATATATTTTCTGATACCACACAGGATTGCAGACTAAGATATTTTGCAGTAAGTGAAGAAATCTTCATCTAATTTTTTAGAGATTTTTTAGAGATTTTTTCTTTCTCATTGAGAGGATATATTAGGATATAGTTAAGCAGAAAAGAAAGATGGTGATTAGTAACAAGCATTTTCCAATTTTCTTCGTGTACATAAATAATTTCTTTTGAAAGAAATTTCTGATAGGAAGAAGAGTGCTTTTATTTCTACTAAAAATAATTCTTTTTCGTTCCTTTCCTTCGTAAAGAGTTTATTTTTCGGAAATCTTTAGTAGAGTTGATTGGTGCAAAATATGTGCTTCGATAACGTAAAGTATCCTTAAAAGCTTTAAACACTGGCATCAGAAGAAAGAAAAACTATAAACAAGAGAATTATTCAGACAAACAGACGTTGAGAGTTGAGTCGATATCGTTCAGGGTGAGCACCATGTGTATTTTATTTTTATTGCAATTTTCTCTCGTTCGTTGAATAGAAGTAATACAAAAGAGAAAAGGAAACATAAGTAAAAGAAAATAAATAAAATATAACAATAATAATAAAACAAAAACGATATTTCTCGTGTGGCCACCCTTACGAAGGAGAAGCATTATGAGATATTTTTCTTTCTCTTTTCAAAATTCTTCTCTTCAGGAAATCATGTTTTGAAAGCAAGGATCGCTTTATATGATTTCATTTAAGCAAAATATTTTATGAAGTCTTTTAATCTCGTCATGAACGTAAATTTTTTTATGACCTGAACTAGACACGAAAACATCGTCGGACAAAAAAAAATTCATTTATACACTGGGTTCGTATTCAACATAAGAAAATTTCTGTTTCTTGAATTAACGAATAGTAAAAAAAATAAAAAATGTACCTTTGCAATTCCAATAATCATTGGAAATAACCAAATAATCTTTTTTGCAAATGCACAACAGCTGATGACGACAAAATGCATTTTCGATACAATGTGAATCGTAATTGCATTTGGAGCCTACTCCTGTAAATACAAAAAAAATGAATTAATTTTGAATTTATTTTATTTTTCTCAGACATCAAAAATGTGATATTGAATTTTATTTTCGTTTTAAGTGCCAAGAACTGAGACAAGAATTATTATTGCGATATTTTTTTTATAATTAGTCAGTTCCTTTTAAAACATTCTTTTTCTCGATCCAATTCAATATTACAGCCATGTAATTAAAAGTGAATTTTCAATTGTGGTCATTAACTTATAAATTTTTCATTTTAAAATTCGCAATGAAGCAAAATTCGATTTGTAGACGAAGTTCCGTCCAAACTTTATGATATTTTCATTTTGCTATAAAAAAAAAGTCTTAAAAGTTGAATGCACAAAAACTATATTTATTCAAAAATTATAGATATTTTCAGAGCAATCAAGATAGTTTTCCCAGCAATTAAGACCACAAACAAAAATTCGAAAGAGTTTTGAATTTAAAATTATATCATAGTATGAAGCATAAATCTATGAAGAGATGAACAGAAAAATCTTCTGTGTTGTAGATATACGTTATTTATTGAACACAAAACTTTTGATCTAACACAAACATTTCATACACAACTTTTACTTCACATATAATATCTGAAAAACTTTATGTTCTACGAATGAAGTCTTACTCTTACGACTTCTCAAAGAAAGTTCAATTGGACGAATAATTTCTTCTCAGTTTGTTTATGTGTAAGATTTTGAAACAAACAATTTAAAATTAAATTGAGTTTGGACTTTTCAATAGAAAGATATTGAAGAAGATGGAAGATATTCAAAAGAAAAATTTGAAATTTGTTCATTGACATAGCAATCGATGAGATACATAATAAATTATGAATAAAATCAATTATGTTTCTTGTTAGTCATGTTTCAATGTAGAATTATATTTATCCGACGAAACTTTCAGCATTAGGAAAATTCCTGAGATTTAAAATTTTTCAATGAAAATATTTTTAAGATTTCAAATAAAAAATGTAGGAAAACCAGGTTCAAACATTGACAGACATAATTTTAATTCTAAAATACCATTGAGAACAATAAACTTTAAAAAGAGCTAATCAATCCTTTTTATATCTGTACCTAAAGGTAGTTTATAAATAAAATAATTTTGATATTTGAAACATGCCATTTAGCGATACTAGAATTTGAAATGAAATTTCGTAATAGCTTTCATGAGTAATCGAAATGTAAAGTGTTTTACGTAATTTATATTTTTCAATTATATTTATCTTTCATTTACTTCGACTCACCTCCTATGCAAGTTTTGTTTTTTTCATCTAATTTATATCCCTCAGTACATTCGCATGAGTTCTTATTGCAAATGTAAGCATATTCACGACAATCTCTTGTATTTTCACAATAGTCTCGATATTCTGAAAAGTAAGCGTAATCGACTTCATAAACGTTTTCTTCTTGTACTATAATCCCTAGGTTTTAAAAACAACTTCATTTATAACCGCTCAATTGATTCTCGTCTGCTGACAAATACAATTATAGAACAGCACATTTTCTCGTATCGCATTAATCGACTCCAGAACAATTTGTAGCGTAGTTGAAATATGATATCAGCATCCATAAGCATACATAATGAATTCACCATGATTCATCAACAATCGACAGCCAGTTTATTGTAGAAAGAGCGCATTATACATTTAAGAGGAATTGATTGTAAATAATGAGTAATTATCGCAGCAAGTGAAGCTTATGCGAATCAACAACAAGAAAGCAAAGAAAACATGAGAATTTTCTCTTTTTCTTTTTCGTCAACATTAGGTTAAAGTTGAAGTAAATATACATATAATAATAATAAATAATAATAGTAATGATAATAATCACCCATGATTCCATGGTGAAGAACAGAGAAGGAAAAGAGAGAGTGAGAAAAAAAAATGAAAAACAAATTTGATGTAGAAAATAAGCTTTCGTCTTGAAAATCATTTGTAGGAAGGGAGAAAATTTACTTCCAATCTCTTTTCCAATCCATCATCTTGTTTGAAAGGCATTTCAATAGCAGCAGAAAACACATCAACCGCAACGCCACATAAAATCATGTTGAGTTCATTTCATGTAATATGATATATAACTTATTTCTTTCTTTCTCTTTAAATAATTCTTTCAATCAAAATGTTTTGTGTATGGAGTTTATATTATTACAATTGTCAAGTTTGAATATTTTGGTTATTTAGAAGAGAAGAGAAAGTAATTTCTTTCAATTATTTATCACACATCAAAGGAAGAAATATTTTTATAACTAAATAATTGCTTGGTGGTGTGTCAAGAACAAGAACATTAAATTGAAAGGAGATTATCGTAATCACGAATAATCAGAAAGGGCAATTCTTTCTCCAACAAAATAAGTATCTCAGAATCATTTATTTGGACTCTATTTCTGTCTCAGTCATTAATGCTGAGAAGAGAAATTCACGTTCCGTCATGGTATTATTTCGATTACGAGGTTAAACAAAAAACATATACGTGATTTTTGTTTTGTTTCCCTAGCTGATATAAAAAGTAGGACATGTTCGTCATCAACAGGACTTAATAACAGAACTGACATTCTTTAGTGTATCATTTCTTACTTAAGAAGAAGCTTAAGAGATGTTTTTAATTGAATAACTAACAATGTGAGTCATTTCAGATTTTGTCTCAGAAAATACCGAATATCAAGTTTCATATTTGACATAAAGTGGATATATCTATGAAGATATTTCGTGATTTTTTGTGAATATTTTTTAGTAGAGAGGTTTCTTATTTAACGTTGGGTATTCAAGAAGAGTCCTTCAAACTAGCATTAATACAAAACAACCAAGTAGAACGGGTAAGGAACATTAATTATTATAATTTTGTCAAAAATAAATGTTTTGTAACATTTTCTGTATATCTGTAAGCATTAAGATATTTTTTAACTCCCAAGGCAATTTTAAATAATTTACTTAATGTATTTTAATTAAAACGTCTCAACTATTTACCTAATTTTTTTCACAAATAATTATCCATACGACAAAAGGGTTATGTTAAACTTCAAAAAACTGTTCTTTAGTATAACTAAGATTAACATGATACTTATGAGACTTCCAAGTTTTCGTAGAATTTAGCTAATCTAGCTTAAATTTATGTTTCTAACAATTCTTGTGTTTGCTTCATTCAACTACATAGATTAAATATGCGTCAAAAAGGAAAATCTGTGTCAAGCTGAATTAATATGTTGCAGTTCAAATATCCAGTTTAATACGAATATATAGTAATATCAAATGAATAAATAAACAAAATCATATCTACGGAAATTTGAACAAAAATTCATACACGAAAACAGTGAAGCGGTGTTGTCAGAGAAATTTGCTATTCATCGATATTTAATCGTTTCATTTGTTCCGTTGAATGTTGTTATGAAGCTGTAATATTTTTAGATTACCTCCAGGCACTTGAAATCTCTCATGATATTTGTTATGACTAGTAATTCCACTCGTGTAGTCTTTCTCGATGATGTTTATTGCGAAAGAATTAATAAATGGAAACAGACTTAATAGAAATAATACGCAAGCTTTCAGATCAATGATTGAGATCATTATTTTTGTTAACTGTTCATTAATATCTCAATCATTATTTTCACAGCAACTTAGCACATTTTTGAGATCTACTAAACATCTGTATGGCACAAAAATTGCTCACTAACTGAATTCCCTTTGAAAATTTAGGCTCATTTTTAATATTGGGCTTTAGAGAAATTGATGTCAGGCAGGTATTTTTCAAAGAAAATAATTTTCTATAAAGTTATTGTCGAAATATGTATCAGAATTTTCCACTTTTTTCTAATATTTATGACTTTATCGCAAAGTCATCGTTGATAATCAAACCACAACAATTTAAATATGAAACTAAAAAGCATTACCTTTTGAAGAAGAAAACATTGATTGATTATTTATGTACAAGGCACAAAAATCTCTTATTCACAACTATTATCATATGTGTTAACATATTTTTGCTAAGCGATTGGTATGTACAAGATGTACAAAAATTTCCTGTAACAATATTCAATCTCAAGGGATATAGAAATCTTCTCAGTTTCTGAAAACAAAACAATTATGAGGTGAGTCGAGATTTCCTGATTGATATATAGAGATCTAATTATTCATAGAGCAAATCATTTCGTTTTAATGTGCACTCGTTTTTTCTGTAATTAAAAATAATAAATAGCTCTACAAATACCAGAACAATAAAATAATTTAGACGCAACCTTATGCTTATCTTCGAAATTAAAAGGAATAAAAGTAAAATATGAAATAAATGATTCTCTTTTTTAGGGTTTAGGCTTATTTGAATGAATGATGTTCATGATAAATCTTGTATCATAATTTATTAAAAAATAGATTACACCATGTTTTAGAATATTATGCTCCTTAGATAAACAAAGGATTGTCGTTTTGTAAAAAAAACGAAAACAAAATGAAATTTCATTTAGGAAATGTTCGAGAATTAGGTATGCTATGTTGTTGAAAAATGTGTTTGATTAAATATACTTATAAGATTTTTCCAGCAAGGTTTAAATCTTTTGAATTCTTTACTCTTTTCTATATTTAGCAAACGTAAACAAGGAATGTTTCCTTAATTGGAAAAGAGTTTTTTCTTACTTTTTGGTCGTAAATGAGATGAGAGTCTCATTGTGCATTGTCAGAGTAATTTATTTTCAACATTAGGAAGAATGATAGCTTTACCAGTGAATTATTTCATATCTCAATGATGTTAGGCATTTAATTTGTAAGATTTATATTTTAATTAAAAATTTTGTATCTTTTAGCAAAGTTTTCGTCTTTATTCAGAGGAAATACTTAATGCGAAGGAAATAAAAATATTTGATACTGTCAACATTGACTTTAAAATCATCCATTAAAGTTTTGAGACATAAATAAGAGAGTAATTCAATTTCGAGCCTTTCATAGTTGTGATGAATTTAATTTTCAAAGAAACTTGCTACGTTGTCTGTTTTCCATTAAGATGACAATCTTCCTCGTAATATATTTTATTTTAATTCTAGTAATGGGGCTTTCAAGCGTTTCATTAATTTGAAACAATAAACAAAATTAGAGATGAAGTTTTTGTTCTCTAAAAATGATTGTTAAAGTGGCAAAGTGATTTTTTTTCAATAGCTGTTAGATAGATTCAAAAAGAAGGATATCTAGGAGAAAACAATCAAGTTTGAAAAGCTTTGAAAAAAAAACTAAAACAAAAAAACTATTTTATAGTTTCTATAACAAAGAATAGAAAATTTCTTTCTGTTCTTTAAAAACTATCACCAATCTATGTTATTAAAGAAAAATAAAATTAAGATTAAAATGATAATTTTTAAGAAGTATGAAAATTAATCGGTTAAGTAAACGAAAATAAAAATGACAAATAAAAATATTGAGCTCATTTGAAGACCTAGAAAAAGGAAAATAAATTTATGAAATTTAGATTTTAATTTGCTTCTTTATTATATTTTATTTGCAACATAAATTACAATAAAATATCTTCTCTTTACACGCTTATTCTCCTTTAAAATGTTTTCATGAATGATGTTCAAAGCATTTTTACATTAAAGTTGTTTAAAAATAAGGTGCATTGGGATTACCAGTTTTTTGATAAATTGCAGTATCATAGAAATATATGTTGGGTGTTCTATAGTCGTATATGTCAATTTCGCGGTTGAATGGGAAACCGAATGGAACGGAATCAAGGTATCTTGTACCACTTCCTACACCACATGAAATTGAAGCATCATATCCCGAAAAGCGTTCATATGTTGGAGCCTTATATGGCATCACCATGAAGAAGAATTGGACAGCGAATCCACCAACACGGCCACGTGGAAGCATGAGACGAGCAGGGAATCCGCAGTGGGCTTCACTCATGTCTAATGGGAACTTTTCTCCTCCATTCTTGGCACTCATGACACTCTTGTATAAGTTGGAATAAGTAGTACGATCATTGACAAACCACGTGAAATCAGTTGACTTGCGTTCATAAACATTTTCTCCTGTTTTCAGATCGAAAAGATATCGATCAAGTTCCCAGAAGTTATTTCGGTTCTCATTGATGTTCAAAATATTTCCATAACTGTCGTACTTTGGTCCTACAAAAATCACCATCACGGCCTTTTGATCCTTATCAGACTTAACTTTCATTTTCACAGTGAAAGGCAAATGATTTAACCTTGGAACTTGAACTTTAAGCTCCACGCGAGCATTTGCGATGTCTTTTGTGTCCGTTGGAATATCTGCAGCGTTTGAAATGTCAGCAGTGAAGTTGTCGAAATATGTAAGAAGTTTGTTCATTTCAATTCCCTCGATAGCAACACCATCGAAACCTAACTCAGTTTTCGTGTATTTGGGGAATTTTTTCGCAAAAGCATCATAGAAGAATGAAATACGTTTGTAGAAGACATAAAACATTGGATCGCGCATTGCAGTTTCAAACAATTCCAAAACACTGTTTGTATTACAGAAACAAATAGAAAAAAAGTTAATACACAAAAATTATAATGAGTTTGAAACTAACCTTGGGATTTGTCTGTATGAGTCAAATGAATGAACTGAAGCTCCAAGAAGACGACGACCAAGGATTTCCAACATTCCATAATAGTACATGTTTCCAAATGAATCTTTATTCATTTGAATTAAATTTCCCAATTCTTCTACTGTTTCTGGCTTGTCCAAAGGTAATTTCTCTCCATCGGGCTTCAAAATATAACCACTGTCAATTGCTTCAAACAATCGATGTTCGAAGTTGTAAAGATGTTCAAGATAACGTTGATTATCCTTGTTCAAGTACATCATATAATAGTTAGATCGTGTAGGGAAATTAACACCATTATAATATGCAAGAGAAGGATAATATCCAGTTTCAAGTGGCGTCCAGAAATTAATTTCAGGAATTTCCCCGAGTCCATTAGAAAGCCGTTCGAGATAATAGCGTGCCAATATCTGTCTAATTTGGTAAATATAAAATTCACCTCTACGATCATTTTTCAAGCCAAACTCATCGCCTCCCAAAAATGCATTATAATCCAAATTCCAATAATAATAATAAGCATTTAATCCGATATCTGTTTGACGGAAAATCGAATTCATTAAACATACAAATTGAATATCACAAATCTCTCACCTTCCATGAAATATGCCAGTTTTGAGTCATGGTTTGTCTCGACATAGTAATTCGTATAATTCTGCTCGAATGTATATGAATTTGTGTCACCATTTTTCATCATATTTGTTGTTCCCCGCATTGTCATGAGTCGCGCGTTTGTGACAACATAGTTGTTGAAAAAGTAGAATGGAGAAATTTCATAAATTGCAGGTAAAACGATTCCAGCTAAATCATCACGATGAAGAACAGCCATTGAAAGTGACTGAATGAACATTCCTGGATTAATATTGAAACGAGCCCAACACATGAAGCGATAGAAAGTATCCCAGTCCTTTGCGTAGTAGAACATTTTGAACAACGCTAACATTTGTCCATTTTGATCAGTTTGGAAAGGTGCAAATATTTCTGTCATGTCGAGAAAGCCGTCATCGTAATAGTACGTGAAGTTGTCATAAACTTCAGGAGTAAACTTGTCTTTATAGCTGTCGAAATTCCATTGCTTTGCAACGTCGTAATATTTATTATGTATCTCTTCTTGCCAAACGTGCATTAATATCTCAAGAATTTCTTGTTGTTTTACGATGAAATCATCGTCAGCGTACTTGACCTCATCGGTCATGTATCGCGCACTGCACAATGCTATGAAAGCAAAAATTAGAACAGAAACTTTTCTCATTGCACCTTTATTAATGATCAACGTTGTACTGACTAATATCACATCAAAATTATGCTGCTTTTATAGGCAAAGATGGTCTCATATATTCGCCACACACTCTTGTCATCATATAGAATTTTGCATTTGTGTAAAAGTGCAAAAATGAAGCAATTTCTCTTATCATCGGTCTTACAAAATGTTTTGACTTCAAATGACAATTTAAAATTAAGTATTCAAATTTTAAAGTTGTTCATATATGCTATAAGGTAAAATTTGGAATGCGCACATAATTATCTTATATGAAAATCCAAATTACCTTTCTGAAAATTTTACTCAATAAAAGAATTGCTGTGCATGCTCTTGTCATTCTTTAAGCAAAAATCTGTAAGAAGAAATGGTTAACAACACATGCACAAACAAAAATCTATCTGTGTAGCTCGATATAAGAAAATGCAAATGAAATTGTTGCTTAAACTTGAGAATCCATTACAGCAGCTGAATCGAATTGAATTTAATTCTTACACATTATTCCAGCTCAATTCCGACGAAACGTAGTTCGTGAAGTAATTTCAGTCTTGTGGAAATTGACTCAAATTACCAAATATCTTCTGAATCGTTGCTATCAATGTGAATTAAGCAGAATTTTCTTTATGAGCGCTGAAATAAATTAACATTTAAATATCAATTTGAAAGTTTTATGGAATAATTATTTTATAGTGTTCTTTATTTTACGTCATATTAATTATAAGTTGACTTATTATCAAACACATCCTTCGTTTACAGTTAACGTTCATAACAAATATTCGTTTTCTTTATACAATCTTATCTGACTTTGTACATTTGAATAATCTTGTTTTGGTAATTATAAAAAAATCATTAATTTTAATATGTTTTTATAAAATCCATGTGATCTTTAAATTACAATGTTGCAGATAATCAATCTATGAAAATGAAGCTTAATAGATTTGAGCTGAGAATTTTGAAAGATTTTCAGTTGAATCATCATAAAAAAGGCTTTTTATTTCATGTAGGTATCTCTTTAACATGATAAAAAATATAACGAGATAGAATATATTTTAACTTCACATGTTGCTTATTTTATCAACATCAATTATCGTTTAGAAAATTTACTTTCTCGTGGGAATGAAGCGATCTTACAACAAAGTCTATTTATGTTCATAATTGCATATAAGTTTGAGTTTTTACACACATTCATGTTTGATGCTTATGTGTATGAAAAATTCTTTCGTCCATTTTTTATTCTTATCTTCATGCCAAAAAATTTATTCCACCTAGAGCTTAGAAACTGTTTTTAAAATATATTAGGGATATTCTGGAAAACTCTAGATAGATAATTGAATTATCAATTTTTCAAAAAGTTTATTACTTTCCTTTTTTTTGAATAAACAAAATCGATAGAAAAAATCTGACAAGCAATATGCTTGGATGTTTTGGTTTCACAAGAGAGAAAATATGTTTTCTTTTTCTTCCGTAACTGTTCAACGCGTTTCTATTTAAATTGCTTTATCAAATTAAATTTTGAGCATAAAGCAATGTAGCTTATATAAAATGTGTCTTTTGTATCATAGAACTGCTGTATTAATTATCTTGAATCAAACCTAAATGTGTATTTAAGTAATGTATGTTTCATTTCATATTATCGCTATGAGCTCTAAACTAATTTATTTTGATGGTTGCTGGTGTTAAGGTTCTTAGAAATATACCTTGACACTGTCGTCAATAAAAATGTTATGCTTAACAATATTATTTACAAATACATTTTCTATTTCTTTTTTCTTAGAGTTTTATATTGATCATATTGAGAACAAAAGATTATATAGGAGGAAAGAAATTGATGATATAATCATAAATAATATCGGTTTTCCGTTTTTGATTGAATAACCTGAAGCTCCGGTTAGAGCCGAATTGTCAGGGTCTCCATTCTTTTTTCCTTTTGTCCCATCCCATCCTAAGATATTAGGTGAAACTGTACTTGACATATCTGCCAACAATATACGTTGTTGAAGATTTTTATGGTAAATATGAAAAATTGTTATTTCGCAAGACACCGTGACGACATTTGTAAATGGTGCAGGATTTTGATAAATTTCTTGTAGTATGGGACAATGAGGAAAGAGTTCAAGTGCGGAATAAGTTGGTGTACCTTCAAATGATCGATATTGAATTCTTTGAAAAGGTAGTTTATTGACCTGTAAGAAAATAGAATTAATAGTCATCATAAAATACTTCATAAATTTATGTTTTAATTACTTTTTTATTGTTAATGTACCACGTTATATTTGCAGCAGGGAAAGATGTGCCAACAGTACATGTTGCTTTCAAATTATCATTTGCCAATAGAGTTTTCTTCTCCACAATCATCCGTGGCTCTTCATTTGGTAATTCTATTACTTGCATTACAGCTGTTCGGATATCTGTGTGAAATAATGGAGCATCCTCTGAAACTTCACATTGAAATTGTCCTGTCAAGTCTCTTGTTACACCTCGCAATGTCACTGAAGTAGCATCGGAATGTGTCAACTGGGAATTTATTTAATGAATATGTATTTATAATATGTGTTAGATTGTAGATATAACATAATCTAAAGAAATACTCACATCAACATTTATTCCTGATACTGGAAACGTTCTAGCAGGTGGCGCTTCTTTTGGAACAAAACGATAAAACTCTTCGCTTTCAAAGTACCATCGGACTGAATAAAGACTTGCCTATTGAAATATTATTCAAGTATTTTCCACTTTCAAATATTTATTTTTCTATCTTCTATCAACTTACATTATCCAAATCATATTGACAAGAGAGGGTAGCTGCGTTGCCCATAATGACTGCTTCAGGAACAAAAATTTTAAGTTCTTTGAGGCAAACAGCTGTAAAAATAAACATTAGTAAGTTATATAACATAACATTGCAAGATTTATAAGATATTTAATTGAAAAGCTTTAATAAGAAGAGGAAATAAAATATTTAAATTATGTTTTTTTACTAGTGTTTTTTCTTTTATTTCGTGTAATTTTTTTTTAAATTTTTTAATCAAATCAATGATTTTTTTGCAAGAACTATCTACACATTTTTTAAATATTGAAGTTATCAAAGGGCAGGGCAGTGATGTTGAGATTGTTTATTCTTTTAATGAGAGGCGTTGATTTCTGTTTGTGTTTTATGGAAGATGTTGACATCATAGTAGTACATGTTTGGTGTGAACCAGTAGTTTTCGTTGATCTCACGATCAAGAGGATATCCATAAGGAAGAGAATCAACATATCCATATCCGAATTCTTCATATCCTTCATGAGGCTTAGTTGTGGGTGCATTGTAAGGTGAGACGACGAAGAAGAATTGGTATGGCATACCTCCCTTCTTACCCTTTGGCAACATCAAACGAGCAGGGAATCCAGTGTGAGCCTCTGAAGTGTGCAATTGGTATTTATCTCCAGTTGTGTATGCATTCATGACTTGTTTGTAAAGTTCGAAGAATGTTGTGCGGTCTTTAACGAAGAATGAGAAATCATTTGAGTTACGGGTGATGACGTTCTTTCCGGCTTGGAATTCATAAGCAAACACATCCAAAAGAACGAAGTTTTCACGGTTATCATTGACATGGTAAACGTTTCCGTAGCTGTCGTATTTTGGTCCAAGATAAGCACGGACAACTCCCTTAACTGCCTTTTCACTGGCAACTGAGAGTTTGTATGTGAATGGAACTGTATTCAAGCGAGTTGAACGAGCCTTGATGACGAAATCTTCACCTTGATAGTGAGCAATCTTTCCGAATTTCTTCAATTCTGATGCTGGTGTCTTCTCATCATAAACTTCGACATCAACGGCGTTTGTGATATCAGCATCGAATCTATCGAAATAGGTTACAAGTTTGTCCATTTCAACTCCCTCAATCTTGACACCGGGGAATTCAATTTCTTCAACTGTGTAGTGTGGAAGATGTTCTTTGAATTGCCAATAGAATCCAATGATACGTTTGTATAATTGGTAGAAGACTGGGTCGCGAAGTGATGTTTCGAATTGTTCCAATACACTTGGGATGACTTTGTGATCTTCAAAGTGTTCAACGGAAGCTCCGAGGAGAATTCTTGCATACATTTCCAAAAATCCGTAGTATCTTGTATTGACACTGTCTGGATTTGTTTGGATCAAGTTACCCAAATATTCAACAGATTCTGGCTTGGTCAAGTCAACATGGTCGCCATTTGGCATGACAATGTATCCAAGATCAATAGCATCACGGATGCGACGTTCGTAGTCTTCAACTTCTTGGATGAGATGGTAGTTGTCTTCTGTGTACATAATGTAATTGTTGTCACGAGCTGGGAAAGGAACACCATTGTAGTAGTACATGTCTGGGAAGTATCCAGTCTTGATTGGCAATTCGTATGTGATTTCTGGAATGACTCCCAAATCATTGGAAAGGCGTTCCAAGTAGTAACGGGCCAAAAGTTGTTGATGGTGGAACAAGTACAATTCCCCACGACGGTCTTTGTATAATCCGAATTCCTTTCCTCCTAACCAGTATGGGAAATCAGCTTGAAGATAGTAGTACCAAGCGTTAAGACCAATATCTTCTGTGAAGTATGAAACCTTTTGTTCAGCGTTGGTGTGCATGTACCAGCCAGTGTAGTTTGCTGGGATGACAGCTTGGTAAACTCCTTCAACCTTCTTCATGCCATAGAATCCTTGCATTTTGTATTGATGAGCCTTTTGCAAAACTTCAGCATGGAAGAAATAGTATGGGTAGATTTCGTAGATGGCAGGCAATTCGATTCCGACAAAATCTGGGCGATGATAGATGGCGGTGGTCAAAGCGTAGATGAACATGCCTTCATTAACATGGAAGCTATAGGGAAATATTATATAAATAATCAGTCTATAAGTTAATCAATTTTTTATCATACCGAGCCCAAACCATGACCTTGTAGAATGTTTCCCAATCTTTGGCATAGTAGAAGATGTTGAAGAGAGCATTGACTTCATGAGATTGTTCTTCATTTAAGACAGTGAAGATCTCTTCGAATCCAAGAAGACCATGGTTGTAAAGTCTCACGAATTCTTTTACAGCTTCAACGTTTGTGAACGAGTCATAGTGTTCCTCGATGTTGTAGTTCTTTGAATCAGTCCAGAGTTGTGTGTGAACTTCCTTTTGGTGAACGTGTTGGAAGACTTCTAAGATGGCTTTTTGCTTAACTAAGAAATCTTTGTCAGCATAGTGGACTTGCTTCTCAGGAACAACCACGTATCCGGATGCCAATGTGGCAATGGCCAAAGTTACTAATAAGATCGCCTTCATGTTACAGTTGAAACAGATGACTGATACAATTTAACCATTTTTCCTCGTATTTATATGAATTTCACTGCTCACGATACTCTCACGTGTTGACAGCATAAATAAAATTTTTATTCTCTTTTTTTTCGACTGACTAGAGAAGAAACGAAATTTCGCTGCCAAACGGTGTACATAAAAATATGAACACTGATAAGAGTTTCATAAACAACATTTTTGTCTTTTCTTTCTCCTTGACCTTTTCGTACATAAACATAGATTCACGCAAGTGTACACTCAGAAAATCGTATTTTCGTATTTTTTTTAATTTAATTGAATGTATATGAAGTGCTTTTCTTATAAAAGTGAAAATAAAAGATGCTTACCTATTGATAATTGTTTTAAAACAAACATCAGCACTAAGTATAGTCCCATCTTGTTGTTAATTCTCAACCCTTTTTTTCTTATCTTGTGAAACTTTTAAGAAAATATCTGAAATGATAGATTTGTAATTTCTTTAATTAGTTTAAAATAGATAAGTAGGTTGCTAATTTATTTATAAAGTGGCATTTAAAACTGATTTAAAGCATGAAAATATTTGTAAACTTATCTGAAATTCAACACTTCAAGGCATAAGATTGATTATATTGTTTTATAACAATGCTTTTTACAACCATATTTAACAATCTGAAACATTTTGATGGAAATTTTAAATTACCAAACTATAAAAACTCCTAACACTCCAACTTCTTCTAAAATTCAGAGGCAAAAAACTGGCATATTTAATTCACAGTTTTCACTGTGAGATAATAAATCACCACGAAAGACATCGACATGAGAGAAAAATCTTTTACTGAAATTCAGGGCCTAAATGTGAATCATTTATTTAACTCACAGTGGCTTTCCTGTGAAACATGCGGACTTGTTGATACACATCGTAACCCAAAACCCGAATCAGCGAGAAAAAGGCAAACATTAAATTTTTTCTTACGCTTTATGGCGCCTTTAATTGCAAAGAATTAACATTTAATGATCCGTACATTACAAAGATGACGTGTTCCTTAATGTTTCTCTAAGGCCATACATTCCTGTAGAAATAAGCCAGAGCAGCCATAATTAATAACATAACGAAGTTTTGATCGTTAATTCTTTAATTCAAGATTAAAGTCGCTGAGAGTATATATAAGGATGGATAATGTCAAGAATTCAAAGAAAAGTTTTTTTCGAATTTAAGTTCAAAAAGATTCATTATTCTAAACAACAACACCAATAGCTGTATTGACAAAAAAAAATCTTCATAAGAAAAGTTTTCAACAATTTTGTTTCCTTTTTTAAATATAATTTACTTGCGATGGGCAAAAGAAAGATTAATGATGGCACCAAAAGCGGCAGATGGAAAAAAGTGTGGGCAAAATAGGAGCATGACGAGAAAGTGACTTATCTTTAATCTTTTATCCAAGCTCTTTTATTTCTTTTCACATTGGGTGATAGAGTATTTGTTATTAATTCCTGTAAAGCAGAATATTTGCTGTTTTCCAATGAATTCGCCTCATTTAATTAATGAGTTGTTTATGTACACAATTTCTCTTTCATTAATTTAGAACACTCTCTTCAGATCATCAATTATGAGCGCCCCTTTTTTTATCAGAGAAAGTGTGCAACGAAGCGAAAAGTTAATTCAATAACATAATTGAAACATGAGAATATTTGATTTTAGTATGAATTTCTTTCAACATTTCTTTTATAACAGATTGCATAACTATTATAGCTTAAATTCACTGTCAAAAGTACATTCGTAATTAATCATTTTAAATATGAAATTCATATTATGAATATTTAGTAGATATGCATAAATGTTTAATTTTGTTCATGTAGATAATGAATGTCATCTTCTATCTTCGAATGTCATTTTTCTTGTCATATATTCTTCAATTAACGATTTCATCCTTAAATGAATTGAATGTCTTTTATATGACATCGGACATTTTAGAAACATCACTTTCCAAATAAATAATTTATAATGTCATGAATGGACAGAAATTTTGTGGTAGTATATGTCATATCAGTAAATATTAAACTGAAAATAATAACAAATGTTCATTTCATCAAAACTACCATGCTCATTCAAGATAACTTTGTTATGAAAAATGGATTTTTTACCCTACACTGACAGTTAGATATCATTGAGGGTGCTTTAAAAAGATTTATCGGAAAATATACTCTTAGAACTCATTTTAGATATTCTAAAAATTTAATTCATCATTAAAATTATGTTGGTTCTTAAAACGAAATTTAAACTATGTCTTAAAACCATGACGACACTCATTTCTAGCGTCAATCATCAGCATTGTTGACGGGACAACAAAAGAAGGAAAATTTATGTATTATGGGAGAAATATTATCATTCTTTTTATTACATAATCTGCTCCAGTTTCTGTCAATTTTATTCTTGTTTTGTACAGACAATCTTGAGCAGCAAATCATTCATAATTATGTTATTGTTAGACCACTAGAAATTTTATCTTCTTATTGTTTGTGTCCTCGACATGGATTTGTGTCACATCATACGCGAGCAAAAACTGATGTGGTTATATCATAAGATCAAGAGCGAAAAATTATCAGCTTTTCTTATGAATGTATTTTATGTTTGGAACAATACAAGAATATAACAAATATTTATAAAGGACATGAACAGTGCTCTTTTATTTTCTTTTTTATCTTAGATATTTCAGTTTTTAGCGTGTCATTTCATTGATACCATATCTAAGGGGAAGTGACTTCGAGAAAAATCCTAGAAAAATTAGTTAGTAGAAAAAGAAGATAAATGGTGCTGAACAAACAAAAAAATGGAAGCTTTGATATACAGATCGAAGAATCTAGATTGTTCATTGATAAAATAATTTTGATTGCTTTATTTTCTTTTTTTTTGAAGCTGATGCAGCAGAATCTACCTATAAAATAAAGATGCTACATATATACATATATATCGTCATAGCTTCTACTTCTTTAAATTAAAAAGAGAAGAATATTATTTTCCATCTAAAAAAATTACGGGAAAAAAATTCCAGATTTATGTTATTGCTTGGCAGAAAATTGCATGACATTTTTTTAAATTTAAACCGTTAAAAATGTAAATGCGTAGAAAAATATTTTGTGAGTTAAATTTTGTTAAATAACAGGGATAAGAAGTAAAAATATATTGTATTTAGCATCATAATTTGTCATCTTAAACATTATATCATGATGAACATAATTTAAATATCATAAACTTAAAAACTTACCTTAGAATTTTTAACGGTAAAAATTTCAAAATCATCATGCAATTTTCTGTATGGAATAATTTTCATGCAATAATCTGGTCGCGGAATAATTTATTCGTGGAAAAAAATATTCCTCTCATTAAAAAATATACAATAGAATTAATGTTCAAGGGAAAGGATATGTGTTTCTGAAATTTCATTAGATGGCATTAGGCAATATTATATATTTATTTTTATCAGTGAGTTTTCAATTTGAAATAAAATTTAATTGCGCTCTTTTTAAGTCTTGGGATAAAATAATGTTCATAAAAAATCACATTAATTCATCATACTTAAATCACGAGACCTTCATCATTACTTTTTGGGCTTACGTGCTTTATAGACGGATGTAATAAATAGCAAAGGTAACTGAACTTTAATTTTTTCATTGATATTTAACTGAGATCAAATTTTCTTTTTCCTTATTTTTTTTCTTGTGCCATTTGAAATAAGAATATTGGTCATTGACAGTATTTTTGAGACGTCTCATTTCAGCATTATATAATGCTTATCAATATTATTTAATTTTTACTGTCATTGTACTGTAAGAAAAGTGAAATCATAAAAAAATGTATTTTCGGTTTGAAAACAACATGTTATGAAGTAATTGGCAACAACCTTTTTCTTCACATTCACAAAAATTATTAACGATAACCCTGATGACATGTTGAAAGCTATGAAAAAATAATTGACGTGAGCGCTTCAGAATCTTCTTGTTGTTATAATTAAAACACTCTGCTAAATATGAATATACATAGCTTTTAATTCTTATCAAACACTGATTTTTATGAAAACATAAGCATTGTGCAGCTTAAATAAACGAAAAAATTTTCAAGGCTGAAAGTCGTATAAATAAAACAACGTACAAAGAGTGTGTTGAACTTTTCTTTTTTAGGAATTTCTACAATTAAGAAGGATGAGAACGTTTTAGAATGAAGTCCAATTTAATTCTGTACATCTATAATCTAATTAAAAAAATGAGATTTTTTAAACTGTTGCTTCACTCGCTTCTTAAATGTGTAAAAAAGTTAAGAGAGATTATAAATCGTGAGTTTTAAAATAAATCTCATTATATCTACTTCTCAACAGGCAAATTATCAATTAAATACGTGTCTTTGGAAATTGATCGACAATAAAATTATTAAAGGTAATTTTAGAAATGCTGTTTAAAACTTTATGGTAGAGTTGATAGTTTCAAATTCAATAAGCTTATTTATCCTTTCAGAGTATTATCTTATTTAATTAAATGTTCAAAATATTTTCAAAGTTTTTGACAGTCAAAAAATTGGAGCTTAAGAGGAGGATTGTAATTCATTCAAATTGATAAATAATTAAAATTTACCAAATAAATAGATTGGTAATGTTGTCGAGATGATTCAACTCACTCAAGTGAAGCATTTGTTGCTTAATCTTATTCTCACTTTGCTCATATTTATTTCAAAATTATACGTATCGTCTCTTCCTTTAATATTTACACATCATCAGACTATAAGAGTGAGCTTTTTAAGAAATATTTACCCATAATATTAATAAGTAATGGATTTTGTGTTAGGATTAGTTATTTATACATACAGTAACTGAAATATTTAAGGTGATGTTTCTATGAGTAAATGAGAAAAAAAGTATGTGGTGAGAATTTTCGTTTCACGCCGCATTGAAAATTCCTTTCGTATTATAACATTCTTTGGAGTTTCAGTATTAAATTCACTTTCTTACTCTTATTTATTGTAAAGCGTTGAAGCTTTAGAATTTGTAAGCTAAAACTCATTATGAATTCACCAGGTGACTCCATTTAATCTTGAATTTGAGCTTAATTTGAATGTTTTTTTCTGCTCTCCCATAACTTACTTTTCTCTCTATATTTTCTTTTGCCCTTTTTATGCTCCACTTGAGCTGTGTGATGTTACCCGATGCTACCATTTTACGTTCCAACGTAAAAATTTGAGTTTATGCTTTTAAGAGGTATGGCGCAATTAGAAGTAAAATTTTATCTAATTTGAGGTTTTGAATTTTTAATGATTCATTCCTCAAGTGTCTCTTCTCAATTCTAAATTTTATTCTATCTGAGCTTATTGTAACTTTTTTTTCCTTTTGAATTCTCCACTGCAAAATTCACTGGACTATTCAAAGAGTGCCGTTGAAATCCTTTCACTCATAAAAGCCAGTCTTAAATTAACAAACATTTCCATAAAATAAATTTTATAGTAGAACAGTTTTACGCCCCGCTTTCCTCTACATAAACTTCACATAAACCGTAAGTCATAAAACGATGTAGGATATATGTTGAATTTAAGAAAAAGAATTTCATCATTCTACGGACAAAATCAGAATTTTATTTCACTGTAACCTTTTGACAAAGACTTATGCTATAAGTATGAAGCATAAATACGGAGAAAAGAAAAGAAGATAAAAATAGTTTCACAGACTAATGCTTATTGGAAGCAAAAGGACATCATTATGATAATATATTTTCATTCTATCATTATTTTTAAGTTATCTATAAGTCTTGTTCTCAAACATAAAATTGATAGCATAATTACAACGGAAATGAGAGTTTAGACTTTTATAAATATCATGCTTTTTATTGAAAATAAGACAATTCAAAAATCTGACTATTCTCCAAGCTTCTTCTCAGATTACAGCAATGCGAACAAAGAAAATAAATAAATACAAAAAATCGATTTAAAACAATAAAAACAAATTGGATGATGGGTAGAAGAACATAACATAATGTTCCAAAAAAGAAATGAAAGGAAGTGAGAGAGGGCTAGAATGATAGTAATGAATTGTTTACAATTCATTAGTTGAGAGATTTTCAATTTATTGCTGTTTTCAAACTTGAGATCAACTTCTATTTATACAAACAGAAATCAATGCATTTAACTTTGATTGCGATAACATCTTATGTGCTTAATCCAATAGATAGATATAACTTGTTGAACTTTTCCTAAAATATTTTTATTATGCCACAGTTCAAGCCTCGGCATCATTTGTCTGCTTTAGAATGAATGTAAAACGAAAATAAATATTGAGGATTGATTTTTTATCTACTCTCAAGATTTTCTTCTTTCTTCAAACATTTTCTTTTATTCTCGTTCTCCTTAAAATGACCAGAAAAGCTACAATAACTAATCAAACAATTGTTATACGAGATAAAATACCTGAAGCACATATTTGAGCACATAAATGCTTTGTTTGTTATTCAAAATATTCTTTTTAAACTTTTAGGATGGAAAACATGGAGAAAAGCAGAGTTTTTGTTTACGATACTCATAACTCATCGATTTTGGCTCATGAGAGTAACGTAAACGGTTGTGGTGGTAACTGGTAAGCAAAGATTAGCTCAATAAATTGAGACCATGGCATCCCTCCTCTTGGTAAGGCAACAGTAAGAAAAAACACAAAAAGGCGATAACAATTTATTGAATATCATGGTAGGAAGCACTTTAGAAAGGATTTAACTACATAATTTAGGGTTTCCCTTATATTTCTCTTTTTGCTTTCTCCTTTTACAGAACAATGCATAAAATTATGATTGGATTTATAATAATGAAAAATAAAAAGCACAAACATTTTCCCACAAGCACAAAGCTTTCGTTCTTGCCGCCTCAGAACAAGAGATTCTTAAGAAAGGAAGCTGAAATTGCTAATTAAATAACCGTAAAGCACTTGAACTGAAAAGCTAATTAGGCTCAGGGTCATTTCTTTCTGTTTTTCGTCTCCTTTCTTCTGTATCTTCTTGAAAGTAAACCCTCATCAACAAAGATATTGCCCTTTTTTATATATTTTTATTCTTTTCCTTTTTGTCAATAATTGAATCAGGTCGTGCCGTAATTAAATTAATTTACCTCTCCTGAGCTCCTCGATACTCAACGAGACAACTTTACCCGTAAAGCCCTTTTCTTTCATCCCATAATGAATACATATAGCTGAAGCAAAGAGAAAGAACGAAGGAAAAAAATCTTCCTACACTTTTTCATCTCCTTATGTTAGATGGAAAAGAAAAGTCAAATATTCGAGTCTCTGTCTTCTTAAAATCATTGCAACAATATAATTTATGTTCATTGTAAGAAACAACAAAAGCAAGGGAAAGAAAAACTCTTTATTGTAACATTAAGAAGCACTTTCATGGAAAAAAAATTAAAAGGCGTAATCAAATCTCTACCTGAATAAGTGTGTCGCTTATCGAGAAACTTGATTCCTTCAGAGTTTTCCATCGCTAATTTGTTGCGTTGAGTTCCTGCAACTCCTACTCTTAATGAATATTTCCTTTCCTTCGTGTTAGCATATCTGCATACAATTTCTTCTTTTTGTTTGAAATCATAAAATATTTGTGAACGTTTGTATGTTTTTTCTTTTCACAACGCACCCAATGCGGCGCAAAATGGTTATGCGAGATTATAAATTTCATTTAGAGACGCACCCAGATGAAATAGAGAAACAAAAAACAAAAAGGGAAGAAAAATACTTCATTTTAATAATAAGCTCTTAGGTCGTAAAAAGTTTTTCAATGGATTTACTGAATTTAACACACATTATTCTTAAACGACTGTGCACCCCGCAAGCAGAAGCCTCTCTTCAGGCCTCAACATAAAGAGATTCAATTCTATTAGCATTGAATAGCTTTTTACCAACACAACATGCATTTGAAAAGGAGTTTTAATGTTGAAAGTTCCATAAAAACTCTGCCTTTAACTCTTGAAGTTTTATTTTGATGCAAATTTATTTGTCTTGTCTTGTTAGATGTGCTCATTATTTTTAAATTTATTCTTACTTCACATCCTGTCAAGTCAACCGTGATGTATGTTTATTTAAAATGTTAAAATTGTAAATGATACATGGAAATGCTTACATGTTAATGATAAATTTACAACTGCCTTACTCTTTAATAAAGTTTTGATAAATGTATGTTGAGAATTCTCATGGAATTTCTATTTAATTGCCAATTTTATATTCATTAAAGATTAAACTAATGAATAATCAAGTACTCAGTTTTTGAAATTATTGTTAATTTACCTTTAAAACTCAAATACTTCCAGTTTCGAATAAATAATTATAATTATATATTTCTCTTATTACATTCAAAGAGAAAAAAAATTTCACTTAAAGAAAATTAAATTCTGTGAAGAGAATTGCGTTAATGGTTGAAACTATTGCAACGCCGCTCAGATTAAAAAGCGACAAGAAAACTTTATACCATTAAAAGTTATTATCTGTAGTAGATTTTCGAATGAATGAGATTGTAAACGTAATTCTTTAAACTACAGAAGCGAAGAGAAGAAAACGGAAGCGCAAAAAAGGAAACTTCGTGCCAAGTTAATTAAATAATAAACCATAATTTTTTGCTCCGCTCCTTTTCTTTTGTAGCGATGAAGCTACTTAATGTTATAACTTTTCGACTCTTGATTTCGCCATCTAACATGGTCACTCAACATGAGTATTCAACAGTCTTCTATGTGGATCGTTATAATGCTTGTTATCTGATGCTTGAGAAACGGAAAACGGCCCTCGACTGCCATTGAAGAGGAAAATGAAATAAAGTGTAGGCGATAAAGAAAGAGAAAAGCAATAAATGAAAGAATGTTCTGTACTCATTATAACATAGCTTTATGATATATAATTGCATTTGATACTATTCTTGAAAGCTCAGCCAGCATTAATGAAGCAAAGTGCTGCTCAATTATTTTATTATCATTGAGTGTTAATTTGAAAAACTACAGTTAATTACTTCATTCATCTCTTGGATGGTATTACTTTCAACGAAATAATACTAAAGAATGACGTGTTTACTGGATTAATCATCACAATACTTAAGCTCAACCTTACAGCTTTTCAACCCGATTCTCAATCACAAGTTTCTACAAAGAAAAAGGAAATTTCAGTTGTCTTTAAGTATTTTCTGAGTTGATCATTTGATTAAAGCACAGCAAAAACTTCGAGTGTATCCATTTCTCAATGACATAAATCTGAATTTATATCTAATCAAAAGAAATTATTTGCAGAAGGTGACAAAGCATGACGTTTCTAAAACACAATTATAACAACAGCTCAGTGAGTGTTTAAAACATGAATCGCAAAAAGGCAATTGATTATTATAAAACGAGAAACAAGAGTAGATACTTCCGATGCTCCTACAGAATGCAACAAAGTTTTCAAAGCTAAACCATTTCAAAATAAATATTTCTATTACAATAAATCTTTTAAAAGCAACATCGTCCAAGAAAAAAAAATAAGATTTAAACGACCATAAGCAAGAGGTAGCATGAAACGTTCTGATTAAATGGACCAAAACGCCAACAAACAAGGGAATGAAATGGAAAAGAAAAATGAATAAAAACATGGTGAAGAAAAGTCCCTCGCAAACTTACTCCCAGTCATAGACAAAATATGATGAAGATTGCTCAAGATAAAAACAAATGGCTAAGTTTTCTGAATTTTAAAAATGCTTCCTTGAGAGCACTCAAGATTCTCATCGAATAAAAAACACTTTTGAGGGAAACAGGATCGGACATTTATTTCAACATTTTGAAATATATTATTCTTATGAAAATATATGGTTTCAGACTGTTGTGAGGACAGTTATTTCATTCAGTGCACGAGGAAATGGTAAGGAAAAAAAGGAAAATAAAAGAGAAAAAATTATGTTTGTGAGCACACTCATAGCTAAAAGAAGGAATTTTCAGGAGATTTATGATACTTTTGTCTTGCTGTCGGAAAATGTAAGAATAAACTTTTCTAGATTTCAAAATTTTTCTGGGTGTTCTTCTTTTTGTTTTAAGTTGCGCCGAAAACGATTTTCATACATAGATATAAAATACGAATGTATTTATGTATATGAAGCCACAAAGTTTCATCTAGTGATCTTGATGTGATTTTGTGACTATTATGAAATTTAATATCCCACATACAACACAAGTTTATATCATTAACTTGGCTTCTATCATGACCTCTGTAAATAAAATCTTCTCAAATTAAAAATTTATGTTCTGATTGTTATCGCTTAGAAAATTTTTCTGTAGATTTCTTGAGGGTTAACAAAAAAATCTTTATCGGAAATTTTACTGCCTTTCTCATCAGCATTTTAATAGCTTTTTCTTCTTCTTTTTATGTCATTTAGTTAACACATACTGCAAAGACATTAATAAAGTTTCTGCATATACTAAAGTATGTAGGAAAAAGAAATAAATTTTCCGAAAGTGTCTTTAATTGCAAAAGCGAAGACTTTGCCTGAAATAAGTAAAATATTTTTCCAAAACTTTCACCCATCTAAACCTCAGAATTCTAGAATTCTGCTTAGTTTACCAAAATCTTGAGTCTTCACAACAAGTCACAAATAAATTCTAAAAACATTCAGAAGCTAAAATAAGACAAGTTATTTACTCGTCGTAACAATGGGAAAAGAAGAAAATCACGCTTTTACAATTTACTTTTGACAAATAGTTTTATGTCATTTTTTATTTGCTTTGGGGAAATCTCAAAGATGTCATAGAAGTCAAGCTGAAGAAGAATTGCTTGTACGCAACTGAGATTACGTCGTGTGGAGTTTTGAATCCTCAGCTAAATTTACAGTGAATGACTTCATCAAAGCATAAATAAAAAAATCTTTCATCGTGTAAAATAAACAAGAATGAAAGAAAAAAAACATTCACATAAAGGCTCCACATAACGAACGATATGAGTGATAAAACAGCCGACAACAGAATTTTAAAAGGAAATAAATGCGATGAAATCCCGCAAGCCTTTGTGAGATTTTCAATTTCTCTAAGGCATAAGAAAGGCAAAATTATATATAAAATGGAAGAAAAAGTAATCTTTAAAAATAACAGTTGTGCTTATAAGAGCATTCTACTTAGAACAAACCAGACAATAAAAACATTTGACGCTGAAAGCTTCATGAAAATCACTTCAGTTTTATTGGCTTCCTTCAAAAAATATTTTCATGTAGCTTGTGAAAAGAAAGAGTATTCTAGAAGTCCTCAAACTCAAATCCTCCCTCTCATGAAGTAAGCATTTTGTGCAAGCATCATTCAAAACAGTATATCTTTTACTTGTTTTTCTTGTAGCTATGCCCTCAAACCGGGATGAATTTCGTGTTTTTGTTATTGAGAAAAATGAACGAAGGGTGTTTGTAATAATAGAAAAAAAAAAACCGCCAGGCCTAAGAGGATTCAGTCGCATTTCAAATTGGCCATATCTCCATCATATAAACAACTTATTTTCCACTCTCTTGCTCCTATCACCAACTAACTCAAGGCAATTTAGCCTGTTATGAGTTGTGAATGGGTAATTTCCGTTTAACAGATTTCAATTTTTGCACTCGAAAGATAGAAAACGTCGAGATTGAAAATCATATCAAATCTTTGCGTTAACGCTCTTCTACTAAATTTAATGAAGTTGACTTCTTGTAAACGAAAACCCTCAAAATATATTTAGTAAATCGAATTATTTAAAATTTCATTTATTCGCAATTCCTCCCCACAACGCACGCTCCCACCCCGCGTGTTAATTTATTTTCTCTCTACTTTTCCGCGTTAAATATGAAAAGATAGAATCAAAAGAAGGCGAGAGGGTATTTATTGAAAAAGAATCAAACCTTTACCAGCACAATATTTCCCTACTTTTATGCGAATCAAATTAAACCTCAAAAACATTTTATTTGCCTCCATTTCTTTCCTTCCAACATTATTAATGTGCCAAATTGATATTGTTATTGAAAATGTTGTTGATGTTTTTTTTCCTGTTCACTTAAGCTCTTCAGTAAGCAGAATAAGAAGAAGCAACAAAATTGGAAAACGTCGAAAACAATAGCTTGCCCGAAGAGAAGGCCTCACATAGCTATAGCAAAAACCAATAATATGTAAGTAGAATTGTTTATAACATTTTTATCGCCAATGAAACAATTTATCTGTGAGTGAAATAGAAGAGCATTAAAACATAGTAGCGACGCTTATGAAAGAGAAAGAAAAAAAAATAAAATGGGATCAGATGGAAAATTGGATGAATCATAATTTCAATTAAGCCAAAGTAAATTGAGTGGAGAGCAATAAATATGCCAGTTGATGAACGAGCACTGTCTTATAAAAACGAAAGAAATGAACAGATTATCTATATCTATTGGTTTTTCTCAATACTACGAGAAAGAAATCAAATTTAATTAATGTCAGTTCGAATAGAAAACAATTTCATGCCCATCCTTTAGAACTTCCATTGAATGTTGAATGATGACGATCAGAATTGAAATGACTAGCATAAAATTTATGGATCTCTATAACAAAGGGATTTCTCTCACATCTCTAGATAATTCATGCTTATGAAACGGAAAAAAAAATCATACATAAACAGCTTCAATCAATAGTTTTTGTGCATTATATAAAACAAGTGAGAGCCATTGTTGAAAGCTTTTCTCGATTGACAAATTGTAACAAATCCAATTTTTTTTGTAATTTTTTTTTATTTTCTATCAAGTTTTCTAATGTCACCGCACCAATTAGCTGAAAAGGATTTGAAAAGAACTCGTAAAGATTGAGATTACTAAGCTTATATATCAACAACTCATTAATAACTTTCCCATTCCTTCAATTCTCCACATAAGTATATACACACATATATTTACAGCATACATTTATTTTCATCGAATAAACTATCGCAACTATCTACGCGTATAATCGTAAGTTTTTATTATGTTGTTTGCTTCTACTATTCCTTCAGCAATTTTATTTGTGCAAGAATGATTTTCTACAGAAGATATTTTAATGCTGATATTTATTTCTGTTGTAATCCACTGAATTCACTAAAGTAATTCAAATATTTTTTTTTTCTTTTCTTTTTGTTGAAAATCCACAGTAAAGAATGAATCGAAAGCTTTCATTTAATTTTTTTTTCTGCGAAGGTGGATGAAAAGAAAAAAGCAAAATTAAATAAAATCAAAAAAGCATTTCAAATAATTCTGCTCATTTTATTTTGCTTTTTTTCACAAGATAGGAAGTTGTTTAGGTATCAATGAGAATTTAATGTATTATTTATTTTCCATTGTCTTTTCCTTACCTTGAATCATCGGCTTAAAGATGCCAAAAAGAAATGAGAAGAGCGAATAGCTTAAATAACAAAATATCAATTTCAACCAAAGAATCAAGAGCTGAGAGCTGAAAATTTTCTCAATACAGTGGAATTTCGATAAGCTGATGCCTCGATAAAGTAATAAACCTTTATAAACTGATATTGTTTTGTCCCCCTTGAATCGAATTTCTATGAAAGATTGCCTCGATAAAATAATATCCTTGATAAGCTGATATTTTTTTGTCCCCCTTGAGATATCAGCTTATCGAAGTTCCACTGTAAATATCTATCCTTAAATTGAAATCGGTATCTGAACGACTCTTATCTTCATTCAAATTGTTTGCGTTTTGATTTGTTCCATGTTTGTCTTCATTTTGTAGGACTTTTCGCTTTGTTAGATTTGAGCTCGGGTTGTTATTAAAGATATGATCAAAACATAAATTCAAGAATGAGATGCCGATGTGGGAATTGAAATCAATAAAATTCCCTTCTTATTGCACATATTTCCAAAAATTCACAATCACAAAATTCCACTTATATAATATAAGATTGCTTGCCTCATACATATTTTTAACATTTAAGAAATTTTCCTTGTTATCTAAGTATTCATCAAATCCTCAGATTCTTTTCAGAAATCGTAAAATATTAACATAAAAAGAAGGTTATCTTAAATGTTAAAATAATCATGTGGCTTTGATTTAAATCTCGAACATTTCCAAGATTTTCCATTCATAAATGTTGTGATTACAATATTTCTATTTACCGTAGGAATTTGATACTTTTTGAGGTTTACCATGACAAGAAAGGGTTGAAAAAGCATGAAACCATTTCACAAGCATTCCAACATTAATGCTATCACAATACTTTACGCTTTCCTCGATGTTTTAACTACATATGTATATACAAAGTCTATAAAAGACTTAGGTATTTATAAAGGACATGACAAAATATTTTCATCATGTGCCACTTGTTCGAGAAAAAATGAACATATAAATTTAATGAGAATTAAAATAAAATGCCAAGTTATCGAAACAAGCGACACATTGTCTAAAGTTTTTACGATTAAATGGAAAGATAATTGTGATAGTTTGTTTGTCATAGAAAACAAACAAAATAACATTCAAATGAAAAAGAAAAGGAGATAAAAATTGAAACGTTATCAATGATTGATTAATTCATAAGTGTCTCACTCATCTTCTAAAATTTCTAACTTTCTTTTAGACAATAGTAAAGACATCAGTGACAGCACAAATATAACAATTTCATTTTCCTCTGAATATTAATGATGCATGTGTACGACTTCGTTTTACTCACACATGATATCACACGCATCTTCTGACTCTTTCCTAACATGTGAAGCTAAAGATATTTCCATTTTATCATTTTTTTATTTCATTTGAAGCAGAAAGAACAATAAAACTACGTTCTTAATACAAGCACACATCTTAGTATTTTTCTCTTGGAAATCGGAAAAGAAAATTCAATTTTTCTTTCTTTTCACGCTTTTATTGTTTTTCTTCTCGACTGAATTAAATGGCATTCTACTCTGAGATCAATGTTCTGTTCAAACATAACTCAAATATTTCCAAATTGACTTATTGAATTGAATACATTGAAGTGAAAAACAAAATAGCAAAAACCAGACTCATGAGTGATTACTTCTAAACTTTTAAAAATAAAAAACAGCATTTTATGGGTCGAACATTAAAAAAGTTTTTCGCATTTAAAATATTTTCCGATTGACTTTATGTAATGATCATTTATGACTAAAGTTTATTGTCGTTCAAACTTTGTACCGTTTATCGAAATGATAAATCAATGAAATCGCAATACATTAAGATAAACTGCAGAAAGGAAGGCTCTCACGCCCTTACTCATCTCAAGCAATCGATTTCCGATTTCAATTTTCATCGAGTAAGTGGAAAAAGTTTTTCGTTCCACAAAAATATAAATTCGAAAGATGTGAGAATTGAAAAGCAGATGAAACTTTTGTATTTATCTTCTACATATGAAGGAAAAGTTTCGATATCCACTGAAAGCAAATCAATTGAACGGAGAGCGAATATCAAGCATGTACATATCGAGCGTACAGACATATCCTTTCAATAATATAAGGACAAAGAAACAGCATTGAGCTTGGTAAGTGCTTCTATGATCGATCCGATTAATTTTCCAACTGTGACGCTTTCAACAGCAGCAGTAAATGTTTGAAACTTTTACATCTCAAACATGTTTCTAGTTTATTCTGCTCCACATAAATGAACATCTGATCATAAAACGATTAAAAGGAATTTTTTTTTATATGTTTTTTAAAGTTTAATGAAGTTAAAAACAAGAACTTGCTTCTGAGATGCAATGTTGCAATAAGCCGGTTAGAAAACTTAACATTTAAGTAAAAATAATGTTATTATGTTCTTTTGATGGTTTTGGCGTTATTCAAAGACATTAGGTAGGTAGCAAACATCATGCCGGTCTCTCTTTGTAGAAATGATTCAATCAAGTGTATTATGCTCAATCAACAAAACTAACAACGAAATTTATTGAGTAAACTTTTGACATTATTCACTTGTGAAAGAGAAAGAGAAATGGTGAATAGAATAGAAAAAGGCATACAGGCTAGCAAAATTGAATATGCTAGGTTACTGTAAATCTAAGCTTATACATCTAAATACACCCAAGCAGCCCCTCTGAAATGAAAGTTTCTGTTCTTGCTGTTTGACGTTCAATGATTTATTTGCTAATGATGCTGTTTTTCCTCAGTTCTCGTATTTTTTTATTGAGGGAGAAAAAGGAAAGCAACATTATAAATGGATTTTTACATCAATTGAGAAATGTTGAACAGCATCAACAGAAACGAGTATTTAAGAGAAAAAAAATAGTACCTAATAATGAAAATTCTCTTTTAAACAACTGATTTAACTTTTGGCTCATTTTCAGCGAATTATTATTAAGAAATATGTAAATCGCTTTAGGCCAACACCAATTGAATTTTCACACGTTTCCGCTTTCAGTCTTGCCTTTTTTTCATTATTTTATCCACATTAAACTAAATTTTGTTAAATGTTCTGTATTCTGTGCTTCCAATGGAATAATAAATTCATCCGATCACTCTTAATAAGTCTGCTAATTCTCCAAAAGTGTAATGAACAATTTAGAAGGGAAAGTTTGGTTCCCTCAGTGAAGGGCGAATAATTTCAAAAGAAAAAGGAAAAAAGAAACATTTTCCTGTATCCCTGTGCTGCTAAGTAGGATGAATTTTCTTTTTCTTAAAGATTTATTACGTACAAATTTGTTGCTGTGCATACTTACTTCCCAAAAGCTTTTCTCCGGCTAAAAGAAACTCATCGTTTCGAAGTTCTTTGCCGAAAACTTATCGAGCAGAAAAGGTCTCATGCTCATTTCTATGCTATCGTTACATAGTCTTAAATTGATTTCAAAATCTTGGAAGGGGAGAACAACAATTAATGAATGAAATTTTAGTGTTAATAAATTTTGTTATTTCTCCTATGTTGGGAGTTAAGATAACGAAAAGAAAACGAAACATTTTGTTCGTTTCTTCGATATTCATCAACGTTGAATAATCCGTGGACAGAACGATGTTCTTTTAAGGGAAACTTTATCACCCGAGGGAAGCAATTTCTTTTAACTTGTCTTTCAAAGTTAAGTGATGCGAACACAATTTGCATACTTTTTGGTATATTAAGAGAATGTTTAAATTATGTTCCATAAACTTTAATTTTCAATCTTAAATTTTCAGCGGTGAAAAATAAAAAGGGCGTAATCCTTAAAAGCAAATGTCTCGAGTTTTAACTTCTACCCTTTAAAATAACTCAAAAATCAACATGCTCTCAAAAACTAATTTTGAATTTTATAATTTCTCCAAGACATGCATTCATATCAAAAACCGTTTACACATTTGCTTTATTAACATATGTAGTTTTGCTTTTTGCATAGAAACAAGCAGTTGTGTATGCATTAAAATAATATTTGCCAACACAACGACATGAAAACCAATCTAACCAAGCCAACAGCATTGTAAATACAATATGAACACAATCAACAAATTAAGTAAGCAAGCAAGTAAGTAAGAATGCTGGTTCTAAAATCTCTTGTCGATTGGAAAGAGAAAGAAATCTCAAAATCAAGATTTCAATATCAATCTTACAATGGTTAAAAAAAATAATAAAATAAATAATATTATTAAGGTTCATAAAAAAGTTGTAATATTATAGACATTTTTTATATTGTAACCAGTTAAATATATTTACTTATCTGAAACGTTCAGAAGAAACACGAAAAAGCATAGAAGACAGTAGAAATTTCAGGAAAGCAATATTTTCCTTGTCATATCTAACACTTTTGCATTTCGGAAGTGCGCGACGCTTATAATAATATTCATAAACTTGAGTTATAAAACCTAACGTTGTGAATGGTTTGCCTTCGCCTTTGCCTACCTTGTTCTTCATGTCGCTAGTTCGATAAGGTAGACAAACAGATATTTATTACGGTGACAAATTTTTAATGCTCTCGACAAACCCCATTTATATGAAATCATAAATTTTCTTTTTCTAAGAGCGAAGGAAGGCAAGCATGGAAAAATGTAAGGTAAAAGAAAAGAATTTCTTCTTTTATTTTTATGCTTCTTAAATCGTTACCAGAAAAAAATAATAAAAGTCATCCTTGTAATCCTCTTGAATTTACGGAAATAAAGCATATGTTGGTTGGGTAAAGAAGGAAGGAACGGCGACTATCATGGAGATTCCTTGTAGGTTTCTTGCCGACTCGTATCGTTTCAGAAGCTGAGTTCATGTTCATAAAACAAAAAAGGAGATGAAGATTTAAGCTTCAAATCAAAACGATTAAGACTAAAAAGGGGTTAACAGTGGGACTAAAAATGATTTATCTTTAAATGAAGTTCCCAACGATCAGCATAGATTTATGAAATCTAAAATAGCAGTAAATGTTGAAAGCAGTAAAAAGTCATGCATTCCTTGAGCATAACATGAGTATGTTTCATGAAATAAATGAATGAATGAGTAGTTATTTGAGCTTGATATGTAGAGAATTTAATTGTGTACAAACGTGTTACACTTTTCGACTGTAGTCGGAAATAAAAATTGAGAAAATTAAAACATTTAGTATTCTTCTCACATACCGCACAACCGTTTTCTGCTGTGTACCATCTGATGTATTTTGAGGATTTTTCTTCTCAAGATTTTTTTTTCTTCTATTTAACTGCTACATTCAGAAAGTGCCTCGTATTGTACTATGCGATGAGGAGAAACTTTTAGCACTTTATAAAGAAGAAGTTTTATGATGTTTACTCTTAGAATCCCCTAGCATCTGGATTTCATCTTGGATTTCATCAGAGTAAAGCAAGTCAGTAAGAAAGAATGAACTGAAATTTTAATGTTCTTTTGAAAATGAATCGAAACGATGCAGTTAAGCTTTTCAACTCAAGCGACAACTGCTTTAATTAAATTCTCTTTTTTGTTGGTAGTTTCTAAGGTGTAACAGCTTTGACGAAAATATTTTTTAGTTGCTTAAAGCAACTTGCTTTGCAACTTTTCAGAAGTTTCGAGAAAGAAATTAGTTTTTATTTCAATTACATGTTTGGTCATTTTGAGTCATGTTATCATGTTGAGAGTGAATTGAGTTATGAGAAAAATAAACAAAGACATTTCATAATGTTCTTTAATTTAGTAAAAAAAGAGCAAAAATCAACCAACACTCAATTCACTGTTAGAATTTTCTGTCACATTTATAAAAATAGTGTGCGATCGTTGAAGCATTTTCATTATCAGAGATTCTCTCTTTTTTGTGAACAACTTAGCGTAAAAATTAAAGTGCTTTCGCCATTATATAATCAAATGGGAAAACTTTGTCTTCACCACATTTCGCTCTTTTAATGTGTTAGGAAAAAATGTTGGTAAATATTTATTCGAAGAACAATACATATTTTCAGACGAATTAGCACAGTGCACTTCTATCTACTAGCCTTGTACATATTCATTTCAATTTATAAAATTTATTAATAAAAGGACCATAATATCAGGAAAGGGATATGAAAACTTCGTCTATGAACTCAACAACCAGGCTCCGATAGGTGGAAGAATACAAAAGCTGTTGTGGTTGAAAGCGCCACTAAAAACTGCTTTTTTCGTATCAAAGAGAACTTCATCTTGTAGCTACATCATTATGAAGTTTTTATACAGTAAAGCTAATTACTTTTTACACTTGTGAATTAAGAAAGGAAAATAAAAGGCAAATTTGAAATAGAAAACAATTTAAACAAATGTTTGTAGCGTTTTGATTCGAAAAATGTTGGTTTGCATATATTTAATGATTACAACTTGCAACACAATAAAAACACAAAATATCAGTTTTAATATTTCAGTTTGTATTGCTTGAGGTGTCAAATGGGAAGTCATGAATATTCAAGAACCTTGTTGCATATCATCTTCGTCTCTTTCTGAATATTAATTCAAAGTCATGAACATATAATCAGAGTGATTCATATGAAAGTCTTTCAATTTTGTTATATCGTAAGTCAACACATTTAGCTTCACTTTAGCATTAAATGGGGATGAATATACCTAACACCCTTTTACTTATATGTTTTCAAAGTTATTGCTCTTCTCTTTCGATTTTATTTACACCTCAGCTTGAGGGAAAACTTTTCCATAAGGGCCCTAGAATACTTAGAGGATTGAAGGGGCTGACTCTCGTGATGATGGACTTACCCTTGAACTTTACTAAAATTTATTGTTCAAAAGATAAAAAAACCTTTCCTAATCTAGTAGCATAAAGTGAAGTTATGATAAGCTTATCTCTGTGTTATTTATTATGATGATGTATAATATTTTATAGAATATCTATGTGAAAAATACCAAGGTATTGAAATTGAAAAGGAATAATTGCTTTTAATTTTATGTAAAGAGTTTTTTTTACATTAAGTAAAATGAAATATTCAAGTCATCAATAAAACATGTCAATCGGGAGTGTAGATATGCTGTGCTGTTAATTAATTCACATAAATCATTAATTTATGCATCAAATTACAAATACTTTTAGAGGAGGTTGAAATGGAGACCAAACAATATGCATTATTCGAATAATTATGTTCAATCGATAAATTTTTATTAGAATAATAGAAAACAGTCGAAATTTTAAATTTTCTATAATGGACATTGGACAAACATTTATATTACATATGTGAGTGATTGTTTTAATAAGTTTTAACTTTTTCGCATAACTATTTTAGTCGTAATTTAGAACAGGATCAATTAAAAGTCATCATTGAAAGAGGTCAAAAATTTACATTTGCAAATACCGCAAAATTATTAAATGGAATTATAACATCATTTGCTATGCAGCATTTTTTGTTTTATGTGATGTTTTTAATTCCACGATCGATAGATAGACAAACACAAAAAGCATTTTGTCAGTCCATGAATTGAGTTGTGACATTTTTTTATTTTGCTTCAATACAATATGGAAAAATTATTCTATTCATAGTTTTATGAATTTTTTATCTGGAATATCTTTGAATGTTATTTTAAATGCAACGTTACGTGAATATTGCTCGAATGTATCCAATCATAAAGCTATTCAGACAATTCTTACAAACGTTAATTTTTAAAATATTTTTAATGTTTTGAGAGTTTTGCCAAACCGATAATAATATTCTCAAATACAAAATAAACTCAATTTATTTTATATATATTTTTATTTGGTCAAAACAACTAGATACATTTCAATATAAATTAAAGAAAATGATGTAATTTTAAGACATATACAAATATAAGAAAAATTCGAAGCAACGAGAAAACACATACGGTGCATGAAAGAAAATTTTGAAGAATGAAGATACCGAGGAAGATACTTACAAATGCGCCATTTCTCGCGAAGCAAATGTCACCCCGGTTTAACTTGAATTGAATATGCTATGTTAAAGAGAGAACAATCTCATATCCTAACCAAAAAGACATCAATGTTTCTTGTCATACGTATGTACGAACATTCTTCCTCAGTTACGAGAGGTCGGAAAGATGAAGAATATAAATTTAAGTTACTTGATCAAACTCAGATCAACATTGTGTGATAACAAGGGTAAGAAATAAGAAATATTAAATTTATTTTATTTTTTGGTAACTTTTTGAAAGGAGGCTTTCATTGCTTTTAGAACCGATGATTTAGCATGATAAATGACTTCGTGTTTAGCCTCACTTATTCATATTTTAAGGTTTTTTGTGTCTTACATGTCTTTTATGTATCTAGCTTGCTTCATTTTATTTTCTCAGATATAAACAAGTTGATATGATTGTAGAAGAAAAAACAGAAAGTTCAAAATTAAGCGTCGAGAAAAAGGATTCACGACTCATCTTCTGATCTGCCATCAAACTGAATAATATTGCTTCAGGCACGCACTTCACGTCATTTGAAATTGATTTAAAATCTCACTTAACGAGACAGAGATTTTTGTCAGCTTTTTCCAATGTTTCTAGCAACAGACAACGTTTATATTAAAGATTTGAAACAGTGAATATCTACTTTCGGTCCTTTAGATTCGCTGTTTCTTCGACAGTTATCCCCTTCATGTCGTTTCGTCAGCTTCTTTTGCTGATTTTATTCAGCAGTGGAATAAAATTCTACTTAATACAAAGTGGATTACTCTTCTAATCAAATTTCATTTCATCAAATTTTTGTTATCTCTCAGATGATATGTAAAAAATGTGACACGCATGTTTTATTATTTTCGCAGCGACGAAAATACGATAATAATGTTGGAATAACAGACATTATAGCACTGTTCAACATCAAGGTGTATCAAATGAAACTGAAATTGTAATCTTAAAAGCGTTACCTAAGTGGCACTAAGGAAATCTTTTTAAAGTTTTTCTTTTTTTAAATTGAACAGCCACCCACCAAAATAATAACTTCAATAAATCATTTCTATTGTGATTGATTATTTTACATTTTTTCTCACAACAAAAATATCATCGCACAAAAACTTTTCATCATTCTGTCAACCTTTTCAGATACATCGATTTAGCACAGTTTGAATTCATCTCTCATATGACTACATGGAAACTCATTTTTTCTTTTGCTTATAAGAGTGCAAAAGAAAAAAGGGTAAACATAAATCAAAATTTATTACAAATTATGTTTTTGAATTTTTGAAATATTTATAGCTTTTCGTGTAGCCTCTACATAATTGACACTTTGATTTGATGTTTCTTTTTATGTGCCTGCCTACAGGATCATTCATCCTACCAATACGAAGTGAATGAATTGAAGGCATAGGTTAAAAAATGAAAAATGACTTTATTGAATGAGAAAGTTTATTTAGAAACATCGAAGGAAAAAGTTTTTTTTTGCGTACGTATGATTAAATGGAGAAAATTTCAAGCAATGTTCAATTAGTTGAAATGTGTCTGAAAAAATTTATTAGGAAAAGAAGTAACAACAGGGATTTAAAATAAAACTTTAAAATTTTAGTTTGTTAAAGCTTTTAGCGAGAATTAAAAAGTTGCAAAGGTAAAGTTGAATAAAGCTTTACTCATTTTATGTTTTTCTCAATTCTCTTTCTTTTTAAAACGCAAATAAATGGAATTAAGATCATGTTCAACATCCATTATTATTTTTATTTCGTTTTTTGACTCATTATTTCTGCAGCATTGTTAAGTTTTTACGTACTTATACCAAAGTTTTGAACAGAGAAAACTGCTTTATTTAACATATTTATTTCAATTTTTCAAGTCGTATGGTTTTTTTTGTCCTGAAATAAAATTTAATGAAGAGAATTTTCCAAACTGGAACTCATCTGTAGAGCATTGCTTTGCTTTCATACAGAACTTTTTTATTAAAAAGTTAATGTTCAAATATACCCTTTGAGGATGCTTAAATGTTATTAACTCATTTTCTACACCATAAAGAATCGTTAAAATAATTTGTGTGAAAATCGGATAATTTTTGTATTGATTAGCATTGATTAAATGAAATTTGTATCCCTTACAACAATTACTTTAAATAATTCATACCCTAATACAGATAATTTGAAAAAGTTACAAAATTGAATTCAATTTGTCTCTCATCGCTTTCAAAATGTACAACATTTAAATTTACTTTAAGATCTTGAAGAAGGTATGGAAGGGAAAACTTTTAGTTTCAAATGTTTCAACTATCTAAGTATTTGTAAAATTCTCAAGAATAATTTCTCGACTGTTATCCTTTGTTAAGCTTAGAATAAAGCGATTTCATCTATTGATTTAAAGACTTTAAAGAACAATGAATGGACCTCAATAAAAACTCACTAAATTTATTTCCATCAAATATAATTTAAGACTTTTAAGTTCACTCTTTCTCCTTTTCTTGTTCGCACATTGATACCATAAATTAATTAAAAAGCAAGAAAATCCCTCTAATTACATTCACATTACGATGTCGGCTGTTGAAAAGGGAAGTTTAAAATATTCGAGATAAAATAAATGTTCTTCGCTCTTGTGTTTCCTTGAAGCTTAATTTAATTTGCTATCAAGAAAATGGAGGAACAAATAACCATTCAAGCCTTAAATAAAGCGTTTACAAATATTTGGCGCGAGTTGCTTAACTTCTCTCTCTCTTCGCGATATAATAAAAATTTAAACGACGGATAAAAATTTCACTTACCTTTAATTCCTATCTTTTAATTTCACTCCTTATTCTTTGCGTAATAGCTTGAAATATGTTTAATACGATGAAAAATTTCTTTTATATTCTAATAGGATCTGCTTTTGCTAACCAAATTATAATTTATAGTTTGTTTGATAAACATTTCATGTAGACAATGCCTAACTTGTTTGTTTTCTTTCTCAATATCTTTGTAACATCAATTATTTATCACGTTTCTTCGAAGCAAATAAAGTTTTGTTAGATCATCTCACATTTTTCTTTCAGAGAAATTCTAAGTTGAAAGATGATGACGTTAACATGAAGATGTAATGAGTTCTTCATAAATTTTCTTCTTGATAAGCCTTTTACATGCAAAATTCTTCACTATTTTGACGTTTTACAAGTCGGAGATAATATATTTCAATTTATCATTTCACAAAATTAAGAAAAATGTGCGCTAGTTAATTTGTTTTACAAAATTTTTTTCTTTCACTTTTTATGCACTAAAACTTTTTTGGCATCTCATTTGAAACCACTTGATTAAATTTCATTTCTTTTTCTTTTCGACTTTGCGTTTATTCGAAGAATAATTTTAAAGATTGCTAGTAGTAGAAGGAGAAGGAGTTGAAAGGTTTCGCAGCAATAAAAATCAATTATAAGTTTATTATTCGTTTTTTTTCTCCTCTTGGTTCAAATTAATTGTCCTCGTTTATCATCATATAATCAAAGCGTTCGACCTAAAGCGAGACAACGAAATGAACAGAGAAAGACGTAAGAAATTATTTTATATCCTTTTGTTATTACGCAATCATTCACATCATCATGATGAAAGTATCTTTTGGGAGTCGCTTTTCATTAAGAGTTATGAACCATAAAGTTTCGGTTTCCGGTAATAGATCCGCTTTAGTTCAACTAATTTTCTTTAACCTCTTTAAATTGATGAAAGCGATAAGATTCACTCAACTAAATAGCTATCGAAGTTCAAGCTTATGGTGATTTTATATCAGCAAGAGAGTCACTTTTTTCAGACAAAATATTCATAAAAATAAACAGCTTTGAGATTGTTTTTCTGTTTGTGTATGGTTTATCATGAAAATTTATCTTTCAGCTTCATCAGCCTCAATCAAATGGAACATTTTTTGTGCTTGCTTTCGTTGTCAAAGCAACAACAAATTAATCGACATAGCTCCTTAGAGACGATTTGGAATTTTCTTTCACTAACTTTCACAAACTCAAACATTAAAGGCCGAAAAAAACCTGAGGAAAGCACAAATTCGATCTATGTTTGTCGAAAGATAAATTCAAACTCAACTCAGCATCAGAAATTTTCTAAGTATCCTGAAAAATATACTCGCGCTCATTTTTTGGTACGATGATAAAATGCTCTGCGTGTTCTACATACACAATATTTTTCCTTCTTTCCCGGGTTTGTTGTTTACATTCAAAGTGTCCTTGTTTTCATTGAAACAAGAGAGCAATCAAGAGATGTTAAAGATGCTGTGAGAGAAAAAAAACTTCCAGTTTTCCCTTGACTTTTCCATCACGCTCTTGTCCTTGGAGACTTTGTAGACTTTTATGTTGAAATTTAACTACTTCTGTAATTCAAAAATACGATGAAAACAGTTTTAAAATTGTGACATCTGTATCTGTCAATGACAACATAGTTCGTGTTAGACAATGAAAATAGTTTTCTTGAAGTAAAAATTGTGAAAACATATTTCTGAAGGAGATTCTATTTCAGCAAATTTTTCTTAATCCATTTATGATTTAATACTACTTACTATTACATTAAACACTACTTATCTAATCAGGTACATTTATTTGTGCATGAAGTGAAAAATATAAACATGTTTTCACAACATAAATCTCAATTATATCTAGGAATGTTAAGAAGGAAAATAAACTCGAAGTTCTCTCAAACCAAAACCGCAACATGCTCTTGAAAGTTATTGAAACTTATCTCAATTAACTAAGCCAATCAAGTGTTTATTATTTTGCTCATTTTGAAATAGTTTTTCAATTAGTTTTAATTATGTCAATTCACGAGTAAGTGAAGATAGCTGCGCCATCAAAAGAGAAGCGGAAATTTTTAATTTGTTCTCGCTATGAAGTGAAATGCTTGGAAGTTTTCTCCTGCTAGATACTTGAAGAAAGCAATGCAAATTGTATTTAATTATGTTATGAGTTTATAATAAGATGATAAAAACTTCTTGATCAAATTTAAAATTCTTGTGTTTAGAAGGTAACAAATGTTTTGTAAAAAGACTTGAGAAAATCAACTGAAATTAAGTTGACGTTATTAAATTAGAAGAAGGTAGCACAGTGTATGCACCAGTCGAAAGGTATCAAAAACTCCGATGAAATGCGGTCTCACTATAAATCGTTAAACATTTAATCTCATCAACTTATTACTAAGAAGCTTATAGTATAACTTATGAAAGTCTCGTTATGAAAACAGTTTTCATTCAAATAACACTTCTGAAATGGGTCAAGAGACTAAGTTAACAAAGAACTCAAAATAATCTTCTAGAAAAAGCCTTAAACTCACGTCAAAAACTTTTTCCTGTCTTCAAAGAATAAGCTTTTTCATTGAGATAAATGAAAAGTGTTCTTAACAATAAAAAAAATCTTTTTTACCATTCTTTTCTCCGATACAATGCATTAAGAAATTATCCAACTTAATCTCTCTTTATTCATTGCAACTACATGATACTCTGCCCTAAAAAGTCGCTTTTTTATCTATTTCCTGAATCTTCTCTCTTTTTCTTCTGCAAAAACTTTAGCTCGAATCATTATGTTGTAAATCATTGTAGAAGTGTTTTTCACGGGTGAAATCCTTTTGTTTCTATTCAAGCATTCTTTACAATCATTTTTCATGAACTTGGATGTTCATTTCTACCTGACATGCATGTCTTTGCAACAATGCTGAAGTGTTTTTTTCCACTCGGCTTGTTTTATGCAACAGAAACATCAAATAGATGTAAGTAATTACTTTTTTAACTCTTTCTTTGATTTCAAGATTTTTCTGATTTCATTCTGTTTTGAATGATTATTTCGTTGAAAAAACAAAGTAATTCGAGTAATTCACTCAAGCCGAAGTTAATTAAAAGTTGTCTCTTTGTGTTTCATTTCCAATATTATTCAATCCTTAATAGAATTGATGCAACAATGTTGTTAAATAAAAATCATTACATAGACCAGAATCAACAACTAAAATGTGAAGATGTTCATTAGTTATGTCAATAAACTTTCCAAATCGGAAGCTTGAAAAATCCTTTAGGTTAAAAACCGATTGATGATGATGAATGATTTATTGCATTAGTTAAACATCACTTAGCACATTTTTTTTGCTCTTCTTCTCAAAATAAAATCAATTATCGTTTCAATGTAAGTGGTGAGATAGAAAAATCCTTTAAGATTCAGTTAAAAATAAACTTGTCTGAAATCTTGAATAGAAATGAAGACACTTTTCCGGATGCCTAAATTTTCTAAGCCCCTCCTCATAAACACATTTTCTCCCAACCACAAGCAATCAAAAAGCTGTAGGAGATAAAGAGTTCAATCGTCCCAATTACATCACATTCCTATGCATAATAGGGATATAAAAATGTTTTCTCCCTCGATTTGAATTTGCATATCCAACAATATTAGCGTATGGTCTTCAACTTGGAAATTTCTAAGCACATTTTGGAATGAATGCTAAGAATAAAACGCAAGACTAGAAAGAGAAAGGAACATTTATAACCACTTCTATGAGAATTTTAAGATAATAAGGAATATAATCAAGTTTTAAAATAACTGGAAAGTTCAAGAGCCCACGAAGGAATTGTGGTTTGTTTTAATAAAAATATCTGTGCTAACATATATATAGATATATGTATAATCTTGTTGTAATCCTAAACATTTTCAAGGAGAATTTTAATTGTTTTTTTTTGGAAAATTAAAAAGAATAGCAACAGGTTTACGTTTTAATTTTCACTTCACTGATAAAATGAGAAATTTTTCTAAGTAATGAAAGCCTTAGTCATATTTCTACACTTACAAATTTTTTTAATGTCAAATATCGAGAAGAAGTGATTTCTGATAAATTCATGGAAAAGAAAAACTTCATGGAAAATTAGTTTTTTCGCTTATAAGTTATTTACATGAATTAAGTAGATATTTTGTAAATTTATGTGAATGGAGAAGGTTCCCTACATTTTATCGTCTTTTTCACTTCAAACGTGGCTTTTTATTTCTTTTGAAATTCAAATATCTTCAGAATCATTCAAATTTATTTATTATTCATATTTTTTTCATAAATTACGTTAGATGGTTACTTTCTTTGATTTCTTAAATCCGCAGAGCTTATAACTTGCAATCTACCTTTCATTATTGTTTTGTTCATGGCTCGTTTAATGCAATTTGGTTTGTTTTTTAGAGTTTACTTTTTCTTTTTTCATTGTCTCATAAATAAAAAATCAACTGACGGATACTTTGACTGGAGTTAAGAAAATTAATTTATTCCATAGAAAAAAAGCAGAGAGATAGAAGTTATAATCTTCTTCTATTGTTTAAAACCTTTTTGTTTACTTTGTTTTTCAATTACAACTCTCACTTTAAATTTAGAAAAGGAAAAAAAAACCACAAAAGCACAAAAATTATATTGCATTGTGTCGTGTGACAAAACTTTTGTCGACTGTTTTTATTCAAAAGATAAAGTTTCCTTTTTTTGCTACTGATCTCTTGCATATTATTTATGATGAGAATAAAAGCATGAATAGTAACAATAAAAGTATAGAATTTGAATAAATATTTACGTTAGAAAAGGAAATGGTGAAAATGTTAAAGTTTTTGCATTAATTATAGATATTCTTCAACCAAAATATATATAAGGTAATGTTCTTTCAACATTAACACTTCATTAAACACTGGAAACAGATATCCTTTTTCCTACTCGGATTTATGTCAAATCAAATTAAAATTTGAGCTTTAAAAAGTTCCACAAAGAAGGATTAAGAACAATCCAGTGTCCTATCATGAATAGTAAAATGTTTATTTTAATTAAAATCACAAAATTGGAAATAAAAACTTTTACGTTTGGAAGTAAAATAATTTCTAATCAATGAACTTTTCTCACGTGAAAGTTGTAAAAAGTGAAGAATTTTGAAAATTGTTGAAATTTTAGAATTTGATGCTTATTACTTATTAAAATAATGATTCCTTTACATTCTCATAGTGAGTATCATCAGAAGTTAGCATTCCTTAAAGAGATATTTCATCCGTTATTATATGAAGAAAGGAAATAGAAAAAGATTTTAAGAAATCAGATTCAGACACTTTATAACTGCAAAAGATCGCATCGTAATAAAGTTCAAACATCTAAATCTACTATCCAGGAAACGCTCAGCAGAAGGTGTTTTACGAAAACGTAGAATCCATTTCCTTAATTACAGTTGAAATGTAGATATATCACTGACGATGATAAAAGAGCGAGTGTTAAACTTTAGCTTTACATTTTTTTCCTATATCTGAGTTGGCAACATTTTTAAATTATTTTAGTTATTTTTATTAAATATTTTTCTTACGTTATGCTTCCCAGAAAACTTATCCACTACCTAGAGCTACAATTGAAAACCATCTTTGAATGGTATTTTTGAGATGCAAAATGCGTTTAGTTTTTGTTATCTTTATGGCTTTCATCTCCTTTTACATTTCCATTTGTAATTTATCTCTTTCGATGTAGGTAGTCTGTTGAAAGCTGAAAACGAAAGATTGCTAGCGAGTGCCAACTGAATTTCTTTTCCACATTTTTAATCAAGGTTCTGTTTTCTGAAGGAACTTATGGGAGGAGCAAAAAGGCTTACCAAGAAACACAAAAGCGTTTGGAAAATAATGAATAAGAAAGAAAATCGAAAATCTTGAAACCATGCAAATAAAAAATAGGAAAATACGAAATTCGTAAATCAAAAAAAGAAAACAAAATCTTTTCATTTTCAATTTTGTTTTTCTCTCAAATATTACAAAATGATTTTACAGACATTTTATTTTATTTCTTTTCTTTTTATTTTTCCTCTTTCATCTTCTTAAGTGTAGTGGAAACAAATTTGTTGTTTATAAATATTTTCCTCTTATTTTCAAAACTCGTGATTTATTTTCTTATTTTTTTCAATTCGTATTCCTTGTTGCAAAATATTTTATGTTGCCAAAAAAATTCAATAACTGAAAAAGGATTTTTTTTACTCCGTCGATTATGGACGATTTCCCAATGATTAAGACGTCGGAAGGAAGGAAGGAAGGAAAGGGGGAAGGAAAACTTTTGAAGGAGGAGAAAATTTTTCCTGTGGATAATAATAAAACCTCGCATTTGGAAGTTAAAAAATTCCAACTTCTTACTTTCCCAAGCATCACAAATTCACTAAATTCAAGGTTCGGGATATCTACAATAAGCATTAGCCTCTATTTCCTCTTGTGGTATCCAATCTTCGCTCAGAGCTTCTTTATTTCGATTCATTTCAACCTAAGATTATAGATTAAAAATTAATTATGCGGTAGAGACTTTTAAGTCAATTAATTTTTACCTCACGTAGCACTCGAACGATATTACCACCAACAAGTTTTTTTAGGGATGCATTGTTCCATAATCTGTCTCGAGCAAGTTCAGCTAGTAGAAGCGCATACTTCTTTGGAGACGCCGTCGGTCCTAATCCAACATGATCCAATCCAGCAAGTGCCCTAACATAATTTATGTTATGAATCGCTTCCTTTACTGACAATTTGTCAATGCAAATGCTCAAAACACCACCATTGCTACTCAATGCACTGAAACAAATAGATTTTCGTTCATTAATCAATATGAAATAAAGAGAAAAATAAATTAAAAAAATATAAATTCTTTTACCATTTCACACCTATCAGGTAAAGGTTTGTGTTTAAAGGAAAACTCATTGAAATTGAACCTTCGATATGCAATCGATAGTCGACTATCGTGTGGGGAATATTAAGTTTTAATTAAAAATTTTCCGAGATTCTTCTGATTTACTTTGAAAACTATTATTTGAAGTTGTATCATTCCAGGTTCATCGAAAGGTTCATCAGACATTGAACACATCATGCTGTTAAGAGGCTAAAAGTCTTCAACTGAAAACTCTCGAAGCTTAATTTGCGATTCATTAAAAACTTTCTCATGCTATCGAAGAAGGTATTTATTTACCCTGCACATTTTATGCAAAGTAGAGTCTTTTCAGCTTGTGGTAACGTAAGCTGAATTAATTAATTAGTTGAAGTTGTTGATTAAAACTTATTTCTTGAGAAATCAACAACTGAGCAGTAAAGACTGATAAATGTCATCTTCAAGAACATTGTTGCGACTAATTTGTTAAAATAGCATCCAACACTCAATTGAAACTGATGAATAAAGTTCAATCTGCACATTTTTTTCGAATCAATTTCTTTTATGTAAGGAACAGATGAAAAATCGTTTCCTATTTTCCTTTTACTTTGTTCCAAATTTGATAATTTTCTGCTTCAACACTCAAGAGATTTATAGTTTGAATGGAAAAAAGAATATATATCATCAAGAGATTATTTGGAAATTACGGTACGTCTTAAATAATTTATCAAGATTGTGGTGAACTTCATTGGATATGAAGAAAGAAAATCATCGGCTCTATAGGGAAGGAGTTCATTTCTTTGTGAATATTTAAAGTAAAAGAATTGATATTTTGAATTTTGTATAATTTTTTGAAAAGCCAACAAGCGTTGGGACTTAAGAGATGACAACACCCTCGGGGAAAAAAGACAACGTTTGAAACCGCAGTGAAATTGGCACTGGAAATTTGCCAAGAAATCAATAAACTTTTTTTAATTTCATTTCTCTTATCCCAGGGATTCTTTCAAGGAATAAAAAATAACAACAAAAATTACTGGTCTGGGACTGAAACTATTGCATGCATGCTCATGATAGTAGAGAATAAAAAAAAATAATGAAAAATAACGACAAAAATATGAAATTGTTTGAACACGCCAAGAAAGGAGAAAGAATTGTTAAATTGGAAAAAAAGATACAGCGTTGTAGTAAAAAGTGTTCAAAGCAATCATATAGAAAAAGAAAGACAAGAAAGACTGACTAAGAGAAGTCCATGAATAAAAATTGTTCGAAAAAGAAAGAAAAAAGTCATACATATATTTCAAGCTCCTTTCGATAAACTCCCACTTATACTTTTACTTCGTTTTCACACCACCATTCACTAGATAAATGAATTCGTCTTCGTAAAGCTTGCAATTCGACTATAAAGGAAGTATGAGAATTGCAGCCTTACATACTATCGTCAGTAGCTGAATTCAGATTTAGAACAAGCAGATCGTAAATGGAGAATGAAAACAGCAACGACCCTGTGCAGAAACTTTTTTTATTCACTTCACTTTGTCCCAACCAATAATTCTAGATTCTTTTTTTCTGTAACATTTTAATTTCGATTCCATTTATTTATTATCCGTTCTTAAAATTGAAAATAGAGGAATGCCCTGCTACAAGACATTCTGACTGAGATGAAATGAAGAGGAAGTTAAATTGAAAATTACTATTATTTGATATATTCTTCCTTAAATTTAAATGATCGTCAAATAAATGCATTTCAAAAAAAAAAAATTCTCCAATCGTTCATAAGCAGCATGTATTTGGTCTCATTAATCGCTGATAGCATAGATGTGAATGACGATATATTTTATGGGATAAGAAAACTTGTTTTATTGAGCTATTATCAAGCTTTAGAATGCAACGTTTGGATAAGTTTAAGTAATTTAAAGTAGAAAAGAGAAATAACTCACCTTAGTACATGATCCGGGATAATGTTCGTGATATTAGCAGACGAAGATGCCGCAGGCGAGGCATTGCTAACGAGCAACGGTGCTTTGGCCGAATTAAGTACTTGCATCATACTTGGTTCACTCAGATGGGAAATCTCGACTATCATTCCTAAGCGATTTATCTCCTTGAGAACGATCTGAAAAATAAGAAACGAGAGAAGAGACAGAAATGAATTTTATGCAAATTTACAGTTCTTTTTCCATTTTTAAACTTCTTTCATGGTTTTTCTTCTCGAGAGTTCATGAATAAGTTAAAAAGATTTTATTTTGTGACGAGATTGAATGAGATGACGAACGAGTGGAGAAAAAGTTGAAGGTGTTGTTATTGAGTTTAATAAAAAATCTTGGCCCTAGCAATTTCAAGTGTGAGCGACTACATCGAGAAAAGTAATTTAAATATCTGTTACGAGTAGACTTGAGAAATTTTCCTTTGCGAGTGAATAAATGTGAAATCATAGGAAAATTTATCTTACTTTTCCAAACTCTGTCATTGAAGTTGGAGTGCTTTCTTCGAAAAGTTGTTCTCTTGTTATATGCGCTGCAATCCATGAATTTGAGCATTCAAAGCTGGTTAATGATATAAATCTTGCTCCAAGAGAGAAAAACATTCTCAAAACAGCAACGCTCGATCCAAGACTGTGACCTCCTTCAAGTCCTAAGAGAACACCAATTTTTCCTTCATTATGAGCTTGTTCCATTTCGTCAGCTGTCGATACAATTCGAAAACCGCTAGTTCTGTCAACAATACGTTTTGCTTCATCAATGCCTTCAAGTGCCAACTGAACTGCATCAAGATATTGTGCTTGACATGGAACCCTCACAGGCCATAAAATAGCCCCGACCATGCTTTCTCTTATTTGGAAATAATTTTGCGAGAAATTTGATTCAGAAAGTGAGTTGAGTGATCCACCAATTAAAGGATATTCGGTTAAAAGACGTTTAATAAACGACAATCTCGCTTCTAATAATGAAGAGCTCCGAAGTTGTAGTCCGATTGGGATTCCTAGAATATAATATAAAGATAGTTCATTTTTCAACAATCTTTAAAAACTGCCTAATATTACCTGCTCCGAAGAGAACAATTGCTAACAAAATAATAACAACAGCTACAATTTTCCTTCCTTTATTTTTCCTTGAAATTGAAGCTATTGATGAACTACTGCTATCCTTTTTATAAGCGCCAATAGCATTTCCATTTTTCAATTGGTACTTTGCTGAACTTATTTCTGGAATATCGAGGTCTGCTATTTCTATATCGGTGAAAACAAAATGTGTCTTGCATTGCGGCTGTTGATGACGAAGGTCAACAAATTCATGATTCGAAACAGATATCATGATCCTTTAAAAGATCTTTTTATCGTGACGGAAACAAATTTTCACTATAATATGTTTGATCCCTAAACTTTTTTCATGATAAATATTATGAGTTTTGTTGAGTTTGCGTATTAAGTAAAATCAAGGCGACACATGCTCGCTTCTGGATATTTGAATTTAATATTTCTTATTAATTTATTTAATAATTGTAGACTATTATATCAAATCAGTTAAAAATTTATACTTTAAAGTAACAATTTTTGTCATTTAAAATAATATTTCCGAAAGCTTTTTTAAACTTCGAAGGTTGAATCTGCTTTTGTGGTGAACTTTTAGATCAGATATTTTGGAAACAGTTTAATTGTTTATAAAACATTTGTATAGCTTTTTAATGTTCCTTTAAAAATTTTATTTTATCAAATTAATAAATTATTACATACATTTCAAAGAATGATCACAAATATTCCTATTTTAATTTGGTTACGTTGTTTAAATGATAAAAATGTTTTTACTTTTATTCAGAAATTTCACTTTAAATTACATATGAAAGTAGATTTTTGCACAACACAGTAAATTCTTCTCAAACAGTGATAATAATATAAACTGCGGCAAATTTAAATTGTCAACATGAATCTTATCAAAGATATAGCAATTAGCGACGTTTGGTAGAGTTCGTCAGTTTTCCAGCACTTGGTTTTGGCTTCGGTTTATTATGTTGCATATTTTGACAAATTGGAATGTGACGATTAGCAGCTGCTTCATTAAATCGTCGAGAGCAGTGTGGACACTGAACATAATCAGGATTTTCACTGGGGGGTGGTGGTGGTAAATCAGAGAGCTTTCCTCCTTTTGCCAAAAAAGCTTTCATTTCTTTAGCTGCACGAATAGTCTTAATAAAATCTTCATGCTTTGATCGCCAATTACTAGCTTTTGAAGATGCAGATGTTGGCGTTGTCACTTTATTTGAACGTTGAACATGAGTAGGTTTTCTCAAATAACTTTCAGCTTCAGTTCCCTTGAAGAATATTTCATACGAATTTCTATTCAACTTGAACATTATAAAAGAAAACTCACCTGAACTCTTTTTTTTGATGCATCAAATATTTTTCGCTTTTTGGTTTTAGTTTTTTGGCAAATCACTTGATGCTTTTCAATGCGATCTTCAGCAAAGTTTCTTTTGCATATTCCGCATTTAACAAGACCCTCTGGAACTGGTGCATCATCGTCGTCATCATCATCATCGAAGCTATTTCGAGGTGAATTCTCATTTTTCAAAGACAATGCTGATGTTCTCTGTTTTGGGGTTACGCTACGACTAGAAACTCCCATTGTTGCTTTTGGACTAGCACGAGCGGTGTTTCCAGATCCGACTATGCTACTTCCGCTTTTAGTTGATCTTGTTGGACTTCTCTAAAATATTTTCATTATCATTATTTATTAAATACTCTTGCAAGTATAAACATTTGCTTTCAATTTACTTGATTTGTTAAATTCTTTAATGCTGAAGGTGTGGAATTAACTGGTGCAACTTTACTGGAACTCCCAACTCTTGAATTAGGCTTTGCTATTGCAGAAACCTTTTTTAAATTACGTGATTTATCTAATTGCTCATCCCGTGTAGCACTCGTATTGTTATTGCTAGTAACATCTGGGCTTTTATATCGATTTTGCAATGGTGGTACGATTACTTTGGAGTAGTTTGACATTTTATGATCAAGACGAACGGATTTTGCAGGAGCTATGACACCTTTCGTTGCTGTCGATTTTGATTCAACTGTTATGGGATCCAATAGATAACTTTTATCAATTCCAGCGTTTATTCGATGGCGACGCTCGTCAAACATTGCTCGGACCTATAAAAATGTTCACTTAAAATTTCATTTACATGCAAAAGCAAAAATTTATTACTTTTCCCGCACCCAAACTTGACGTCAGCAATTTTTGTGTTTCGCTAAACGTATCACTTTTCTTTTGGTCATTGCCACTCATCTGCTTTTGTTGATAGCGCATCTGGTGGGCAGATAAAAAATCTTTATTGATGCATTGACAGTTTTTATTTTGATGAAATACGTTGAAAGGAATATGAATGTCGTCACAAGATATTATACACGAGTCGTGTAGGACAAGTACAATAAGAGAATATTTCAATTATTTCATACTTGTATAGTTACAGACAAGAAAGCGCGAAGTAATCCTTAAAAGGATTTTATTTTCAATATTAAAGTAAAATGACATCATCTGTTGTAAATATGCGAAGTCAAATGATTCATCGCTCAAAGACATGCTAGCGTACGCTCACAAATGAAGAAAACACAAAAAAATAAAGACTGTTGCCTCGACTTCTGCAATGAACTAAGAAATATATGGTCATATTAAGTCGAGAAGTAGAAAGCAGCACAAAAAAAAACTGTTGTGACGGCGAACACTCCAAATACGGAAAACACTGCTGCTGTTGCTCTGACTTAAATGAAATATGTTTATTATCGTCTTTGAAACTGTTTGTAATTTACGTTTACATGTAGGAAAAGTTAATAATGTATTAAATGCAAATTTTATCGACGAACAATTCTCTCTAGAGAAATGCAAACTTTATTGTTATGAAAAGCAAGGTCAAGTTAAATTATAACAAAGCATGTTCAAAATAATACACTCATGACCTTAAGAAATGAATGAAGAGTCTAAGGCTTAGCTGAAGGCCGAAATTGAATGTCTTGTCACTTATTGTGGAAAGAAACATGATTCAGTAAATGCCGGTAAATTTGTGGGGTGGTTTACTTATTTATTTATTATTGAAAATATTAAAATATGTTTATGAATTAAAACAAATAACATGTGCCAGATTTTTGAAACAGAAAGCTCTTGAGATAAATTCATAAATTTGAAAAGAGTAGATAACTTGGGTGTTGTTATGGCTCTCACTAATCTCATTCTTATTAATATTAGATCTGTTATAACGTTTGCCATATAAGCATGTGAAGAGATTAAAATCGCTAACGGAAACTACGGAAAGTATCGTGTTTAAGGCAAATTAATTTTCATGCAGTCAACGAGCATGTGTAGGAAGCTAACGTTTTTGGAATGACAAATTATTAGATTATGGTATGATCATTGTTCATGTAAATAAAAATGTATTGGTGCCAGTCGAAAACATTCTTCCTCTTTTGGCAGTCAAAGTTTGAAGTTAATTTAATGATTCAACTCAACTTATAAAGAGAGAAAGCTTTCGAAAAGAGAGATTTCGATTTATAATTTAATGTATTACGGAATTGTAAACTCACCTGGATTTGCTCGAGTCTGCTACCTTGAGAACTCATTTTAGATGCAATAAGTTTATTACGATAGACAAAGGATTGAAGTTCTCTAAACCAATTAAGTGGAATTTGATTAAATCCTTAATGAGTTGCCTTGTTTGTGTTTTTTTCCTTCGTTTCCAACGTAAAAGTTTTCAAACTGGTGGGAAAATTCAAGAGTTTTTCTCAAAAACTTTTTGTTATAAAAAATTAATGATTAACGAAATGGAAAGCACCAATTTGAGTGAATAATACATTCGAAGGCCTTGAAGGTTTCAAAAGCTGATCATAACTTGGTTTTTACAAAGAAAAAACATCATTTAATTAAAATTATCAAAGAATTAGAATTTTCGTGGAAAATTTTGGATTGAATTATAATTTTAGTATCTGAATGTGTTATTGCGTAACTGTTCAATGAAATAGATATATCTAAAAATAATATCAAGAGTATTTAAACGAATAAATCATATGCTTTCACTTTCAGAATGCAACGATAATCATAGCAGAACTCTCATGAATAAATAATCACGGAGCGTATAATTATGTATCTCCACTAATAATTACTAAACTACAATCGAAATCGTACCCTTAGCCGTTTGCTTATTTTGGTTACACGCAACGATGACACAAGAGACACTAAGGGGTTATAGCTCGAATAGAGAGAACGTAGATAATTTTTCTTCTTTTTCCTGTTTTGTTTACACACGTATTTTTAAAAGGATCCGTGTTTGCAGTATGCTTTCAAATGTAAAAGCATATCACTATGACAACCAAATAAAAGTGTCCAAAACACTCGCCAATAAAATGGAATTTTTTCTAAAGGTTTCTCTTTTCGTTAAATTTTCTTTATCACCCGAAGAGAGATTTTTCACACTGATTTTGTAGCCGGAAATATCACAATATCAATGAAAAATAAATAAATTAAAAGGTAAAAGGTGTAAATAAGTAAGGAAACAAAAAAGAAACTCAAAGAGAATTGCAAACCGATCAAGCGATTGAATCGAAATGAATCATGAAACTCATTTGACTCTTTATTTTATTAAGCTATGAAACGGCCACACAACAGAGAACAACTTAACACATACACTTGCTTTATTTGAATCGTGTTTCTTCTTTAATTTCGCTCATTCGCCTTGTCGGAGATATTCTTTTCTCCCAAAAAGATATCTAATGAAAATGTTTATTTAAATGTTGCATGGTAACGTATGTACATATTTCAATCCATTAAGAATTTTGCTATTTCTCCTGTAAATCAAAGAAACGAAAAAAATGAAACAAAGCTTTCTCGCTTAAAAAGTAAAATTATTTAGCTACATTTGTGTTGTCACGTTTTACTTAAATACGTGGCTACATTGATAGAATTAGGACTGTTACATTAAAGTTATCATGATATAAGATTCGGGTTCTAGCAAAGCGAAGAACTTAACTGAAATTAACACGCTCTTTGATTCTCTCTCTCTCTCTTAAGCACGCACACACCACTCACACTATTGTTAAATATATTTAGGGCACATAAATCTATCACTTCATTGAGAAAAGCTTCTTTTAGATATTTTGTGACCCGAAAAGATGTTTTGTGTAGTGTTTTGCAAATGTTAAGTGTACCAAGGAAGAAACTCTTGTGATCCACGCTGTTAGAAAAAATCGTTAATTTTTAAGACTCTTTCCACAGATGGTTACTGTTGAGATTTTATAGATGCGTGGGCGTTCAAGTTAAGAATTCAATATATTTGTCACATGTTTTTCAGGCAATGTTTAATCATAAAGTTTCATTTATTTTGCTTATTTATCGAAAGTGTCATTTTATTACGTTTATAAATTGTTCTGATAACTTGATATAATTTACATGAAACTCAAATGGATAATATTTTAATCATGTTTCTATTCGGTAATAAGAGAACAGAAACCAGTTTCAATCTTATTGTAAAGTCTCAGAATGAGATTTGCAGAATAAAGTTTTTTGAACTCTTACAAATATGGTTTGATATTAAAAATTAAAAATATTCTTCTATCGATGTATTAACTAAGTTGACAAGGGTAAAGATGTAAGATATTCTTAATTAGATAAAGAATAAATCAATAAATCTTGTTTTCTTTTAGATTCACAAAAAAACTTAAGCTATTTAAATATGTATGATTAAATTCGATGCTTTTGGAAAATAATTTCCGAAAAATTAATAGTTTTCACCTTTGCAATTTTATTCCGAATTTAGATGTTTTCAGGCTGAAATATTTTAAGATGAAAATATTTAAAAATAATTAATTAATAAAATTCAACTGAATAATTAATGTCAAAATTCCACTTATGAGTATCAGCATTTCTATAAATAAGATTAAAAGCTCATGGAATGAAATTAGACCTAGAAATTGCGGAAGTCCCATAAAAACTTTAACTTTCTAATATCTTTATCAGCTGCTTAAAGTAACAGAAGATGTAAAAAGAAATCGCAAACAGAGAAAAAAATCGCTGAAAAATTGACAACTTTCTGTGATAAATTCTCCATTCACCCTTGTCAATGAAATTGATTACATTTTCAAGAAAGATTTCTTACTTCTTTTCCTCTAAGGGACTCCTTTCCTTTTTTTATTTCTACATACCAAATGTTATGCTAAATTTTTTACATGAAATATTTGATAACTTTAACCCAAATTTTAATTTTAAAATCAAATTCGTAATGATAAAATTTCTGCATCTTACGTATGCTTTGAAAAGCTGTTTACATTGATAATCGTTAGAAATTTCTCAATACTTTTATAAGAATATTATTTCTCCTCTAAGTGATTTATTAATCTAGAATTTCTGTTTGATAACTTTTATAGTCTTTAAGACGCTACCCGTATCTTAGTTTAACCATGAATATGTTTAGAACAGAAATGGACAAACACTTTTTTCCTTAATTATTGTATTACTGTTTTATATCATTAGATATCCATTAAGTCAAGCATTAGAAATCGTAAAAACTCCAAATATATTTGGGTAAAACTTCAAACATAAATAGATATATTCAGTAGAAATGTTTTTAGATATCTAAACTTAAAGTTTAAAATGATTCAAAAATATTTTTTTCTTTTCTTGAAAAATCTTTATGTGTGCTTCACATCTCTCAAAGGCTTAACTTAAACATAGTGACATAAATTCTTGATCTCTAGTAGATATTATTTATATGTTTTCTCTTTTAACAATACAACAATAGAACTGAAAGCTTTCTTCAAAAAACGTTCAGCAAGAATGATGTCCCATTAATTGTTAAACAAGGGATGGAATTATATTCGTGTTATGAAAAAATTATTTGTTTTCACTTAAGACTTTACTTAAGGTGACCTTCAATAACTTTCAACACCATATCTATGCTTATTTATTTAGTTTTATTGTGAAAGAAAATAAAAACTTTTTATATTCTAATTCTAATTCCTTTAATCTGAAAAATATCTGAAGTTTTATTTTTGTTTGTATTCCCAGAAACTTTTGAAGATCTTATCAACTTAAGACGTAATTATGTAGCCCAAAAAACAAAAGTTTATTTTTATGAAGATGAAAGAAAGAAGACTATATGGAAAGCTTTCTGATTCTATTGGTTTCTTCTTCTATTACATCAAGAATAGAAATGTATGTACGTGTTACACAGTTATTGCATAAATATATGAATCTCTAACCACCTATTATTTGCTAGAGCCCCTCGTTACCCAAACAGCACTAAATGAGCTTTTGCTTGTTTCCTAATCAAATATTTTATTAATTTGGGTTTAATACTAATTCTAACTTGAGGCTACACTCATGCTAAATAGTTATTGAGATTATATAAATATCAGTGTCATATAAACTTTTCGTTTTTAAAAACTTTACCGTTCATTTAAAATGTAACTTTTTGATTTGTTTTACAAACGATGATTCAGCTGCAGGAAAATGGAGAAAAATAAAAGTTCTTCAGAAATGCAGACGGGAAGTTTGTTGGAAAACAGATTAAAATTGTAAATTGATTATTCTCATCTGACCGTAAATTAACTTTAAACCAAGTTCAAGAACTTTCAAATATCATACATTATATTGAACACATGCTACTTTTTTCTACACACAAGGCATTGTCACACCTTGTGTTCTTATTTAATTTTATAATTTTTTTCTAATTTTTCCTAACAGATTACTTGATATATTTCCTTTTTTTCATTGAGAATCTTTTTTTAATACATATTGTTAGCACTTCCTGCTCGATAAAAATTTCATCTCGTTTCCTAAAATTCTTTCATTTTAAATGAGTTGATGATTCTCAAGATATCGTGAAGTAAAAAATCTTTCTCATTTCTTGTGTTCTCTCCTTATTTATTTTTTAAAAAGAGATTTTATGTTGTCAAAATGTTTGATGAGCCAATCGTGATTGCTTCTTGATTATGTATGTTGTATGGACATAGATAGAAAATCTTGAGCTTTGTGCAATACAATTTCTGGCAGCGTAATATGATTAAAGCTCAAAACTTCGTCTGCTTAATGCATTCAATTTTAAAAATATAACGATATCAATATTCCAGGTTTTAAAAGTTTCAAAATCGGTATCAAACTTCTTCTAATGCGCAATTGTTAAATATTTTTTGTTCTTATTCATTTCCTTTAAAAGATGAAGTCACCACAATCAACAGCATAATCGTAATCTTCAGCTGCAACATCATCTATTGCAGAGACTTCAACAGAATGCGCATAAGGCTCAATGTGAGCACCATGACCAATGTGATTATAAACTTCACAACCTTCAACGATATTTGTGCAATCAGTGGAAGGGAGCGCGTGCAATAAAATAGCATCATCACATTGTGACCACGTCAAAGCGCCATTCCAAATTCCATTAGGTAATGTAACCCAACCCCAACCATATCCCCAAGGAATAGCACATGCTAATGTTCCTTTATCAAGTGAATCTGGTTCAAGGTTCTTCTTAATTATTGCTACAGGTGTTTGCGACTTGATTTTCGGAATATTTGTAACATATTTCTCTTCATGATTTCGTATCAGAATTTCTGAATGTGAAGAAGCTGAATAAATTGAGAATGAATGCAAAAGAATAAAATGGTTGCTAAAATCAAACATTTCTTTCCACTAGATTTAATACTTACGTCTAATTCTTACAAGTGGCCGTCGTAAAATACCCAAACTATGCTTTTCCAAAATCAGTTCAATTTGTGGGGGTGGTGGTAGCTTAAGGAATATCAAATTAACATGAGATTAAAAAATGCTGTTATTTTGAAAAAATAAGTCAAAAAAAAAGTTTCTTGTTGATTTACTACTAACCGTTTTTGTAATCGCCACCATCCATTCGCTATGAACAGAAAAAGAAACAAAAGTTACTTAAAATATGAAACTGTAGCAACAATCAGTAGATGAAAAACTATCGATTAATCAATGGACTTCCGAGTTTAATCACGATTTTAACAACATGCATGAAGAGAAAATGGGTTACAAAAATATAAATTAAAGCTTTCATAAGCTTCATTGCCTTTCGCGTATACATCGTTTCCTATTTCTGTATAGCAGGAAGTGCCATTGATTATTCTCTTTATACATATGAGTTAGTTTATGCTTTTGATCATCAATCAACTCACCTAACTTCTTGTTCTGATTGAGCTAACATCCAATAAACTTTTGAACGCTTTCGTCTTGATCCTAATGCAATCAACTGTGTCACCGAACAACCTTCTGGAAGATGAGGCCGTCGAGGAATTTGGCCGGTCCATTGGGAAATTGCCAACATTTCTGGGGCTTCTTTTACTAAAATTTTTCCATTAGGCGAAGACTTTCCAGGTTCCTTATAATTTATGTTTGATATTATTAAATAAATTCAAGTGAATTTAAGAAATGAGAATAAACCTTACCGTAAACCAAGCCATGGTACTGTCGTCATAAAGAACGACCCATTCTTCACTCCAGGAATTCGACCATAAAATTGTTTCTTTGAATGAGAAAAGTAAGAAGAATAATCAAATTTAAAACTGTGAAAAAATAATCTCTGATCACAACCCAAAACTTCAGGCAGGGTAAGTCGACAAGAAAACCAAATTATTTAAAGAGAAACAAATATTTATTCGGTTTTCCTCTTGATACATATATCGATCCTTTTATGTGTCGCCTGTGGCTTTATCTCTAACAAATTGAAGTCATGTTCAATCATTTTAGTAAGGTTTTTAACAAAGATAAAGCAGCAAGCAGTGAAATCAAGAGTCTCACGGTAACCTTTCCGCTCTCTTTTATGAGATGTTCAACATACTAAGAGATATTTATGTAGATAAGATATCATTCTTTTGAGGGTGTATTTATTAACTTCACAAAGTTATCAATATTTTAGTATCTACTCACTTTTATAACGTAATAGATATCCTCCTTTAACTTGCTTGCCTCCGTTACCTGAAAGAAGACATTTTTTTCTCATCAGTCAGCAATAATGTATCGCTTTTGGAAACTTTCGCCTCGATGTTGGGCATTTTTTATTTAAATATCTTATACCTATATGTACATCGAAATGACTTCTTAAACTTTTTTATTTTCGCATAAAATTGAATTTTTTTTATCACCAATGTGAATAATGTTTATTGTTTTATAAAATTACATTATGTAATTAACTCACCGTTGTAATAGTTGAAAAATTGTGCTTGTTCTTCTGATTGATTTCCACGAGGAGTGAAATTAGGACACAAGGAAAACATGTTGCTTGCTTTTTTATTTAATTAATTGTTTCCTTTTACCCTTTGTTCTTAAAATATAAAATAATTATGTGGTGTTAAATTCAATTTACGTTCATAATTCTTTTAACTAACATTCATAATATTTTTTATAACATTAAGATCATAATATTTCTGATCAGTACTTCCTTGATTGGGATTACTAAACTTCCTTTCCCTCTGAGCGCTGTTCACTTCACTAACAAACGATGAAACATTAAAAAAACAAATAAGAGGCAGATGAAGGGTGCATGAAAAAGGGAGAAAAAGAAAATTGAGTAAATATCTATAAATTGTTAAAAAAAAGAACAGCAACTAATTAGGTGTCTAATGTAAAATAAAAATGGGAGAAGACCGTTTTGAATTGTGACATAAAAGTTCAGTAATTTAAATAATTCATCAGACATAGAAACCAAAAACTTTTCCTAAGTTTTTTTTCATTAAATTCCTTTTCAGAGAATTTTTCTTTCACGACAATGCAATGACATAAACTTATTTCAATGTAGCAATATCTATTGGTGACACTAGAGTTTAGCCATTCTGTGTGACGCAGTTTTCTTTTTTACCTCTCTCGCGTCTACTTCTTGAATTGCAAAAAAGAAAATTAATTTATTATGAGAAATTAGAGACTCTATAAACGATAATGTAATGAGTTATTAGAAATACTTTTAATAAAACGTAATTCTAAGAATTTCCTTTCATTTTCTATTTGCAATTAAGAGAAAACGAAAAATTGTAATCGAAGTTTTGAGATTCTAAAAATTTGACTTGATTTATCTTCCAAAACAGCTCTCAACACTACTAAATTTAACAAAAACTTCTGGTTTATGCATTGGAAATCACATTGATCAGTAAGAAATTCTTTTCAATTGTATAAACTCACTTTTAAAACTTTATCTTTAAAAAAATTGTCTTCTTTACAATATGCTTACAAAACCGTCATACTCTGAACGAAGCAAAAAAAGATATGCGATGCCGTATGAAGATAGAGTGGATATGCTCTCTTTTTTTATTCATCCTTCGTTCTGTATCTTAATAGCGCCTCTTTTTCATGATGTCGGGGCTCTCTATAATGGAAGAGAACTCTTTGAAAATAAGCTAGAAAAGGTGAAGCAGACGGGATTAAAATGGAAGCATTAAAGAAAATATTTCCTGTTCTTCCAATTTTTATCATTCAATGGAGAGATTAAACGGAAATTCACGAGTGTTTTCAGCAAGAAAATTTTTTTATTGTCTTTTTTTTACTGTGTTTTCATTCAATTTTCCAGATTCATTCAAAAATATTAAGAGAGAAATGGAGAAATATCCTTCACCGTCTCTTTCGATAGTCGACATAAAGTGAGAATATTTGGAAAGCAAAAAGCTTTCGAAGAGAAATTTTAATTTACTGGAAAGCTTAAAGCTTGAATGAAGTGAGTGAGGAAATTTTCTCTTGAAAAGTTCAATTTTCTCACCTGTCCCAATTTTTAGTTCAAGTATCGAATAACAGATTGATTAGTACTTACCATTTGTATCGTTTAATTAATTTACTTGAATTTCATTCCTACCTTAATGAAATTTTGTACTCTTATTTCATGTCACTTCCATTACTGCCATAATTGATTATATTAACAGAATCAAAGTAAAACTCAACTCCCACGCTATTTCAACAACACACTTGAATTTAAATTCCCATTCTGAAAACTGAAATTAAAATTCATTATTCTTTATAAATAAAATAATAAAAGATTACCTTTCTTAATCATCAACACACAAATCTCAAAAAATATTTGTGTGGGAGGATAAAATTCGTAAAGATTTTCTCGACATTATCTTTGCCTTTTCTTGATAATTTTAAATCTTTTTGATATGTGATAATCTTTCCTTTTCACTATTCAAATTAACTTACCAGAAAAGCTGAAAAGGTAAATTATCTAATTGGACAAGCAATTATGTGAAAATCATCAAGTGAGAATTTTCCATCATCAGCAATGTTACAGACAAAAAATTATCAATCTGAAAACAAAATTTTATAAACTAAATTTGATGTATGCTGTGTAAGTAGATATGTTCAAAAACATAATATCATTTTGAGATTTTATTGATCAAAAATTAGATGCATTCAAAATAATTTTAATCTATCGAAAATCAAACTTGTCTTTGTGTCTTTAAAATTCCATCATGTTAATTATTATTTGAATGGTGTGGTAGTATAATTAAAATTTGAAATCGGTTGATTGATGAAATTATTTCTAGAAAGCAAAAAAAAGTATTAAAGATCGAAGTAAGAAATGAATAAAGAAATTTAATCTTACCTGCTATGGGGAATGTTGAGGCTGCGATGTTGTCTGCTGCGAAGGACTGGAAGATGTTTGTAGTTGCTGTTGTGTTGAAGTTGGATTGACATTTCCATCAATTGCAATTTGTTGTTGAATATTTGATTGAGGCTTCTGAACTGTCACTGCTTGAAGACGCCTCTGACCAATAACTTGTGAAAGTGCAATCGTTGATGGATTTTCATTACTTGCAAGCATTTTTTGCATTGCTTGTTGAAATCTGATGTTACTTGTTGGAATGCCTCTCGTGGTTGGAGATACAAACTAATGTTTAAATAGAAATTAAATAAAATAAATGTTAAGAAGACGAATAAAATTAATTAATTTTACCTGCAAGGTTTCACCTCGAGAATTTGATGATTGCGATACAGTTACAGGAATTACGCTACTTGGATTACTTAAGAAGATTTGATTTTGAGTTTTTATAGGCTTCACCTCTTGAAGAGTCACTTTTCCTCCTTCATCTTTTTGTTGAAATAGAAGACCACCTCTTGCTGCGACTTGCGCAATTCTAGTAACTTTGGGAACAGTTTTTCGAGGTCCTTGAATGTTCATCGTCATCGCTTGAGGAATCGCCACTTGTCGAACAGTTTGTGTTTGTCCAATACTCGCTCGCACAGGTGTCAATTTCATTCCAATCTGCCCAGCACCAGCAACTGTTGTGATTCCTGAATTGCTTGAAGTCTTTATCAACGTTGTGATTTGTTGTTGGCCACTTGTAGAGCCAGATGCTTGTTGGAGTTGCAAATTTCCAGCTGGAGTGTATCCAAGTTGAGTTTGTGTTGTTAACTGAAGTTGACCTGTTTTATATTGTTGCGGTAATTCATGTTTCACCATAACTAACTTCTGATTAGAATTCTGACCAATCGCTTGTGCTGTTCCAATTTGTTTTATGAATTGAGCTCGTTGTTGTGGTCCACCTTGCACAGTGACATTTCCAATACCAGAAGCAGTTGAATCAACTCCCTCTGCTGCTGTTATGACTTGTGATGCTTGTGCTTGAGGTTGTGAAGTATTAGAACCGGAAATAGTGGCGACAGTAATCTTCTGTCCACTTTGAACTTGAACTGTTTGACCGACGCCGCTTGAAGGAACTAAAGTCGTTTGATTTGTGGCTCCAGCTTGAGTCAGTTGACCAGCATGAAGAAATCTTATTTTCTGACGAACTTGTTGTTGTCCATAAATATGAAATTGTGGAGTTCCTGTGGTTACAAGCTCAAAACGTTTCGCTCCTTGAGTGACAAGTTGTTGTTTGTCAGTTGCAGCTGCTCGGAAATTCGGTGGACTGAAATTCGATGTGAATCTTAAAGTTGCATTTTGTAAATTTGTTAAACCTTGACCAGATAATCCACTAAGTGAAATTACTGTTGGCGTTTGAGATCCAGGACGATGTTGAAAGACAACTTCCTTAGAAACTGATCTTTGACGAACTTGTGCTTGAGTTCCAACAGGTGACGCTTGAGTTGTCAAGCTTGTTGATCCAATGGCCAGTTGCGAAACAGACACAACTTGATTTTGACCTTGTGAGTTTATAGCTTGTACAAGTGAACCACCAGGTTGTGTGACAATTGATGTTGATGCTGCCATTGATACAGTCGGTTGAATCGACACAATTTGAGGTTGAACACTTGTGACTGTCGATGGTGGTGATGCTAACACAACAGAAACTGACGATGTTTGGATTAAATTCGATTGAGAATTTTGTATTTGTTGTGGATTTAATTGTTGAATAATTCCTGTAAGAAGAGTTGCTTGCTGATGTCCACCACCAGGTGACGCAACAATCGCTTTCATTAATTGTTGCTGTTGAGAAGAGTTTTGTGATGGAGTCAAATTTATTGTTTGTGTCTGAATTCTTTGTGTTTGTAATGGGGAACTATGCATCAGTGCGGTTATTGATTGCTGAGCTGCTTGAGGTTGTGAAGTTGGTGTCGTCACAACACCTTGAGGACAACTTCCTGATGGTTGAACAACAATTGTTGCTTGTTGTAAAGGCGTCATTTGAGATGATTGTGGAGAAGGTATTGAAGCTGTTTGTTGTTGCATTTGTAATGATGAAGGTAGTTGATCAGCCATAAGTGTGAGTTTTGTTGTTTGTATTTTAACTTGGTGTTCCATTTTTTGTTGAGCTAAACTTCGATCTTGCACGAGTCTTTCATAACAACGATGAGCGATGTCCATTGGAGACGGCGGAGAGTCATAATTAACAATTCCAATTTCATGCAGAACTGAAAGATGTTTCTGATTATGCGCAGTTGTTCCCACATATTTCTTCAATTGCGGTTGCTTCTTGGTCATTGCAGTTTTGACAGCATCGAATTTAAGCTTCGTAAGTCTAATGAAGGAATTATTGTTATCATTCTGATATAATTGTGATGTTCGAGGCGTTCTTGTGTTTTTCATTACGGTCTTCAGTAAATTCTTATTTTTCTTTTGTTTCTTTGGACTGTCAATTAACTTTCCTTCTTCACGAGGAACAATCACGGCTTCATATCTCCAACGACATTGCTTCGGCGATCGATAAGTTCTTGAAGTTTGATTAACAATGTCAGCGACAAGATCCCAATTAGGTGTGTGGCCAGGAGAAATAATCATCAAATTTAATGGCAATCCTTGAAGACTTTGAATCACATTGAGAATTGCACGATCTTCAAAAATCAGCCATTCAGCCATCCCTTCGGGTTCTGTTAATGGTTTGATCGGAATATGCTGCTTAATGTTCACCATTGGCATCGAACGAATCAATCCTCGAGTTCTTTGAAGTTTCAAATCTTTTCTCATTTTAGCAATAGCTGGCGATGGTCGATCAAACAACGATCGTGGTGGATTGTAACCGTCATCTTTCCTCATTTTGAGTGAACGCCGGCCATCCATGAAAAAGTTATCATCAGTTCTCATTCTCTTACAATCCTTCCTCACATAAACTGCTGGGAGCTGAGAATCGTTCATCACGTTTTGAGTGTCGTAAAGAAATGAAAGCGAGTAATCGGTGTAAATATCATTTCCGTCTTGTGGTGGAGTTGGTGGACACCACATCTGTTCAAAAAAATAAATAACCAATGAGAAAGAATTAAATTATTATTGCCGAACATTCTTTCTATCTGATCAACTTACAGGCATTTGTTTCATTGTGTTATTTGATATCCAGACCTGCAAAGAAATTTTGCACTTATGTCAAAAAAAATCGCGGGTGGGTGAAAAGGACAAGTTCGAACCAATTTTACATAAAAATAAAAGAAGAATGCAATCAAAGGTAATTTTTTGGTTGTCACTCCACCTTACACTTGTCCACACTTTGTGTTGTCAATTTACTTTTTTCTTTAAAAAAAATATTTTTAGTCTAAGAAAGAGACAAGAGTTTGAAAATGGCAGTTTTTCTAAGTTTTTGACTGGAAATACTGTTTTGGTGCCAACACGCAAGACTTTTTCTGCTTTAAACACTTTTTTTTAGTAATACTGCAAGTAAATTTGGTTACTTATCTATATGTAAATATTCTCAAAAAGCCCATCTCTGCCATAACAATAATTGATAAATATAAAATTTTAAGGATTTTCATTTTCATTTCTTTTTGATAATGTAACAAGTGACAACACAATATTACTTCATTTCTATTTTATTTTTGTAAGTTTGATTCTCATTATAAGAGAAATCACAGTGTGGCAAGCGTAAAATTTGGTGACACCAAAACAGGGGCCCAAGACAACAACAAATATGATTATTTCTTTCAAGACTCGATCGTCACTTCTTATGAATATTTTTTTTTTCGAAAAATGTTCAAAAAACAACACAATAAGCACCAACCCTGATTTTTCTTATTTCTTTAATTAATTTTCCTGTATTCATCTCTTTCTTACATAGTTATTTTTCAAAAAAGGATCTTGTTTATAGAGGCAAGTTCCGATAAAACAAACTTTACTTTATCGAGTCAAAATTGGTTTGAATTTTTTTTAAAACTTTTCATAATTCTATCGGGAGTTGACTTCATAAACTCATTTAAAACGAAGAAAAGAAAGATATTACGTCTGATTAATAATATTTAACTTATCAACAGACCTAAAAACTTTATGTTCTTTGTTTTCATTTTAACAGATCCATAAAAAGAAGTTTTTTCTTTAGTTTTTGCTATGTTTGCGGTCAAAACAGTTTTTATATTTGCTTAATCAAGGATATTTCTATGGCGAGCAATGTATAGAATATCCGCTAACAAATGCTGACAGAGGAGGTTGAAATTATCTTTATAATATGAGAGAACATGAGGAATCATTAATAATATTTCTTATGTTATTTTTATAAGTCAAGTTAGATATAAATAGGACTTTTCTCTGTCGCGCCGCATTAAAAATTAAATTCTTTTAAACAGATTCATAAATGATGTTAATACGAGAGTATTGTGGATATAACCATCTGTTTTCTGTTACAAATTTTATTGTTAATGTTATTAATATTTAAATGCAGCACTAAAGCGAGAAATTATTCATTTGCACATGTGAAGTCGTAACAATGGCAACGGAGTTGACTTGTTTATCGAAGCGTATTTTGTAACAAAGTATTCTTTCGCTGTCTCGTCACTGGCACACGATCTATGACATCATCGTCAGTCGCAATTTGCGAATTATCTGATAGTTGCTTAGTTAAAGATTTATTAAGCCATGAGTCAAGTGTTTGATTATTTTTTGGATTAAAGAATCGTTTCTTACTCAAAGGCTTTGGTGAATGCTTTAAAGTTGCCTTACAAGATTTTACTTGTTTGGGATTAATGTCGACAACTGAAACTTTACATTCACGTACACCAAAATTTGCTTTCAAAGTTTTTTCTTCCTTTGCGAAGTAATCAGAATTATTATGATTCACTTTTTGTCGTTTAGAAGCCAAAATTGGACTTTCATCGAGATTCCATAAATTTAAATGCACAGTGCCTCTCGATCTTGTCCTTGGACTACTAGTTGCCTTTACATCAATTGATTCTTTACATGATTTGGAGAATTTCTCCATTGCTGTATCATCAGTCATTGTACTATCGTCATTTAAAATTGTCTCATCATCATTGTCTTGTGATGATGACTCGAACTGATTTCTATTCTTTGTATTTTGATATGAGTTTGAATCCGAATCATTAACATCATTCGAATCAATCATCACATCTAAACTACATTCACTGTCAGTCTCGTAAGTTGTCGTTGTAGCAGTTGTTGTTAGAAGACTCACTGATTCTGCAAGTGACCTGCTTGTGCTTTCACTAGTTGATCTTCTACGACTCTTCAACACACTAATTGAATTGTTTCGTTCAATTCCTCTTCTATTCATCCCTCTTTTCATAATGAAACTTGAACTCTTCTTTAAATTTACTTCCTCTGGTAAAGTTTTGCTTAATTTTTTCTTTACCAAAGCAGTTTCTTTAACAGGCGTTTTAGGCTTCTTTGCAAAAGCTTTACTGCCCGAGTTATTATAAATAATTTCCGATCCATTGTCATTATCATCATTGTCATCATTACCATTGCCATTGTCATTACTTCTTCTACCACGTACTAATTTCTTTTCAAATTTTCGTTTTCCTAATGTTTTATGTGATTGTTTTTTAGATCGTATATTAACCTTATTCATTGCATCTTTTCGTGAATACGTTAAACATTCTTCATCGTCTTTCTCCATCTGCTCTTTTTCCTGTTCATTCTGATAATTATGTGCAAGTCTTTTCTCCTCCCATTTACGTTTTTGTTCTTCAATCTCCATTTCAACAGCTTTAATTTGCACCGCAGCCCAATTGGCTCCAGTATCCTCTACAAATTTCATAGCGTAACGTTCAATTGGGCTCAACTTTGAAAGAAAAGAGAATGAAAGTGATTAATTAAGAATTATAAAATGGGAATTATTGTAACGAAATATTGATAGCAAACAAATGTTATGTCAAGTGCATGCAGTCTGATTTCATAATATAATCTCGCAAGTCTTATCGGAAACATTTCTTTTCAAATAAAGAAAAGTTTGTTTTTAAACGTAAATAAAACTTGCACAAAGGAAATAATTTTAATATTTTTACCTGCTCAACAATACTTTGAATCTCTTTTTCTTGCTTTGTCTGTTCAGTTTTTTGCTCTTCAATGATTGGAATATTCTCATCAAATTCAGCAAGATCTTCAGCCATTTCTTCTTTTGCTGTTGTAGCAGCTTGAACATCTTGATCGTCTTCTGCTTGAGCCAGTGCTGATTCAAACACACAAACAACATTTTTATCATGCTCATTGTTTGAAGATGATTTTTCATTTCGATCTTTATCACGGTCGACAACGTTTGTTAATCTTGCAGTCACATCATCATTTTGATCAACATTGAAAAGATCTTGAATTGTAGAACTCTTGAAGTAAGCTTCTGTAAAGTTTCCACCTTCAATTGCTAAATCTCCTAATAAACGCTTTTGATTTGCTTTTTTGAGTATGTTTTCTTCGATCGTCTTTTCACTGATAAGTCGGTAAATATGAACATCACGGGTCTGACCAATGCGATGACAACGGTCTTGAGCTTGGGCATCACAAGTCGGATTCCAATCACTATCGTAGAAGATGACAGTGTCAGCACCCGTTAAATTAATTCCTACACCACCAGATCTTGTTGAAAGTATAAAGGCAAATATTCGTTTATCTTCATTAAACCGCTCCATTAACAATTGACGTTGCTCAACTTTTGTTGTTCCATCTAATCGTAAATAGATGTGACCATGATAATTGAGGAAGGCTTCAAGAACATCAAGCATTTTCGTCATTTGTGTAAAAATCAAAACACGATGACTTTCAGATTTTAATCTTCGTAAAAGTATATCAAGCGACTGTAGTTTACCGCAATCATATTGAATTAAACGTGGATCCGGAAACTGTAAAGTAAAAAAAATTGATTAGATATAAAGAAAATTCTTCAAGAACATTAAAAGTTTTTTTTAATTTTTCTGTACAAAATGCTCTAGAAGTGAAGGAAACAATTTAAGAAACTTTCACTTGCTGTACATAATGTTATTATTTGTTTTATCGCCTTTGCAAAAGTTTTATAAAATTTGAATTATTTTATAAAACAGATTTAAGGCGTGAAGTTCAAAAGTTATCCTTAATCTTCTAATTCTGAACTGACAGCATTTAACCAGGATTTCTTTGAATTCGGAAAATATATAAATTAGATAATTAAGCATATACCTGGGTTGTCATTGAGGATTGAATTGTATGAAGAAGAGTTGTCTTAGGAGCTAATTCTTTGGAAATCTTAGCATCACGGAACTCTTCCTCATTTCTTTCGGACGGATTCATGTGTGATACAGAAAGTGATGGCCGGCAAGCACTGACAGCTGGCACAACAAACGTAAACTTCTCAAATATTTCATTAAGTTCAGATGCACGTTCTTCGATAGATTTAATGGTTCTTTCTAAACTCCAAACATTGCCATTACTTTTGCATCGATTAACATTCCCAAAACTCTTGACAATAAATGCATCAGATTCTCTGTTAATCTTCTCAGAAAAATCCAGAAATACCGATGATCTCACGTCTTCACCATACATTGGAACTGCGTCACATTTTCTACGGTTGATTTTGCTGAGTAATTGTAAAATTTGAAAACGATATTCCTGTTGAAGTTCATGAATGTCTGAGAGGTGAAACTCTGATAATTGAGTCCTCTCTTCAGAGACAATATTAATTGGAACTAATGACTTCTTTCTAACAGCTTCAATGACTGCACTTGCAATAGGTTGAGCTACTGTAGGAGTTGATTGCTGTGTTTGATTTACAACCATCATTCCCGATTTCGGAAGAACATTTGGTTTGTTGTTAACAATATAAATTTGACCACTAGGACATTGAAAGAGTTGATGTGTAGGTTTGCTTCGTAGATTTAATGATGCACCTGATGGCATTTGAAAGGAACTAACCGTTGGCTTTTCTTCGTCGATAATCATTGGTGTGCTGTTACCGCCAACTTGATTTAATTTTCTTTCTTGAATTAATATTAATCTTGAACCATCCGATCGTATTGCTGGACTTGTTCCAACTTTAATTTCAGGTCCAATACTCGTGACGATGTTACTTTGTATTTGCGGTTTAATTCTAAGATGAAGTTTGTATTTCTTTTCCGGACAAACAGGAGGAATCTCAGGCGCTGAATCAATTTCTTCAATTAATTTCTTTGGTGTTATTAAATTTTTTATTCGATATGCGACGAAAGCACTCAAACAACTTTCCAAACGAATAAGCAAAAGATTGAGAGCATTCAGATCGATGTTCTTAAAAGGATCGTATTGAACGATGTTGTACAACATGGCGGGAATTTTAAAGTCTATCTGATCCATTTGAAATGGAGAAATTGTTGGGCGAACCTCAAAAAGATTGGGATGATTGCAGACCTTCCTTAGTTGCATCAGTACATTTATGACACTCAAGAGATTACCACTAGCTAATGTTTCCTTTGTCTTTGCACGGCTCATAAAATCATCGTAAAGAAATCTTTGACGTTTAGATAAACGACACATGACAACATGCTCGTATTTTTTTGGCATTTGCTTTTCAACTTCACTTTTAAGACGACGTAAGAGGAAAGGTCTCAACACTTTGTGTAGTTTAATAATAATCGTCTCATTGTATTCCATATTGCCCTCGACCATTCCTGTCATGGGCTTTGAAAAGAGTTCCTCAAATGCTCGATGCGATTCAAAAAAATTTGGCATCAGGAAATGCATCAGAGACCAAAGCTCCATCAAATTATTTTGCAAAGGCGTTCCCGTTAAAAGAAGTCTTTGTTGTGTCGAAAAGTTTAGGAGAAGTTGCCACCGTTGAGATTTGAAATTTTTAATATTTTGAGCTTCATCTAAAATGAGATATTTCCATTTCTTTCGTCGGAAACTTTGATGGTCTTGAATGACCAGTTTGTAACTGGTGATGCAAACATGGAATGCATTCGCCTTCGTCCAACCAATTCGTTTGAGTTTTCTTTCTTTTTGTGATCCATAATATGTGATGATCTTGAATCCCGGGCACCATTTCTTAAACTCCATTTCCCAATTTAACATGACAGAAGAGGGAACAACAATCAAATGAGGTCCCCAATTTCCTCTCACACAAGCAAGATGAGCCAACAGCGCAATAGTTTGAATGGTTTTACCCAATCCCATTTCATCAGCTAAAATTCCATTAAGTTTTCGATCGTGCATCGTGAAAAGCCAATCGAGACCAATGTGTTGATATTCACGAAGAGTATGTTTAAGGAGAAATGGAATTGGAGTGACAACATTTGTTGATGACAACGTATTTCCTTTTGGTTGTATGCTTTGTGCTAGTGCTGCAACATTATTCAATAAAGTATTGCCATTATCACAGTTGCTATCAGTACTTGTGGTTTCTTGATCTTCCAAAAGATTTCTCAAGTCAAAACCTTCTCTATCAGCTTCTTCACCCGTTAATCCTTCCATTTGTTTGTAATTGTCAACTTCCATGTGTTCGTCCTCAGACTCTGAAGAATAACTTTCTTCGGAATCAAATTCATCATCGGAATCTGTTGCTTCATCAACATTTGGAGATTTATTTTTGTATTTAGCTAATAGTTCATCAACAGACATTTCCCCCTCAGCCTAAAATGACATCATATGAAAGAGAAATTAATAAATGTTCACAAATTTCAATTTATTTTGATCCATGATCAACAACATGATCAGACAAATGCCTCGTTGTCATCTTGAAAATCAATTTATCTTCAAAAATAGAATCAAAATTGAATCAGGAAATGATAGAAGTTTATCATCACTTTAAAAACATAAAAATTCTAAGTTAAGTCAAAAGTTTTCTTCTTACCTTAAGTTCATCAATTTCCGCTTGATAATCTTCATTCTTTTCAGCCTTTTCTTGTTCCATTATGGTATGCTCGTCATCTTCCTCATCCTCTGATGCTTCAAATTCTTTATCAGATTCCTCTTCACTGGCTGATGATGAGTCGGGAACAACAATTTCATTTCGTTTCTGTAAATAATCTTTTGGCAATGTTTGTAGGAAATCGTTGAAATTCATTTGTGATTCCTTCTGGAGTGCCTCAATTTCATCGTTCGTCCCACTGACAGGAATTTCAGATTCAGCTTGAGCAATTGTTTCTTCATCGTCGTCAGACTCTTCATTCGGTCGAGACCATTCATCATCGGAAGCATGTTGTACAACTGAAGATTTCTTGCTGCTCAAATGAACATTTTTATTCATTCCTTCTGCAACTTGCATTGAGAACTTTTCTGTTTGATCCACAATAAAGTTGAGCTTTTCATTTAACGCCTTCTTTCGTTTTGCTTCCAATCTTACTTGCTGTTTAAATTCGACAACTTTCTCAACATTCGCCCAAAACGTTTTAATTTCTTTGGCAACAAAAGCAGCAATCCGTTTGAGATTTTGCTCCTGAGCCTTTTCAGCTTTCTGTACAGCTGTTTCTTTATCTTGGAAGTATTTCTGTACCATTCGAGCACATCTTTTAGCTGCAGCTTTCTTCCATTTTCGTTCATTGGCAAAATCAGTGGCTAACCATTGCATTTCTTCCAATAAAAAATCCCAATGAACCTTGTATCGTTGTGGCTCCGCAAGTTTCGGCAAACGTGCACCCATCCATAATCCTTCACGCTTAAGTTCTTGAACTCGTTGTAAAACGTGAACTTCCTCTTTAGCTTTGAGAGAAAATTGATCATTGGAAATCTGTTGTGCTGACAAAGAAACCGTTTCAGATGTTTTCAAGCTACTCAGATCCGAAGAAGTATTTTTGATGCTTCCAATAATAGAATTAACCGATAAGATACGTTTCTGGTCAGGTACTAAAGGTGTTCCACCTAGAATTAAGAAGTGCAGAACAAAGCAAAGAAGAGAAAAGTATTTTGAGTAAAGATTTTTCTTTTTTGTGTAAATTACGAGAAAATACGAGAATTCATTATAAAAATTTCTAGAAGCAAATGTCCAAATTAATTTGTCTTTTAAATATCTACTTTCATGGTTATCATTTCTAATTATCATGCAGCAAATTCCGAATGAATCTTAAGAAAATAGAAATTAATTTTCAATGAAACAAAATAATAAATCACACAATTACAAAAACAACATAAGTAGGAATGTACAAAGTGATTCAAAAGCAAATTGAAAACCTCATTTAAATAACATTCCAAATTGTAAATGAAAAGACAACCAAGAAAAAAATAAGAAAAAGTTGAGAAAAATTTTGTGGGTGCTCTCTGACCTGGCACCAGTGGCTTATGAGGAGAATTTCCAATCGAGGATGAGCTACTGATTTGCCCAAATATCATTCCGTGGCGACCGCCCTGCGGTTTGCCTTGAATTTGACCTACAAAAAGTTTCGGTATTTTATGATTACATTTAAATGGAGGCACACTTTACACTACATGTTTAAATATCGTTTAAGATGTTCTAAAGCCAACCTCATGTGAGTTTGTGACGTTCAAAATTTCATTTTTTTTTGTAAGTTTCATTAAAAAGAAAAACGAAAACATGACGGGCCAAATCGAGAACAGAGATGAGTTGATTGTATCATGTTTAAATAACATATACAAAATAAATCAAATCAACTCGTGATCATATTCATAAGAATGTGCCATGAAATTATATGAAGCTTGATTTGAATTGTTCATGATTCTTGATAATTAAGCATTTGAATATTCGGATTATGACAATTTATACATTTTCTTTCTATGTAGATGCACCGGAAATTTTTGATTTTTTACAAGAATTAGTTACAAATACTCAAACATACAAAATGTATAGAAAACTATAACTTTCTCACCTTTTTGACTTAATTTTGCAACAGCTGGTGGAAGTTGAGTCGAAACAGCAATTGGAGTGCTACCTACGCCTGGTATTTTTATTTCAGCTCCTTCAGGAAATTGTTGAGAATTTAACTGTTTTGAAAAAACAAAACGTAAGATAAGATTTAAATGGAAAATTAAAAACGTACCGTTCTGAATGAATCTACATCATCAAGCAATGTTGGGTCCAGATGTGAATTTCTTTTAAATGATAGAAATGACTGCGATTGTGGTTTTCTCCGCCATGTTTGAAATTCCATCATGTTACCACTAGATTGCAGGAAGAATAATTCAGCTACATTGTCAGCGTTTCTACAAAAAAAAGGGTAAATTAAATTTCGGTTCAATGACAATAAATTTGAGAATGGTTTACCTTTCTTTAAGTACTTTCAAGCGCTGTAATTTATGTTCTAATATTTTTTTCCTCAATGTAGATAAGTTTTCAGTTGTATCTGAACTTTCAGAGCTGTTCAAATTGTCGTTGACTTCTAATTTTAGTCGCTTTTTCGCTATGGACGATGTTGTGTCTATGTAGGATTGACTATTTAATTGTTGATTCGATGGCGCTACATTTATTGATAAATTTGAGTTTGCCAATGAAGTCGATACTGACTGGTTTGGGTAATAAATACTGTTTGAATTCACATTAGAAGGACCATGCAAAATATCATTGTTGGCGACTAAGGTGACACTATTATTAATGATTGAAATTGATTCAGTTGCTGTTAAGTTGGAGCTTGATTGGTACTGGGTAGCTGGAGTTCTTATGATTTGAAATGGCTGACGTTGCTGATGCTGTTGGATTGGCTGAACAATTTCCTGATTCTGATCGTTTGGTTGCCGCTGTTGTAAATTTTTATCGCTTGTCAATCGTGACATTTGAAATGATGATTATTAAGTCACAACAAGGGAAATTTCCTTCTTGAACTGAATTATCGTCTAAGCTTTTCTGGGCTGGGATCATCAATGCGAGCTTATTGTTTTTAAAGGATGTTAATTTCTCCTTAAGCCGTTTTTGCAAAATAACCTTATCTATGTCAATCTGCTGAAATATTATTAAAAGAAAGCATTAAAAATCTGATCTGATTTTATATCATTGAAAAAAAAATGACTACTCGTTCAGTATATTTACATGACGATGTCAAATTATCTATTATAAATATTTCATTTTTAAGTACGCCAATAAATATCAGAAATTCGAAAAGTCACATTTTACAATGATCCAGGCAATAATTTAATCAAATGTAATGTTCAATTTATAAAAATTGATACTTGAAAAGTTATTAATGTTTTAAATGCTATTTATCTATAAAATATCAGAATTATTTAAGACAAAAAAAGGCGTCTTATATCGACCACCGAAGAAAAAAAAATGGCGTTTTTACAAACCTCATGGAAAAAATAAAGAATCCGCTTTACCACTTGAATAACTAATTTTCACTGATCTTTTTATAATTATGTTGCAAAAAGTTAATGGTTCTTTGAGTCTAAATAAGATTTTGGAATAGAATGTAAGCTTTAATGAATATTTCTTTTTTCTTCGACGACGCGTCGTTTAAGGTTCTAAATGCAAGTTTTTTCTTTTTAATATTTTCTGAGTAACTCAGAGTTTTAATCAGTGGTGGCGCTGTCATCGAAATGTTTACACGGACAAAATGTTTACACGGACACATTTCACTGTACATTTTGTATGGAAGGTCAAATCCGCGCGAACCGTCGGGGCACGAGGCAATTATCTCGAGACGTCATAAACAAAAAGGTTTTTGTAGAGGGTAATAATATTCTTTGACTGAAGCAGGGGTACGAAGGGGTATGAACGTCAGAACAATAACGAACTTTATACCCTCAGTATATTTTAACAATAAACCCTGCCGAAAATTAAATGGGCTAAAATCACTTCCGTGCTTCAATGGGTAGTCATAATAAAATTGAGAATAATTTGCGAAGCCTCTTAAGACTTTGTGAGGAAATTATTGAAGACGAAGAGCAGAAATGGAGACTGAGTCGTTATATAAAGAAAATGGATATAATGTTACAAGAATTAAGCGATTAGTAAGTTTAATTTCATTATTTTCATGTAACCAATCTAGAGGCAATTATGAAAAGTATTATTAAATATTAATTAAAATATTTTCGAATAGCGAAACAGTTGATAGAACGAATATAACAAATTATCAAAAGCGAATAAAGGAAATGAAAACAGCAGTTAACTACATAGAACCACCTCAAAACGCATTAAAACTAAAAGAGCGAAGTAATAATCTTGAGGATGATGGGATTCTCAAGGAGATCAAACAACTTAATTCCGCTAAATATACGAAGGAATTAAGAAAAGAACTATTTGACACTAGTGACTCGTCAAAATTGTTGAGAGGAGCTGCAAATGATAGTTCTGAGAACATGGAAGAATATTATACTAAAATTCAAGATAAGCTTAGTGATGACATGCTTACAATGACTAGAAATCTGAAAGAGCAGACATTGACAGCAAGAAAAATCATTAAAAAGGATACCGAGGTTGTAACAAAATCTACTCGTTTAGCTCATCAGAATACGGGTTCACTGGAAAAAGAATCGAAAAAGTTAAGTGAACATAATAAAAATGCTTGCAAGTGTTGGGTATGGATTATGATTGCACTTGTAATTGCCATATTTGTTTGTAAGTTTATGAAAAACATTTCGAATGTTTTGAACATTGAACAAACTTTTTCTTTTCTTCGCAGCAATGGTTATGTTTATGAAGATCATGAAAAAAAGGAAATGAGTTGCCTTGAGTCTCCAAAATGAACCTCTAAAATGTACAAACTGATGGCTTGAATGATTTGTTTCTTACATTCTTTATGCTTCACTGGCGTACTATTGAGTACTTGCACTTTAATAAAACAAAATTCCTTTAATAAGAAATTTATCAGATTTTCTTTTGAAATAAATTTGCATTGGATAGCGTTAAACATAATTAATATCAATTTAATTTGCATTTAAGTATGCGTAAAACAATATCAAGAATAAATATTCTAGAAGTTAGGTAAGTTTGTTTGCATTTACAAATTCGTAGATTTTTTTATCAGGATAAAAATGAAGCGTTGCCTCATTTATACCATTTTTTGAGAACACCATGAATATGAACTCGACATTTTTTCTTCGGAATTTTCTTCTTTATCCTTTGCGAGAGATTAAAAAAAGAAGGTACATAAATGAAATAATCGAAATGGAGTTAGTAATTCGAATAAAATATAATTGAAACTTTCTTCCGGACTAGAACAACGCCATTCCATTCTCATTCTTAGTCGAAGTAGAAATTAACAACTAATCATATATAAAATGAGAAAAAAAAGAACATTTTAGCCGATGTAGTAGCTGAAGCAATATTTTTCCTGTGTAAAATTCTAACTTTAGTAGTTTAAGGTAGAGCTCAACTATGATTGCTGTATTGCTTCGTCGCTACAAAGTATTATGTTTAATCGGCGTAACAATAGTAATTATTCAAATCTTCCTTGGCTACAAATCAACAAAACTTGCAACAGATTCATATAATTCAGACGAATCAACAAATGAACAAAATGATCGTTTCACATTTTTGGAATCATCTTCCGTGGTAAAATCTATATATCAGGATCAAAAAGACACAGAGAACAACGAGAGATTTTCTATATTGCTTAATGAGTGGGGAGTTAAGCCTAAGTGTGAAATATCTAAAGATAAAGAAGTTGTTTCAGCAGTTCATCGTGCAAAATCGCGACAATGTAAAGAACATATTATCGATGTTGCTTGTAAAATCAAATCAGGTTCACTCTTTCCTAAAACATTGCCCAACACATGTCCAAGTGGCAATTACATAATTGAGCGATCGCTAGGATGTTATCAAGATGATAAGAAACACCGACTACTTCCCGAGTTTTATGCCAATTTCAAAGATACAAATTCACCTAAAAAATGTATTCAGATGTGTCTTCAATCTGGTTACCTTTATGCGGGAGTTCAATATTCAACAGAATGTTTCTGTGGAAATAAAGAACCGAATATTAATACAAAATTACCAGACTCTAGTTGCAATATGAAATGTCCCGCTGAGCCAAAATTTATATGTGGAGGCTACTTTACGATAAATATTTATGGAACTGGTATATCAGGTGAGTAAATGATCATTTAGATAGATATATGTAATTAAAAAGTAACATTTGTCGTTGAAGATGTCACAAAGCCTTTACCAAAAATCAACAAAGAAGAAAATGTACGAATTGTTTTCCTTCTCACCCTCAATGGAAGAGCCATACGTCAAATCTATCGCTTGCTCAAGTCATTATATAGTGTAAATCACTTTTATTACATTCACGTTGATTCGGTAAGTACTCATAAGATATGTTTTTGTTTCAAAAATTTATAAAGTATTTTTTTATAATATCAGCGTCAGGATTATATTTTTCGTGAGCTTCTAAAGTTGGAACCAAAGTTTTCAAATATTCGACTGTCCAGAAGACGATACTCAACAATTTGGGGCGGAGCATCTCTACTCAAAATGCTTTTAAGTTGCATGACTGATATACTTGAACTAGATTGGCACTGGGATTATGTTTTGAATCTTAGTGAAAGTGATTTTCCCATTAAAACATTGGATAAGCTTGAAGCTTTTTTATCTGCGAATAGAAACAAAAATTTTGTGAAGTCGCATGGACGGGAAGTACAAAGATTCATTCAGAAACAAGGACTTGACAAGACATTTGTTGAATGTGATATTCACATGTGGAGAATTGGAGAACGTAATTTACCCGATGGCATACAAATTGATGGAGGTTCCGATTGGGTGTGTTTATCAAGAAGTTTTGTCAGTTATGTTACTTTGGATCAAAAAGATGAACTTATAAAAGGACTGCTAGAAATCTTTCAATACACACTTTTACCAGCTGAATCATTTTTTCATACAGCTATCAGAAATTCCGTTTTTTGTGACACTTACATCGATAATAATCTTCACATCACAAATTGGAAGAGAAAAATGGGCTGCAAATGTCAATATAAATCAATGTGAGCTATTTTACTATAATCTATGTAAAAAATTTATTGGAAATTTTCTTTTTAGTGTTGACTGGTGTGGTTGTTCGCCAAATGATTTCAAACCAGATGATTGGCCTCGACTGCAAGCGACTGAATTAAAACAATTGTTTTTCGGTAGAAAATTTGAGCCATCGATTAATCAATTAATAATATTACAATTAGAAGAATGGCTTTTCGGTTCTTATCCACATGGCTTTGAAAATCTCAATAGTTATTGGCAAAACACATATCACCACAAAGATAAAAGTCCAGCTCCGAAAGATTCTTTGTTGACTGTCGCTGAAAGTTTAATTCGTATAAATTCTAAATCGAATAATTTCTTTCACTTTTATGAGCCTTTAAAAATTCTGGAAATAACAGATTATTGGGAACTTGAGGTCTATAAAGGATTTCTTATAAAACACGAAGCTCGATTCAACAATTTCACGGTTATACTTGAGACATGGTGTCGTCCGAGTCATCATCATGCTCAAATATCGAAATCAAATCCATTAGCAAAAAGAATTATGCAATTGGATGTAAGCACAGATTTCGATCAAAAAGAGCTAGTTTCACGAAATTTTGCAAAAATAATTGGAGAAAATTCAGAGCCAGTTCTAATTACGAAATTCTCTGGATATTTTCAGAGTAAGATTACAAAAGTGAATCTAACTATTGTTTGGATTGATTCTAGTGAAAAAATCCGCGACGTTACAAGTCTTGTTATTGAAGATATCACAATCACGGCCATTTATTTTAGTAAATCAAATTTGTTTAATGAACTTCAGAGTGGCGTATGGACGGTTAAAATTCTTTATAACAAAACTCTTATTGCTGTCACAAAATTTTTAGTTGTGCCAAATCTGAATTCTTCATCCAAAGAAAACAATCTTAGTCATAATATTATAGATAAGGATGTTGTTAACTTCTTCTCAATTGAAAATACTTGCGTATTTTTCAATAAGAGAAATATTCGGGATATTGTAATAGGCTATTTAGCTGCTAGTAATGGTGATTGGAACGGAAAACCTTTTCAAAAACTTTTAGAATGTAAAAAGACTAAATGGAGCACTTTTTCGCCTGATCCAAAAAGTAAGCTTTCGAATGATGCTGTAAATGTTGATGGATCATCGTAGCACCTTTACATGTGAATATTTTTTACCTTTCCTTTCATAATGTTATTTGTTGCTTTTGTAATGTAGATAAATCAATTGTTTAATTATAGTTGATTTTTTATTGAAAAGATGCATTAAAATATGACTACATAATCAAATCATCATCTGGATCTTCTTCTTCGTCAAAATCGTCGAGATCGTCTGGAGTGTATACAATCTTTCCATCGCCTTTATTATCATCTTTTGATTTGTTTTGAGCAGGTAAATTACTGAAATAAATATTTTAATTTAAATTTGCAATTTTTATGGGTCTCTCGTAGCTTACATCAATTCAAAAGGAAGTTTAAGATTCTTTTTTGCTTCTAATTCATGAGCAGTAAAATCTCCTATTTTAAAAGTCTCACTTAATTTCTGATTTTCCTCAAATTCTTCCACTTCTGCTGGATTTATTCGTGAAATTTTTTTCTCATGAATCGCTGTCTTTCCCTTCAATAAATCATGTTGATATACTTTTGATAAAGCGTTGGCAAATTGTCTCTTTGTTAATATTGAGAGATATGATTCAGATGTCACATATACAGTACTGTCACTTAAATACTCAAGAAATGGAATTAAAATTTGGCTTCTTATATTTTTGGTAGTGACCCAAGCAAATAACTGACTGATATTTTTGTTTAGTTTTAATTCCTGGAGTAACAGCATTAATGAAGATTCTTCGTATTCTAATTCTAACTTAGAAATCGGCTCAATTATTATAGCAGTTTTAGAATTAATTTTCCGTGATAATTCAACATTGTGAATATCTTGTTTTTCGTAGACGACGTTCTGCTCCTTTAGTAGCTGCTCAATTATATTATTAGACCTTTTTTCTAATCCGACTTCGTCTATGAAAAGCACAAACTTTTGATTTCCAACAATATAATTTGAGAGCATGATTGCGAATTAAAAACAAAAAATTGGTGTGTTTTTTGAAAACATAACAATGAGGGTTAAAAACTTATGCGGGGCATAAAGAAAATATTGAAAAAAACGCCTCGAAAAGTATGGTTCTCGGTAATTGAAGTTAATTCAAAGCCGAATTATTAATTTAAATTTACTACATTTAATAACTCAATAATAGTTTGTCGTAGATAAAATAGAAACGATATTGTTCAAATGACGAATAAAAATGATTTGCTTGCTGTTCTTCAGGTTCTCAAAAAGTATAATCTTAAAGTGAGTATTCTAATATTGAAAAATCATAACTATCGCTATTATTTTGATTTTTAAACTTAGGGAACTGAAACAATTCTGAAACAAGAAGCAAATCTAACTGATCTACCAGAAAACTTCAATCACGATGCGTCTGATAGTGTTCTACAAGCTTATCAAAGCGAAGGAGATCCCAATTCTTACGAGTCTTGTTATATAGAACTTCTTAAGTTTGTGGATTCGTCTCTGGATATTTATAAGGTATTTTTTTATTTTAAACATTAATAAAACATGATATTTAATTTATTCATTCTATATATAGTATGAGCTGAGTATGATATTGTATCCTGTTTTCGTTCATATGTACATCGAATTGGTTTATAATGGGCATGAAGAACAAGCTAAAAAGCTAATGAAAAAGTTTGGTCCTGAACAAGAGTATTATTATCAAAGTGATCTTAAAAAGCTTGAAATGATCACAAAACGTGACCAAATGAGTGGTAACGATTTGACAGACACTTTCAAGTCCAATGAATTTATCATCAGAATTTCAAGGGACACTTTGAGTCTTCTTAAACGTCATCTTCAAGAGAAAAAAGCGAGTGTTGTTATGAACATTGTCAATGAACATCTTTACTTTGATTTGTATGAGGGTGTTGCCAGGAATAAGAAACAATGTGACGCTACAGCCGGTGCAATTTTGGGCGAAGCAAGACGTCAAGATAACAAAGTGAAAGTTTATTACGGACTTTTGAAAGAAACTGACTTTCAGCAAATGACAACTCAAGCTCCGCCTCCTGAAGAAGATGATGATGAAGGTCCAGATAGTGATAAACCAAAGAAAAAGAAACAAAAAAAAGATTCTCTTTTCTCAAAAAAATCCAAAACAGACCCGAATGCTCCTTCAAGTGATCGAATTCCAATTCCACAGTTGAGAGACAACGACAAGGCAGAAAAAATTAGAGCATTGCGTGAGGCTCAAAAACGTGTCAATTTAGGTCCTGATAATCTCCCATCTGTTTGTTATTATACGTTATTGAACTCGATTTATTCAGTAACAAGTGCAGAAATAAGTGAAGATTCAAGTCTGCTGGCGATTGGATTTTCTGATTCCACAATTAAAATTTGGTCTTTGACGCCTTCAAAATTACGAGAATTAAAGCCAGCTGAAATGCTAAAAGAAATTGACCGTGATGTTGACGATGTTCTTGTTCGAATGATGGACGACAGAAAAGCTGAAACTTCAAGAGTATTCCATGGTCATACCGGTCCAGTTTATCGCTGTTCATTTACATTTGACAGATCATTACTTTTATCTTGTTCTGAAGATTCAACGATAAGATTGTGGTCACTCCAAACATGGAGCTGTTTGGTTGTTTATAAAGGTCATTTAAATCCAGTTTGGGACGTAAAGTTTTCACCTCATGGACATTACTTTGTAAGCTGTTCCCATGACAAAACTGCTCGAATTTGGACAACAGATTCTCATCAACCTTTAAGAATATTCACAGGACATCTAGCTGATGTAGATTGTTGTGTTTTTCATCCCAATTCCAATTATGTTGCAACTGGTTCGAGTGATCGAACCGTTCGTTTATGGGATGTTCTTTCAGGAAACCACGTTCGACTAATGACAGGGCATAAAGGTCCAATTTATTCACTTGCCTTCTCAATTGATGGCCGTTACTTAGTATCAGGTTCTTCTGATACAAGAGTATTGGTGTGGGATCTTGCTCATGGTCATTTAATAGCTTCACTCGAGGGACATACATCAACGATTCATTCCCTTTGTTTTAGTCGTGATGGAACAATCTTAGCAACGGGGGCGTTGGATTGTAATTTAAATATTTGGGACTTTTCTAAGCTGTGCGATGATCTCGTTGGTGAGAACGTCAATGTTTCTCATAATCCCGACGTAAAGAAAGGTGAACAATATTTATTACGAACTTTCCCCACCAAACAATCTCCATTTTTAACTCTGCATTTTACACGACGTAATCTACTTTACGGTGTGGGAATGTTTGAGAGTAATTAATTGCTATAATTTTACAAACACCTAAAATTTCACAAACAACACAAAAACATTTTATAAGATTTGTAGTGAAGCATTTAAAGATGGAGTTTACTTGAAATCTTTGTAAATTTAAAATTACAAGAGAGAAATAAATTAAGTTTAATTTTGTACGTTTTATCATGTTTTAGTGTATAATAAAATCTGTAACAGTTTCATAATAATAGTCAATAAACGATAGATTCGAAATAAAGATCTTTCCATTCCTTGAACTGCTCCCAAAATGTTAAATTTAAAATAGTATGAGGTGCAAGTCTCAAGTAGTTTGCTAAAAATCCTTTGTACAATGCCCAGAAACCTTCAACTCGCAAAGTTTTAAGGAAACAATCAAAAATGTTTCTATAAAGTAAACCTTTTCCTTTATCGTTTACGCCTTTAACAGGTAATGATAAAAAAATATAGTCACATAATTTACGAGAGACAATTTAAAGTGTGAAACAGAAAAGGATTTACCTTGATTAAACATTCTTGTGGCAACAGTATCGAATGGTGTCATAGTTATTGCTGTAAAAAGACCAGACACCATTGATGCTCCAACAGCAGTGAAGAAAATTGATTCAGCAAAGAACTCGTATTGAACTAAGAAATCTTTGCTTTTCGAAAATGTCGTCAATTGGGCTGACGATCCTACAGCAGTTCTTACTAATATTCCAGTCCAACCCCTCCATAATCCTAAAAGAAATAATTTAAAATTCAAATGTAAAATAAAATAAAATTAGAAAAACCTTTGATTCCATTTTCGTTTACAATTTTCTTTAAAGCATCAAATGTGCTTTTATGACCATGTTGAAATCCAACAGCAAATGTACCATGAGATTGGGCTTGAAGTTGAGTTTTAATCATATATAGTGGACATCCAACAGTAGATCCAAATATTCCACTAGCTCCACCTAAAATCAAATAGTTTCAATTTTTTTTCAATTTTACGTGACAGATTATCGCAAATATTCAAAAGAATTAGTTTTACCCCAAAATATACACAACACTGGATGAAGTTCGCCGTTTTGTCTTCTGTTCCATCCTAAATTATCGATTGTTTGATACGTTCCTAATCTGATACTATTCATACAAAATTGGAAAGCCAAAGCTGATACCAAACCTTTTTGCAATCCAATGACACCTTCTGCGTTTATTATAGATTTGATTGATTGAATGACATTTTTATAAGGCTGTTTCTTGAGCTCTTTTTTAAGCTGCAAGTCTTTGACTGTTGTTTTGATTGAAACTAATTCACCTTGAAGTTGTTGTCTTGTCTTTATTACATCAAAAGGATTTGAGAAGAAACCTTAAGTTATGTGACATGTTATCAATTTATCAAACTTTATCCAATATATTTTAATAATCTCACCTGCACATGCAGCTGACATTCCACCTAATAAAAAATCCATGTTTTTGTATACAAGATTTGTTTTTTGTTATTACGCAAAGACGACCCCGAAAGCTTTCAGCTACACACATAAAATAATCTTATCTCATAGATATTATTTCATCATCACTGAATTACAAAACGAAAAAATAAAATAAAGTTTTAAAGTGTATGAATGACGATTTTTGTTTACTCGTGACAAAATGTTTATTATTTTTGATTTATTTTATTTCCTCAGAATTGCATAATCAACAAATTTGAGTTTAAATTGTTATCTTTTTTTTATTAAGAACTTTAATTTCGATAAGTTATTCTTTTTAGTTTTATGTACCTACATACACAACTTACCCTTGACTTGGTTATAAATTTTTAATCAAATGTGAACAATCAAACGCTTTTTAATTATTGTAAGCATTCACTTTCACGAAAAGTGCACTAATGAGATTTGAGAATAAAATAATGAATATCGTGTGCAATAAATTAACTCATGATAAAAATATTTTAAATGACGTTTTCTTCTCTTTTCTTCTTTAGGAAGAGAAAACTATACATTAAGAGACATAAATTTAAATCTATTAAGAAGGAACAGGAAGTTATAGTCAGCTGCTCGTTAAGAATCATTCGTGAAGGCGAATATTGTCAATTTTATATTCGGAGATCGACACACTCATTATCCAGCAATTGCTTTTTTTTGTAACTTAAGTCAAAGATGATCCTGAAAAAAGTTCATCATAATAATTATAATCAAGAACGAGCGTGTTTGATTGTTGTATATTTTGTAAGAAAGATAAATCAACGGCCACAGAAACGCACGTGTTTTTTGAATTCGTGTATAAACTTATGAATAAAAATTACACATGACGAATGATGTGAATGTGTGAGTAACTTTTTGAAGCCAAAATTGTCGGCAGTGTTTCAAACAGTGTAAAAAAGTCATTAGATACGAATAAGAGAATTATTTAATTTTTGACGAGTAATCAAGTGTGTTTTCCAGTGAAAAGCGTATGATTTTAATTATTAAGACAGCAAATATAAAAAGAAGTTGAAAGTTTTCATGAGAAACCTAGATAATGTGTTAAAAACGTGAAATTGTTGAGTGAAAAAATTCATATATATTATTTTTTTGATTTCACATAATGCTGCGCGATTTAATCGCTTGGGTGCTGAACAATTACTTAGGAAAATATGTAGAAAATCTAAACACAACACAATTAACCGTCGCCCTTCTATCCGGTAAGGAAAAGTCAAGAAACTTTCATTGATGAGTCATTCAGTGAAAAAAATTAGCACATTTACAGTTATTTTCCACTCTCATCAATTCAAACATCGTAAATTCATCATTTTTTATATTTCATGCCTTGAATGAGTGTTCAAAGTTCATTTTTATATTTTCTTTACATCAAAAACTTTCGGTAACGATGATGCAATCGGTTTGTTAAATATTCGAATAAAAACGTAGACATCACACACATAAAACAAATGCAAAAGAAAAAAACAAAGAAAACAACAACAATGAGGAAAACTATTCGCTTTCTATTATGTGTATCTAAAACGACTCATGTGTTGAGTGATGAATGATTTTGCGTGAATTAACCTTCACTTGTGTTTTCAAGTTCAAGGATTTTTTCTCTGTTTTTCAACTCTTTATTCTGACGCAATTTTTTTATTATTTTCTCTTTCAAGGTGAAGTTGAACTTGAAAATCTTCCATTAAAGAAAGATGCATTGAGTCATTTTGGTTTGCCGATAAAAGCATACAGTGGATCTATTGGAAAAATTAAACTACAAATTCCTGTGAGGCAGTTTCGAAGCGCACCATGGTGTATAAGTATCGAGAAGGTTCATATAATTTGTGGTCCAGTGAATCTTGAAGAAGTAAATTAAACACAACAAAAATGTGAATTAATAAAAATGATTAAAATATTTTCTTTTTTAGTGGGATAACAACGTTGAAGAATTGTCAGAATTGCATTATAAACAGGCATACCTGGAAAGTTTGGAGGCTAAATGGAGAACTCAAAATGAGGATAGTTCCTATTATGCAAGTTCCTACTCAGGATGGATGAATTATGGAACATCTCTTATAACAAATATTGTTGAAAATTTACAATTAAACATAAAAGATGTTCACATCAGGTATGAAGACACGATAACAATTCCTGATCGTCATTTCTGTTGTGGCATATCGATAGAGTCATTAACAGCACAGAGTTGTGATTCTAATTGGATTCCTGGCTTCACAGCCAACTGGGCGCAGAATCAAGCAACATTCAAAGTAGTTGATCTTAACTCTCTGAGTTTTTATTTGGATCCACTCAAGCCTGATGATGCTCTCAGTTCACTCGAGTCAAACGAACTTACCGAAGCAATAGAAAAGTTGAAATCAGAAACAAATCATGAATTTATTATCAAGCCAGTGTCAGCACAGGCGAAGCTCAAAAGAGATCGAAGTGAAATGCCGTTGAGAACAAAAACTCGTCCAAGATTGATTTGTGACTTAATTTGGAACGAAGTTGCACTTTCGCTTAATGAATATCAATATGATTCATTGGTTAGTGGCATTCGAGGACTCGACGATATCGCCAAATTCAAAAAGTTTCGACTTCTTCAGCCCAAAGAATCTGTGAAAGAGAATCCTAAAGCGTGGTGGAAGTATGCAGCTCATTGTCATGGTTTCTTGCGCCATCAAGACCCGACAGTTGTTGCCAAGAACAATTTGAAATATATTAATATTTGTAAGCAACTTATTGTAAATCCAACTGAAACAATAACATTGAGTGACAAGGAATTTAAGGAGTCAATTGAAAAGGAACGAAGCATTGATGATCTTCGTGAACTTCGTGAAATTTGTTTGATAATTTCTCCACTTCCAAACCAAATGAAACCAGGAAATGTTCATGGAGGACGTTCGATGTTACTACATTGGTTTCCGCAATGGTGGGGTTGGTATGGAAGTAATTCACAACCACCAAGTACAACGGGCAACAACTCTACGCCTCCAAACATGCCAAATTTAGAACCTCAATCAACTTTCGAAGACGAATTTCTAAACGCTTTGAACGACACAGTTGAGACGAATTCAATCCTTAAACGAGATGCCGTCTTTGGGAAATTTCATTTCATTCTTAAAAAAGGAACATTTGATGTGAATCGTGGAGGCTTTGACAATGACATCGTTCAAATGATTCAATTTCAATTCGAAAATCTTTTATTGAATGTTGAGTCACGTCCACGTTCAGGATCACATTTTATGAATTTATCAGTTGGGTCAATTTTGCTTAAAGATCATTTGACAGTCAACACTGAATTTCCTGACATTATCAAACCTCAATCGAAAGATGAACTCAAACAAAAGACAAAACTTCAGAGAAGTCGTTTATGCTTTAGTTTAACTTCGCCACCAATTCCATTAGAGGAAGACAACACTGAGCCACTGTTTCAATTGGAGTATGAAAGGAAACCGTTCAGTTGTAACACCGATTACCGTCTTGTCATTAAGTCACGTTCATTGGACATTGTTTATAACATGGAAGTCATCAAATATATTTCCGATTTCTTATCAAAGCCTCACATTCAAGGTGCACGAAAAAAACTTGAAGCTATGAAGCACAAAACCAAAATGGAATTAAAGAAAAATTGGGAACATATGATTGAAGGTCGTTTGAGTGAAAGGAAAACTTGGATGCTTGAAATTGACATTTCAGCTCCACAAATTATTTTTGCAGAGAACTTTGCCGATCGGCAAGGATCGTCGATAGTTGTTGTTGACTTTGGTAGACTTCAAATCAATAATGGAACACAAAATCAAAGCAAAGAGAATGTAGAACGAGATGAGAGAAGCGCAAATGTTAATAATGTCGAAATTGAAGCATCTTTAAAGGACAGTGAAGACGAAGAAATGTTTATGACTCCATGTTCAACTCCACCTGGCTCGGAAATTGAAAGTAGCGAATCGCCAACAATGGTTTCAGCAGCTTCCGATAACTTTCAGTCGCCTTTATCAAGTAACGTCAAACAGAAGCAAAATTCGCCAATAAAAGTCGAGTCAGAATTAAATGAAAGCAGTTTTTACTACAAAATCTACGATCGTTACAACATCAACCTCACCGACCTTCAAATTCTTGTGTGTAAAGGAAAGGAAAGATGGAATTTTGCTGCAAGCTCTAAAGGGACATCAAACTTGCATGTTCTCGATCGTTTCAATATTTCATTGCAACTTGAGAGACGAATTGTTAACACAAACGATCCACAATATCCGTCATTGACACTTTGTGGCACATTGCCAAAGCTTAATGTCCACATGAGCGAATCGAAGATTGGATCTGTCATTAATATGATCAACATTATTTTTAATAGCAACATCGAGTCACCGTACAGATCTCCGTCTTCGTCATCGAACACAAACTCACCGATTTCTGAAGAGAAACCGATAAAAGAGACACCGATCCAAGAACCTCAGCCGGAAGTGTCTAAACTCGTTTTGTTTCAATTTTCGATTGATCAAATGTCATTAGAGATTCAGTCATGTGGAAGAAGTATTGCGGAATTGCAAGTGACGGGAGTGAAGGCAGGTTACACACAACGATCAGCTGACACCAACATAACACTTTCAGTTCATGGCTTGCTTTTTGTTGATGCCATGCAAAGTTATGGCCCCGATTTTGAGCTTCTTGTTGCTAGTCATCGACACGTTGGTATGGATAGTTTGTCTGGAAGTTTAAGACAAAGTGAACCATGTTCGCCCTCGTCTCCTGCATCACCTGATCCTTCAATAAACATTCGACCAACAAGCCCGCTTTCCATTTCAAGAGCAATCAGTTCTCTGCAAAGAGGTGAGTTTTGTCAATTCTGTTCTTTAATTTGTGTTGTTTTTATTTGTTTTTTTATTGTTTATTTTCGTTACATTTTTGTGATTGTTGCAATTGAAACTTATAAAGTTGCTTCTCCCCCTCATTGGAATGCTCCATTGGACGATGTAGATGCTTTGATAACGATCGAGATAGTCCTAATAGAAGCAGAGAATGGAGGTGATCGACTTCACATTGCTAATATTCAATTCAATAATCTCGGGATTATTGCGAACCAAGAGACGATTGTGGAATTGATTGGATTTGCGAAACGAGTTTTACCAAAGAAAAGCAGCAACAAATCGAATGTGTCGAAGAATTTGTTTGATGACAAAAATCTTCCATCAAAGAAAGAAAACGACAAACGTGTGAGAACTGAAATCACTTTTGATTTTCATCGTTTAAATGTTTTGATTCTGCGAGCTGTGATGCGAAAGAATTTTTTAGTTGCGAGAAAAGTTGGAACTTTTACGATGAGTGATGCTCGGATTCACGCAACAGTAGGAAAAGCTGTGAAGGTTGAAGGTTCGTTGGGAGGACTTCAAGTTCTTGACTTAACACCTGAAGGAGTTAATCATCAACGAATCTTATCAGTTGGCACAGATCCACTCACTGATCCACCAAATGAAACTGTTGACTTGATGACTTCGTATTCTAATGAAGTTTATGGAATCAAAACGAAAGATATCGAAGAACGACAAGCCTTGTCCTTTAAAATCACCAGAAACTTAAATGCCTGTGTTGATATCAAAATAAGAATGGGCTCGGTTTGGTTTACGCATTGTGCAAGATTCATGCAAGAACTGAATTGGTGTGCAACGGAATTTAAACATTACTTAAAGTAAGCCTCATTTTTGTATAAATTAATTTAATTTAACCATTGAAAAATTTTATCAATTTAACCATTCATAGAAATCTGGCGAAGTCAATTCGAGACAAAGCGACAGACATGGCACTTGGATTAGTTCAACCACGTCCAGGCGATGTTGTGACAAGAAATCCGCAAGATGTTCTAAATTCCCCAAGGCATGCGCGTCGTCATCGCACAATTTCTCTGTCAAAACTTCAGGAGAATTCAATCGATGGAACGACAACGAAAGTTAACATTCTGATTGATGTTGTGTTGAAGACGCCGGTTTTAGTGATGCCACGTTCAAGTAGCAGCTCTCAAGTGCTCGTGGCACATTTGGGAAAGATCACAATCAGCAATTGCAAAGATGTGTCGAGTTGTGAATTGTTAAATGAGACGATTACGAGTATGAACGAAGATAATATTCATTTAAGCTTCAACAATTCAATGGCACAAGATTTTCAAAGTGATGAAAACATTTTTGACATTCAAGACGTTGATGAAACTATCAAAGTCTCAAGCGAAGATTTTCGAAGCGACATTTATTCAATTGACATTCGCAACATGAATTTATATTCTTTAGACACGACAAATCGAAAAGGTTTCCGACTTTCGGCATTACCGCGTGCGGAAGAATTTTATTCTTGTCAAGAAGATGCAATTGCAATTCTACATGACACAGCAATTCGATTGGAGATTTACCGGACACTTGAGGCATCTGCTTGTAATAATGATTCGACGGCAACATCATTTGTGAGTGTATCGGATGAAAATCCGTCGGAAGACAATAATATGGATCAACTTATTGTTAGTGGAAGCATCATAAATCCTTTAAGATTATCACTCAAACGTCAGCAATATGAACAACTTTTAGAGACAATCGAGAATTGTTTTAATGTTCCAAATGATATTATTCGACCACCAACTGATCCAACAATGTTCCCAACGCAAGACAACGAATCAGAGTCTGCTGAAAATTTTACATTTGATAGCAACCAAAAGTTTAAGAAAGTTTTCTTCTCGCAAGCGAGTCTTGAGAAACGAAATCAGCAAGAAATGCTACCAAAAGTTGTCTTTTCACTTCCAGTATTCATCATCCAATTGAACAATAATGAAAACTCGCCTGTCGTTGAGATTTGCTTTCGTGACTTTAACGTTGAATACGAGAAACAAAATCGATGGGAAACTAATCTGCAAGTAGCGTTGCGAAGTGTCATAATGGAAGATTTACTTCGATCTATCGACTCAAAGCATCGAATAATGGTTTCATCAGCAAATGAAGAATCGCAACGTCTTCAAACGCCTTTCTTATCCAACTCATGTCCCAATCTTATGGCATTGTCTCAAAATCCATTGAAACTTTCATCATCTCTTCCTGAGACTCTCGAGACATACATTGGCGGCTTTCAACAATACGAAAGAAGACAAAAGAACTTAAAAATTGAAAAATCATTGAATATTCCTTCGTCTCGAAATTGTCCTGGAACGCCACCACCATCTCCCCAAGGCCGTAAAACCAGAGAAGACAATCTTGTCATCTATTCGAGTGTCATGGTTGATCCTGGATGCCCACAATTTGAAAGCAAATACAACTCCAAAACAACTAAAAGTTCAATCGACTTCAATTGTTTAAGCTTGAATGTCTCAGTTGAAAGTTGGTTTGTTTTATTAAACTTTTTTGGTTTAGTTTCTGATGACAATGAACCAACTGTGAGTAAATCTGCAAGTTCAAATGTTCAAGAAGAAGCTGACATGAGTCAAAAGAAGTCAGAACTGGACATCACAGTAAAATCATTGACAATTGCTTTGGTTAAGCCTGATTACGAGCTTGCAAAGGCGAATGTGTCGAATGTTCGTTTTGTAATATCAAAAGTTGGTCACAGCAAGACGGTTGAAGGATCGTTAGGTTCGATATCGCTTTACGATTTGACATCGCATGGAAGTATTTATCGTGAGAAATTCCTCACTCATGGCAATGAAGCTTTGAACTTTTTATATACACGTGAAAATCCAAAACCACCAGCAACGAGTGGGAAAAGAAGTTTGAAGAAAGACGCACAATTAAACATCAAAATGTCTTCAGTTCGTTATGTTCACACAAAAAGATTTGTGATGGAAATACAAACGTTCTTTAAAAATTTGTTCAAACTGCAAATGCCTGTCATTCGAAAAATGAAGACAAATGATATAAGACAATTGGAACAACATCGTCCTATGCAGTTAGGGCTTGAAATTTATGCTGAGTCGCCTTTAATTCTTCTTCCGATGACTTCACAAAGTGAAAAGTTAGTTGTTGCTAATCTTGGTGAATTTCGTTTGAGAAATGAATTTAAAATGTCGAATGATCGTGAGACGATAAGTGTTCGAAGAGAAAAGTATGGATCGATTGAAATTTTGGATGTGATGATGGTGGATCTTCTTCATACTGACCTCTTTGCTGGTTATCGCGTACAGAAGATTGAAGAGAGTCGTTTAGATGGACAATTTGATGACGAAAGTCTAAATTGCATCGACATGGGAACATATTTGCTTTATAAAAGCGGTCCGAGTTTATTAAAAGACAAATGTCACTTGAAATTACAAATTGAACGGAACTTGGACTCGTGGAGAAGTCACAATGTCGATGACATTAGCGTCCATGGAACGTTGTCTAAACTTGAAGCTGAATTGGATCTTCAACAATACAAACTCATTCGTGGCTTTTTATCTTACAATCTTGGAGAAGAAATCGACGATGTTTATGAGTCGTCAGTGTTGTCAAATGTTTATGACAGCACGATGAGTTTAAATTCAAGTCACGTTAACAACGACTCGGAGAATATTTTGTGGAATAATTTGTCGATAACTTTAGATCTTCAGAATGTCTCAGTGTCATTGAAAGAGTCATCAGATGTGGGAAGTGTCGCATGTGTTAATTTCATTAAATCCACATTGAAAGTTGACTCAAAGAGCGACGGTTCACAAGATATCGATCTTATATCGCAAGAAATCCTGATAACTGACACAAGATCAATGGGAAATGTTTTCACGAATATTTTACAGCCAATAACTGATCATGGTGCAATAATTCAAGCAGAAATTCACAGCCGAAAACGACAAGATAACACACAATTCACAATCCTTCTTAATAACATGAGATTGATGATGATTCTTGACTGGCTGGAGTTGACACGAGATTTCATTCTTCAAAATGAANACAAATGGCTGTCCTCGTCTAATAAGTCGTCTATATTTGTCGTTGTTTTATTCAACAGGAAGACGGAAAAAAGAAAAAAATGTCAAAGTCAAGACGTAACGACGTAATTGAAAGATTCGATCCAAATGCGAATGATTCATAGTCATTGACATACTGGTATCGACGGAAAAGACAAGTCGCATTGCAAATGACAATCCAGCTAATCATGTCACCGACTATCATAAAAAATGACGCGACAACGGACCAAACGATGACGAAATATTGAAAAGGAGTCCTGTTTGAAGAAGTCTAAAGATTTTTGATGAAGTTTTCGCGACAAAGGATAAATAATTGTCTAATAAAATAACAGGTAAATTTTGAAGTCAGCCAGATACGTCGACGTATTGAATTGCTTTGTCCGTTTGTTTAAAAAAGAAAAGAAGATTAATAGGAAAATTGGCTCATATTTTTTATTTCTGTTTCGTCTTTGTCATACAGGGGGAAAAGTTCTGATAAGACTCAAGTCCTTTCATACGCCAGTAATGCAAGACCATGGTCGTCGTGTAGAATCACTATGACAGTCAAATATTTGTCGTCGTCTGGAAAAAGTTGTGGACAGACAATAAAGAAGTTGTAGCTTCACCGCCTCTCAAACTTATAAGCCCTAAGATTGTGAGTCCAACAATCATGAAGCCTAAATTTTTGAGTCCCAAAGTCTTAACGTCACTGAAAGTGAAAAGTCGCCTGAAATTAAGAAAGTTGAGAGAAAGGGGGAGACAAATGTTGATCAAGAAATTGCAAATTCGCAAGCCAGCACGACAGATTTAAGTGTAAATAAGATCAAAAGGAATTTGTTCACCACCGTCACATACACGGGTCCAGTTTTCTGTCAATGAACTGCTTAAACGTCAACACAATAATGTCAAAGACACAAATGTTAATAATTTTGAAGAAATTTTGAAGTTTTGTTGCGTCAGCTCATTCGTGTCAAGAAGTCACAATGTCGATGACATTCGCGTTCATGGAACCTTGTCGAAACTTGAAGCTGAATTGGATTTTCAACAATACAAACTTATTCGCGACTTTTTACCTTACAATCTTGGAGAAGAAATCGACGATGTTTATGAGTCGTCAGTCAAATACTTATGAGAGCACGATGAGTTTAAATTCAAGTCACGTTAACAACGACTGGGAGAATATTTTGTGGAATAATTTGTCGATAACTTTAGATCTTCAGAATGTCTCAGTGTCATTGAAAGAGTCAACAGATGTGGGAAGTGTCGCATGTGTTAATTTCATTAAATCGACATTGAAAATTGATTCAAAGAGCGACGGTTCACAAGATATCGATCTTATATCACAAGAAATCCTGATAACTGACACAAGATCAATGGGAAATGTTTTCACGAATATTTTCCAGCCAATAACTGATCATGGTGCAATAATTCAAGCAGAAATTCACAGCCGAAAACGACAAGATAACACACAATTCACAATCCTTCTTAATAACATGAGATTGATGATGATTCTTGACTGGCTGGAGTTGACACGAGATTTCATTCTTCAAAATGAAGATCAACCGCAACAATTATCAATAGGGAATAACCGAAAAGAAACAACTGTGAACAATGGGCAAACATTTGAGTTGAAACTGAACATCACTGACTCAGAGTTGGTGTTCGTTGAGTGTACAGATCGTCTTGATTCAAATGCTGTGATTCTAAAATCAACAACAGTTCTTAATTATCGCCCTCACGAAGTCAACAAAAGCATGTCAATAAATTTAAACAACATCGAAGTTTTCAGTTGTTTATTAAATGCAGAAGAAGCGACAGCATTGTCAATCATTGACCCAGTCACAATAAACATGGAAATTCGTCGTGGAACGTTAGGAATCCATCTTCACAAGCAACTTCTTATTCGTCTCTCTTATCACGATGTCAAAATGTTTCAACGAATGCTTCAATCACTCCCACAACAAACAAGACAAGCAAGAACACGTCGCAGTGGCTCTGATTGTGTTCAAATCAATTCAAATAATGAATGCAACGATGAAAGTAATTTCAATAAATTACAAAGTCTTGGATTTAAACTTGATGATTGTAAAGTTGCTCTTGAAATATCTGATAATCAACTTGATGAAGCAGCTTTATGGTTGACACAGAATGCTGAACCCTTGAAGAGTCCACTATATCTTCAAACTTCTCAAAACGACGAAAGTCCTTTGAATGTGAGTACAGTTGAAGTGAAAGCAAACAGAATTTCGTTCTGCATTATTGACGATTGTAAAGATGCTGATGTTCCATTACTGGAATTGTCACTCACTCACATGGAACTATCACAAGATGTTAACTTCAACGATCGTTCATTGCTGAGTGGAAATATTCGCGAAGGACATTTAAAAACAGTTTTTGCTTCAGATTATTATAATCGTGCTCTGAGTGGTTGGGAGCCGATTGTTGAACCATGGAAATGTGAAGCTAATTGGACGTTCAATTTAGCACAACTGCCAACACATCAATCGAGATTAAATTTAAAAATAAAAAGCAATGAAGTGTTGCGATTAAACATGACAAGCACGCTGATGGATATTTATCAAATTGTAAAAGATAATTGGATTCAAGACTTCTATTCAGCGACATCATCAACGACAGTTCATAGAAGTCCCTTCGTTCCATTTGCGATTAAAAATGAGACAGGAATGAAGCTTTTCTTCACAACATTCTTAGCTGTTCCTGGCAGCAATAATAATATGAGAAGTTCTGATTTCACAACGAAGCGATCTTCTGCTAAAGAATGGCGAACAGTTCATGAAGGAGAAGTTATCACATTTAGTTTCCAACAAACGCAAACGAAACAACGTCACATTGATTCACATAAATCAAATCTTCATCAAATTGCAGTTCGTGTTGAAGGTTGGGCAGAAGTTGGCCCTGTGTCAGTTGACAAAGTTGGAGTGTTTTTCCGTCACGCAGGTCCTGAAATTGTCGACAATTATTCAACAACACCAAAAGCTAGACTCGTCTTTGCAGTGACACTTGAAGGTTCTGCTCAGAAATTGATTACTGTCCGATCGGCATTGAAGTTTATTAACAAATTAGATCATCCAGTGTTGATGAAAATGGAACATTTATTCGGCCATTTAAACATCAGATCGTGGCCTCCGTCAAAAACTGTTATTGTGAATACTAATGAAAGCTATTCAGTGCCTTTAAGTCATGTTCATGCTTTCTTTTATGTCAAGCCGTTGCCAATACAATTTCGTCTCGATGAAATCACTTCCAATGAAACGGGAAACGCGTCAAGAATTGAAAAGTTTGATGGTCACGAATATTGGAATCGATTTGGAAAGTTTTGTGATGGCGGAGCGTTGGGAAATTTTCAATTCACTGAGAAGTCAATTCATTGGAAAGACGTTGTGGATCCACATGAAATTCATCAAGAAATGCGAACATGTTGCAGCATCACAAACAAACTTTATAAATTAGTTTTCGCAATTCAAAAGGAAGCATATCCAAGTAAAGAGAATATTTTACTTCCTGGTCATTCGATAACACTTTGGCCACCACTTCGGCTTCACAATTTACTTCCATGTGATCTTTTATTTAAATTACCGACTGGTTCTCAAGGAAGAATTTCATCAACAAACACTGCAAACATTCACGAAGTAGATCTTGAACAAGCACTAGAAATTACAATAACTTTGGATTCATTTTCTGGTGCTGGAAACATTTGCGTTCAACCTGGCGTGACTGGCGTTGGAGATGTTGAGGTGAAGTTAACAGATGTGAATGGAAGAATTCTTGTATTGCGTGCTTTGATTCAAGTTATTCGCGGAAATGGAATGCAAGTTTCTATTTCGGCACCCTTCTGGCTTGTCAATCGTACGGGACTTCCATTAGTGTTCAAACAAGAGGGTGTTAGTAGCGAATGTGCCGGTCAATTCTTAGAGAATGAACAAGCAAGGTTAGTGTCTCCATTGATGTTCTCGTTTAGTGATCCCGACAGTTCACTGGCACTCACTGTTCGATTGGGAAAACGTTATGGTGTGAACTTACCTTGGTGTCAACCATTCAATTTGTACAAAGACACTCTTCATCGTCAACTCAAATCTAATACAACAAATGAAACTTTTGTGATAGGAATTGAAGTAAGACGGGGTCGTGGACGTTATTCACAAACCAGCATCGTTACTTTCTCGCCACGGTTTCAACTTTACAATCGAAGTGCTTACAAACTTCAATTTGCTCAAAAATGTTTCGCTACAATTCTAACTGATTCAATGTCTCAATCTACATTTATTGAAGCTGTGCCTGGTTGTCATTTACCATTTCATTGGCCACGTCTTGATAAAGACCAAGAGTTGTGTGTGAGAATTCCTGAAGTTGAAGATTGTCTGTGGTCAAGTGGAATTCCAATTCACGAGACGCAATCGTTATACATTAATGTACGAGACATAAATGGTAACATGAACTTCTTGAGACTTGAAATCATCCTTCAGGGTGCAACTTATTACATGCTTTTCGGAAATGCTGAAGTTCTTCCCCCACCAATAAGAATTGACAATTATAGCGAAGTTCCAATAAAGTTTTTTCAAAATAATGGTCGAAATTTAATCAAAACAACAGTTCGACCGCATTCGTCGATGTCTTATGTGTTGGACGAGATTAATGGATCACAATCAATATGTTTAGAAGCTCCTGGTGGTGATACGTGTAAATGTCCCCTTTTTGATTTTGAAAGTGACCGATTAACATACGAAAACTTCATTTACATTGCGTTTACACAAACTTTTGAGAATATTTCGAATTATAGCGTTGATTACGACGAATATGATGTGAAATCTCAACAACTTGTGCTTGGAGTTGTGGGGAATAAAGTTGTGTTAGTTAAAAAGCAAACTGGAGATCGATCGCAGTTGTGGCGAATGAATAATGAGAAGCAATTGGAACACGAAGGATCATCGCCTCCGTCAGAGCCAGGGAAAAAGGCTCAAAGATTTGTTTTGGATTTAGAGAAACCACCACAACCATTACAACAAATTCAACTTGTGGTTCGACCAGCAAACCATCAGCGACGATCCACCCAAACTTGGTACTTCACCGAAGACGGAAGATTGATGTGCGAACATACGAGTATGTGTGTTCAACCAAAAAATGGTTTCTTTGGTTTGAGATGCGGTACTGATGCCGTGTTAGGGTTAATTGTGAGAGACACAAAGATAATCAACAATGTTGGAGTACCGCTCGAACAAGCAATTGAGAGACAAAAGCTTCGTCCGGGATCGGGATGTTTGTCAATTAATTTTCGCATGGATGGACCTATAAAAACTCTTCAAATTAAAGATGTAAAGTGTCAATCAGACTTATCTCAACTTGCTGTCGATCCACGATGGCGACATGTTTCGCACATTTTACCAAACTCAGGAAATTATCAAGCTGAAGATTCAAACACAAAAACTCGTAACTCAATTGATGAATATCACATTGAATTAAGCTTAATAAAAGGAATTGGTGTATCGCTAGTATCTCGACGACCTTGTGAAGAGTTGGCTTATATTTCATTTGAAGACATTCATACAGAGATCATCGATACGCCAGTAGTTAAATCACTCGACCTGAGTGTTCGTGATGTTCAAATTGATAATCAATTGTTTGAAACGACATGCCCAATATTTTTATATACAATCAAAAATTCATCTTTGAATGATCCAATCGACGAGAAATTACCAGTGCTTCAGCTGAATGTGAAGATTCTCTCAAGTCCCAATAAGAATGCAATAATTTTTGAGGTAAGTTTTCGAAATTAAATTCATATGGAGTCGGTGGGGTAAAAAATTACGGAAAAAATTACGAATAAAATTTTAATCTTTTTTCAGCATTTAATATTAAGTCTACGACCACTGGCAGTGTTTCTTGAAGAACGATTGTTATTGAGGTCAGCAGATTTCTTCAGATTAGGTAAAAATACGACAGATCCGGCAACACTCCCCGATGAATCTGACTATGAAGCACAAAGAATTGTGTCACGAATATTGGCAGCAAATGCAAAACGTTTCTATTTTGGAGATCTTTCAATTGTTCCAAGTCAAATTCGTTTGAGTTCAATCACTGCATCAAAGATTCCACCACATTTAGCAGAAATCAAAAAGTCACTTGGACTGACCTTAATTAAGTTCGAAGACGCTGTCGTAACATTTGATAAGTTCTGTGATAAACATCATTTGGAGACACTCGATCTTTACTGGGCAGCTATTAAGACACACTACAAACAAGAATTGATGTGGCATGCTGCAAAGATTCTTGGATCTGTTGATTTCCTTGGCAACCCACTCGGTTTCGCTAACGATCTTAGTGAAGGAGTTAGTAGTCTTTTGAAAGAAGGGAATATCAAGTCATTGGTTAAAAATGTAACTCATGGCATCAGTAATTCAACTGCAAAACTTACGGGGACACTCTCTGATGGCTTGGGTCGTGTTGTTCTCGACGATCAATTTTCAGAAGCGAGACAAAGAATGCTTGAAGTGAGTGCAACAGCAGGTGCAAATTCAACTGGCGATCATCTTGTGGCGGGATTGAAAGGTTTCGGGTTTGGTTTACTTGGTGGTGTCACATCAATTGTCAAACATACTTACAACGGAGTTCAATCTGATGGATTTCCAGGACTTATTTCAGGTCTAGGAAAAGGAATAGTTGGAACAGTTACAAAGCCAGTAATTGGTGTTCTTGATCTTGCCAGTGAGACAGCAAATGCCGTCCGAGAGACAAGCAAAAGTTTGCATAGAATTCTTCCAGATCGCAAGCGACCACCACGTTGTGTGACTGGAGCTCCGGGAGGTTTACTTCCACCTTATTCATCTCTCAACAGCAAGGGCCAACAACATTTGTTTTCAATCAACAAGAGAGATTTCAATGAAAAATTCATGGCTTACGAGCCTTGTTTGCTGGAATCTAAAGATTCAAAGCTTCGTCTTCTTGTCAGCACAGAAAACATTTGGGCTTTCTCAAAATCAGATGACATGCCAATGGTCATTTTTTGTTATAAATTATCAGAACTCATCACTTGTAAACATATTGAAGTTGATTCCAACTCAACCTCGTCGTCATCCTCAACACATTCCAAGAGTAACAAGTTCCATTACATAGAATTGTGTCTTTCATCGCCATCGAAAATTTCCTTAACACCAAGTGCACCCGAAGCAGTTAAAAGACCGAGGGTTAAATGCCAGAATGAAGAAATTGCCAAAAAGGCAGAACGTCATGTATGTAGCATTTATATTGACTATGTATTGTTTCTCTTATAAATATTTTTACAGATAAACTACGCTAAAAGCGTCTACGACGAACGAGAACATGCGCTAATCGATTCTGTGATATAAAAACCGTCAACCATTGATTAAAACATTTAAAAACCCTTAAATGAGATATTGACAAATGGAAATTTTTCTTAATTTAAGAAACCAAATTTTATGAGGAATTGAATGAAATGAAGTCGTTTCTTTATTAAAACCAAGGTCAAATTTTAAGTTAATGTTAAGAGCTAAAAACAAACCAAAATCTTTTGATCGAAACGCCAAGTGATATCGCTCTCCGTATAAATATTTACATAAACAAACAAACAAACACACACACTTAAATAATTTTAATTGAAACATTAATCAAAGACACTTTGATAAGGCACACCTCCTAATCATCATATTTATAATTAAATTCTACTTTATCAATCAAATGATAGAAATTTATGAGATTTCCTTTTGTTTCTTAAAAAAAATAAATAAAAATATGCAAATGTTTAATTTAAAAAAATCTGATTTTTCTTGAATTTTGAAAATTGTTATTTTATTTTTGCTTGTGAAATTCAAGCAAACATATAGAAGCGAAAGACATAACTTAATTTTTGAAGAAATTTAAAGGAAAAAAGGCATCGAAACATTTTACTTTTCAATATAAATCACATCACCATTAGAAAGCGAATAATAATCGAGAGACTTTGACAAATTATCAAGATAAACTTTGATATTATTGTTGTAGGCGTCAATGTAGTAAAGTTTGAATGATTTCAAATCCATTCCTGAACATGTGTGTAGTGCGGCAATTTTATAAATCAAACCATAAAGTGTGTGGGTGGTCATAGCCAATGGAACTTTTTTACGATACATTTTTCCATTTGTGACATTTTTGAATTGAACTTCAATTGTTGTTACACGTTTCCGTTGTTGTTGTAGAAGAAGTTGATCTGGACTTCCATATTTTGTTAGTAATCTCGGATAACAACGATGGGTCTCATAGAATTCATTTAGTTTTGCATCACCTTCGCCACAAGCTGCCATGTATTCAGCAGCAAGTTTCTTCCACATTTCATACATTGCGTCATTTCTTTGTGTCTTGTCAATCTCACTTCGATTGAAAGAAAGCAGTTTTTCAATCATGCCGACTGCTTGAAGGAATGTATCAATATAAGTTCCATCACTGTTTTCTGGCACCTTCTGATTCATGTACGACAAACGACAAAGCGTGGAAAGTTTGTCAAGTTCATTGAACATATCGACTTCATCAACAATAGGATTATGACGTAAATTGAGAGTTTCAAGACTTTTGAAATTTCCCAATCGAGAAGTGTGATTGCAATCAGGTAACTTGACACTTGTAAATTGATTGTTGTTTACCAAAAGTTCTTTTAACATCGGCAGATTACTTAATTTAAGAATTTCATCAAATTGACTGATTGAATTCTCACCAATGATCAGAATTTCTAAATTTTGTAATGATTCTGAAGAATCACTCAAATGCTTTATGTCATTTTGTTTTAGAGAGAATTCACGAAGATTTGGACACATACGAGCTATTGTAAGCACGTCATTCCAATCTGATAAACCACAAGAGTTCAAAATTAATGAGTCGAGTTTATCGAATTTTAATATCTCGTCTTCGATGCTTGGCGTCATAACTCGATTAAAACTTAAATCCAAACATCGCAGAGATGGAATTTGTTGGACAATATCATTGACGACTTTCCAGTTGGCGATGCATGACGATTGTAGACAAAGCGATCGTAGATTATTAAGTTTTAGTTTGCCAGCTTGATTTATAGTCGAGTGGCAAATTGTTATATCTTCCAGGAACTCTAAGTTGCTTTGTCGTTCACGTAATTTATCCATTCCTACAACTTTCATAAAAGGAGCTGACAAAGCATCACGAGCTTGTATTAAAAGTTCATCGTCAACATAAGATTGGGGCTCGGGTGCCAAATAACGTTCCTGGATAGCTTGCTCCAACGTTTCAAACTTGTCAATTTTCTCAGAACGAATTAAAGATCCACTTTTTGGGAACCTAAAATCATATTTTCAAAGAATTCTGTAATGTTTTAAAATTTTGCACAACAGATGTTGAAAGTTCATTTAAATCTCACCTGGTTTCGAAATAGAAACATCCATTGACAGTTCCATTATGTCGTCCACGCAAAGGATCATCCCACTCAATACCTATCCACAAACCTTCATGACCCTCGACCTGTGAAAGTGAAAAATAAATAAGAAAAATGTTTTTGTAGAAAGTCGATGATGAGTCATACTGGGCCCATATAAAGAATTCTTCCAAAATCATTGCCAACACGAATTCGAGCTTGCAATTGGATATTATGGTCTGTTAAACCAACCATTACTGCAGTTTATTACAATTTTAACATTCAGTAATCACTAGATTTTGATTTAAATAAAAATTTTAAATTAATTATGAAGGAAATTTTTTTATTTTGAGATGAGCTTAAAGCTGAGCGTAAAGTGAGCACCCCTAAATTGAGCAACATATGCTCATTTTGCTCATATTGTTTTTGTTCACAAAAATCTTTCCAAATCATGACAATTGCTATAGGATTCGAAGGAAGTGCCAATAAAATTGGTATTGGTATAATCCGTGATGGTGACGTTCTTGCAAATGTAAGAGAAACTTATGTCACTCCGCCCGGTTGTGGATTTCTGCCTAAAGAGACAGCGGCGCATCATAGAAAACAAATTTTGGGAATATTGAAAGAAGCATTACGAGTAGCAAATATTGAACCAAAGGAAATCAATGTGGTATGCTACACAAAAGGTCCTGGAATGGCTCCACCACTACTGACAGTGGCAATAGTTGCTAGAACAGTCGCGCAAATTTGGAACAAACCCATTTTGGGAGTTAATCATTGCATTGGTCATATTGAGATGGGCCGTTTAATTACTGGTGCTAAAAATCCGACAGTGTTGTATGTCAGTGGAGGAAACACTCAAGTCATCGCTTATTCAAATAAGAAATATCGAATTTTTGGAGAAACTATTGACATTGCTGTTGGCAACTGTCTTGATCGTTTTGCTAGAATTATCAAGATTTCAAATGATCCAAGTCCCGGTAAGATTAATCATTCTCATTAGTGAACTTATTAATGACTCACTAATTATTTTGACAGGCTATAACATCGAACAACTCGCAAAAAAAGGTACCAAGTATATTCCATTACCCTATACTGTTAAAGGAATGGATATTAGTTTCTCGGGAATATTATCAGCTATAGAGAAAAAGGTTCTTCCAGATAGAGGCAATAAGAATCGTCGTAAACCACTTCCCGTTGAAGAAGAAGCTCATCATGAAGATTTATGTTATTCACTTCAAGAAACAATATTTGCGATGTTGGTTGAGATAACTGAACGTGCTATGGCTCATTGTGGATCGAATGAAGTGTTAATTGTGGGTGGTGTTGGATGTAATGAACGTCTTCAAGAAATGATGGGACTTATGTGTAAAGAGAGAGGCAGTAAACTTTTCGCCACTGATGAAAAATTTTGTATTGACAATGGTGTAATGATTGCACATGCTGGTTGGGAAATGTTTCGCTCAGGGACAAGAATGAAATGGGAAGATGCGACAATAACACAAAGATTTAGAACAGATGATGTTCAAGTGACTTGGAATGTTGCGGATGAATAGATTTTATGTGAACATAAATAAAATTTAAATTTTCTAATAAATTTTGGTTTTGAAAAATCCGTAGAATTAATGGGCTTTTCGCTAGTAATATTTAATGTATTGTTATTGTTTATACTGTGGTTATGTTCACTTGTTGTTTGAAGCAAAAAACAATTCTAAATTAACAAAATATTTAGAAATATTTATTGACCGGTGTTATCATTATTTGAAGTTAAATTAGCTATGCCTCGGAAAGGAACCAGGAAAGAACCAAAGAAGCATAAATCAACATATTCCATACCAAGAGAATTATATATGAAAGCTTTTGGAGAAATAAAACAAATACGAAACGAGGATGATGAACAAATACAGAGTAAATGTCATCAAAATATTTATGAAAAGTTTAAAGGTATTGAAGTTCCAACATGTAAAGGAAATTTCTTAGAAGCAGCTAAGCAAGCACTTGAAGATCGAAACTTCACAACACTCTACTTAATAATTTCCAAGGCACTTGGTTTGAGGGATTCTGTTCTCACTCAACAAATATTTGAGGTAAGAAAAGATAAAAGAATTTTGTAAAATAAAGAATATCATTGTAATGAGAATAATTTTAGTATTTTTATACCGGATTGTCTCATGATGAAAAAATCTTAGAAGCCGATCGAGAGAGTCTCTTAAAAATTTTTCTTACGACAGTCAAGCGAATTGATGAAAATGTTTACAAGGAGTATTTAAAAAATATTCATTCATTCCAAATCTCATCAGAAGAACATTGTGACCCTGTTAAGATCGAAAATAAATAGGTCTTAAGATCTCAAATCATCAAATAGGTATGTTTGAGTTAACGAAAGATTCAAAAATCAGGGGTAGGGAAAAGCATTTTAAAATTGTTGAAAAGAAATAAAAACATCGAATTTCGTACATAAATTCTATTTGAAGAGTTGAAATTCCTCTAATTCTTATAATGTTTAATATAAGGAGAAATATGAGCTGTTTAGCTAAAGTTCTTCGATATTCTGACTTTGGTGAGCCAGGCAACGTATTAAAAATATATTCGGAAAATTTGCCAGCACCTGAAAAGAGTAAACTTCTAGTCAAAGTTCTTCTTGCACCAATTAATCCAGCCGACATTAATACAATTCAAGGTACAAATATCTATAATGAAAGTTATTTGATTTCAAATAGGCAGTTATCAATTAAAAATTGGTAATTTCAGGAAGATATCCAGTGAAGCCTGAACTACCTGCAATTCCTGGCAATGAATGTGTAGCTGAAATTCTCAGTGTTGGCTCTTCTGTTAAAAATATAAAAGTAGGTGATTTGGTAGTTCCATTTAAAACAGGTTTGGGAGCATGGAGAACACACGCAATTTATGATGAGGATGACATTTTCAAAGTACCTGAAGGAGTTCCACTCCCTGAAGCAGCACAAATAACAGTGAACCCTTGCACGGCATTTCGGATGATAAAAGACTTCGCTGATCTTAAGCCTGGTGATACTGTCATTCAAAATGGAGCGAACAGTTCTTGTGGGCAAAATGTCATTCAAATATGTAAAGCTTTAGATTTGAATTGTGTTGGTGTGGTTCGTGATAGACCTGAAATAAATCAACTAGTTGCTTATCTCAAAAGTCTTGGAGCATCTGAAATTTTAACTGAAGAACAATGTCGATCAACTCAGTTATTTAAATCAAAACAATTTCGTCGGCCAAAACTAGCTCTCAATTGTGTCGGCGGTAAAAATGCTCTTGAAATGGTGAAGCATATGGATCACGGCGGTATAATGGTGACATATGGAGGAATGTCAAGAGAACCAGTTCTAGCATCAACTTCATCTCTTATCTTCAAAGATATGCAATTTCGAGGATTTTGGATGACACGATGGAAGGAACAGACAGGAAGAAGTGAAGAAGCAAAAAAAATGCTTGAAGAACTTTTTCAAATGATTATAAGTGGAAAATTAAAAGCACCTGATCACAAACTTGTATCATTCGAAGAATTCCAAAAAACAACAGAAAATGCATTGAACCTTAAAGGATTTTCTGGAACAAAGATTATGCTTGATTTTAGGACATAAATAAATTTATTTTTACTTATATATGAAGATATGTTGGAGAATTAAATAAAACTAATGTCAAGATAAACTCATGCTTTGATCATTTAGACAACTTGTTGTGTTTTTCCTTAATATTGGAACAAGCGGCGGTGGTTCTGATGATGAAAATCTTTTTGAAACAGTTGGTTTGTCAAAGAAAATTAATGGTGGTGGTTCGGTGCGAGAAGGAAAATCATGAAAATTTGAGCAACTTTGTTGTGATATTGAAACATTTTTCTGTTTCTCACGAACATCGTAGTTGATAACAAAGTTGATCATTCCATCATCGATGCAATGTGAAACTTGTTGGAGAAACTGAATAGGCCGACGAAGATGAATGTTCGCTTTAATCCAATTATGTGTTGCTGTTTCTAATATCATTTTTTGAAGTTTCTGAACTTTTTTTAAAGTCACAACAGATTTTGATTTCTTAGTGAGTTTCATCACAGCTTTCAGCATTTGTTTGTTGATAACTTCCAGAAGATGTTTTTGTTTCAACTCACCAACGGATACTGGATGCAATAGATCACGATTAAATATTTGCATGTAATTATTTATGGAATGTGATAAGCCATTAAAAATTGAAATCTTTTCAGCACCATCAGACACGAGCCACGTTGAGTCAATAAATTCACAGAGTTGAATATAATCGACAGATTTTTCTGACATCCATTTTTTTAAAGCGTCTAAGCCAGGAATCATATAATTTGCAGGAATTAATGGAATGGCTAACATCATCTTTAAACTTGACAAATGAAATAAATTTTTGTTAACATAATTCATCATTCCTTTCTCCTTGGCAAATTTAAGTATAGAATTTGCATAATAAAACCACAGCACTTTGATTGTTGCATCGGGAAACGATAATCTCAAAGCTTCTTGAAGATTTATATCGCAACTAGTTAAAATGTTATGAGGCATTAAAACTCGTGAAAACTTTTCATAAATATAATTGAAAATAGGTAAGAAATCTTCAACTGTTTGATGCTTGACAAAAGCAAATGTTATTGGATAATCTTGGTTCTTAACGATTGCCAATACTGTCAACAAAAACAATTCTTGTGTGCCATTGTCGGCAGTACATTTAATAGAGCAATCGACATGAATTTCTTCAATCTTTCCAAGTAGCTTGTGCGAATATTGATGCATGTAAATCACAAGTGTTTCATTACTTTCAATGACTTCCTGAACGTAATGTTTCTGTAATTCTTGAAGATTGTTATTATTTCTCTGTCTTAGCAATGATTCATTTTGACTTTCGATGACTTTTCGTGCTTTTGGTTTATGTTTCATTCTAGCTTTTCGCATTGTACTCTCTGCATTTTGAAAAGGATATAAAATCGAAGCTTCAGTGAAGTTGAGGGTTTCTTCTAAATAAATTTCAACTAAGGACTTTGTTGGCTTTTCAACAGCTTTTTTCGTCAGAATTTTCCTAAATTTGTCAACAATGCTAAGTTTTGATTCTTTTGCGTGAGTATGTTGATTAATATTCGTTATCTTTCCATTCTCCATGACGACCTTTCCTGGACATTTTATTGTTTTCGATCGAAAGCAGCGATAATAGCTGATTGATAAATTTATTATATTATATCTTAATTTTTATAGATACCACAAATTTCTCACCTCTTATCCTTTTTTTGATAAGCCAACCAGTATTTGAAGCCATCATAGAACATGGTAGTGTTATATTTTCCTTAAATTTTGAAACATTCCACACGAATTCAATTTTCTTTGTTTTCCCGGGAACATCGAAATAAGAAACGCTAAATTTCTTTTAAAACCGGTAAATTCTTTGCTACAGATTTTTCTTGAGAACATCCTTAGTTTGAAAAGATGTTTGACAAGCACAACAGATCGAATTTAATTGCAATAAACATGGCTTACAGAAAATGTGACCACATGAAGAAATTTGATAAAGATTTGTTGACGATGATAAGGTGCATTTGAAGCATGCAAAATGATCTGCAACTTCTTTGGTTGTTTGCGTAAAAATTGAGATTTGTTTATTCTTGTAGATCGATGAAATGATTGAGTTTATATCTGAAGATGAACTATTATCGAATTTGATCTTCTTTCCAATATGACCACTGGAATAACAACTACTGTTGGCTTGTGCTGTCTCTCGATTCGTTCCTATCGTTCTTCCTGAATTCTTTACTTCTTTCTCATACGAATTTTGCATTTTGAATAAATCAAGTCGAGCTTTCAAGGACGCATTAAATATTGGTTGACTCTTAGCAGTATAAATCACACCAGTAAATGGATCAGAAGGTAAACGACCATATGAACATTCATTTCTATTGTGCTTTTCTATAGTACTTTCATCTATGATGTTTCCAGATGGCAACACGAATGGCATCGTCAATAATTCATGCGTTATTGAGTCGAGAAATTCACCAGGAATGTCAAATTGTTCTATCTGCTCAATTTTCATTGTAGCATCATTTTGTAAAGGAACCGCCCTCCTGGTGAGTGAAGATTGAGAAGGTTCCTGGTGATTCCACAAGGATCTTATCAGTTGAATGTCAGAGCGAGAATTTTTAAATGACGGAATACCCCAAATTTCGAGTTTCCGTAAAACTGGAGCGCGTTTCAATTTTGTATTTTGAATAACAATTTTGATAACGTTTATACTTTTAATGGATTGTCTTGCGTATGGAAATATCGTCTCAAATTTCAAATTACCATCCTTTGTACTCTTCACATCTTCTGTCTTTAAGTAAAACCCATCATGATCATCATTTAATGATACATCACCGATTTTTCGAAAGATTTCTTCGCCGCTATAGTTACGACATTGAACAAAAACTTGAAATTGCGTTGACCGCAGTGATGACAACACCGAGTAAACCTTAAAGTTGAATAACGAAAGCAGATATTCGATTAAAACCTTTCACCTTCATTTACAAGTCTCACCTTGATCACTTTCAGATTTATCTTCCATTTAAAAGTTATTGTGATGGAAATTGGTGGCCTACTCACATGAAAGGCCATGAATCCGATCCTTCTTTTATCTATATCGTTTGATATTAAATTCTTCAAGTCATAAAAATCGTCACTTACGCCATCAGTTTGAATCTCGCAATTATCTGATAACTTTAGATCCAGAAAATTAATAAAATTTTCATCTAAACTCATTGTGATTAAGGACTAAAATCTAAATTGTTTTTGGGAAAATTTATATAAACATTACGTCCGCTAGGGGAAAGAGGCAATTAGGGTAGTTGTTCAATTATGATACCACTTTTTTTCAGTTTAATTTTAGCAGCTTTTAGGGCTTAACGGATATATTTATAGATATTGTAATTACTTATGTTTGAACCTTCCTCTAGCATTATGTATTAACAGATTTTTCCGGTAATCCCTAAGAGCAGTTAAAATTAAACTGAAACAATGTGGTGTCATAATTGGACGCGTTTTCGTGTGGTATCATAATTGGACCTATGTAGCTTTCCTAATCGTGGAGGGGCACGACAGAAACAACATTAGTTGCCCCTTGCTGGTTGTCAACACGACCCGGATTAAGCTAAGTAGTTTTTCCGCGGACCGGAAATTCAACTTTTTATAAAGTGGATGCAAAAACTTTTTCCGGGTGTGATAAGCCGTCCGGGTGTGATAATTACACTCTCCATCTGAAACTAACTTACTGGTGCGCAGTTTTAGGTGAAAGGAGACCTAAGTAGGAGTTTTATTTAAAACAATTCTTCGCTCTCTTCTTTTAAAATAAAATTATTTTCTTAAAAATTAAAATAAATTTGAAGATAAAACAATATGAATAATTTAAGAACATCCTTGATTAGCAGATTGAAACCTTATTCAAAGTATATTCCTCAAATTGATAAGCACATATTAAGAACGATGCTTAAACGTGAGTTTTTTGTTCAAATTATTTTTGAAAATGAATTGTCGATAAAAAAATACCTACCTATTCTTTTAATTTCAGTTTGTGTTGAAGTTTTAGAAACTAAGAAATATTCAAAACAAGCTTATGATAAGGAAGTTTTAAAACTCACTTCATTGCATCAAAAAGATGGAAAGGAACATGATTATGCTGTTTACTGTACTGCAATTATGATTTTATTAGAAACATTCTTGAAATTTCCAAAGAAGTCAAACGAAAACCTTGCTGACATCTTAAAAGAACTTAAATTTCAAGGTGATTGCGTTGAAGACCTCACTAAAGTGTTGATAACAAATCAAGAACATTTATATGAGCAATATAAAGAGTTGAAAACAACTGAACCTTTCACACAGCTTGAACATCGAATAGACATTTCAGGAGTTGACAGAGGTCAGCCACCGTCAGTGATTCTCTCATATGAGCAAGATGGAATTGGAAAAGCTGTCAATCTCTCTTTACAAGAATTTCATCAATTAAGATATATGGTAGCTTCAGCTTTACATGAGCTACAAGATTTAGAACGAAAAAAATCGTGATATACATAAATTGATTGTGATTGTCATTTTTATTCATTAGTAAATCCCCAAACATTTATATATACATATGTATAATGGTGTTCAATAAATTTATATATGATCAGTGTAATGATGTTTTCCACTTGAGTTTCTCAATTTTTCTGCTGCTTGTTCAGGTGTTAAATCCCTTTGAGGTTGACAAAGCAACTCAAATCCAACCATAAACTTCCGAACTGATGATGATCTCAATAGCGGCGGATAATAAATTGCATGAAATGTCCAATGGGAGAAATCTTTATCCATTAAATCGCCTGTTGGAGCACCATGAAATCCCATCGAATAAGGGAATGAACAATTAAATAAATTATCATATTTTGTTGTCAATTCCTTGATTGTTATGGCAAGATTATTAATATGAACTTGTGATAAGTCGTTGAATCTCTTGATCTTTGAATCACAAGCAATGATCATTGTTTCAAAAGGATAACAAGCCCAAAATGGAACAACGACCAACCAATCGGGATTTTCAATTACAATTCTTTCCTTATTCATCAATTCTTTTCTAACGTAATCGTTAAGCATTGTTCGACCGTGTATCTCGTAATATTCCCTAAAACGTTTGTCCTTTGCTTGAGGTTCACTAGGTAAGAATGAACATGACCAGATTTGGCAATGGGGATGAGAATTTGAACATCCCATAGAAGCCCCTTTATTCTCAAATATCTGCACCCATATGTACTTCTTCGACAATTCCTGAAATTCCTTAATCCACGTATCAATAATGCATCGAATTTCTTTGGGAGTCATCACTGGTAAAGTTTTGTTACTTTTTGGATGAAAGCACATAACACGACAAGTTCCTCTAGCTCCACCAGTTTGGAACAATGGATCATCAGATTCTGGTGGAATTGGAACATCTTCCAGCAATGCTGGGAAATCGTTAGTGAACACAAAAGTTGACTCATATTGAGGATTCTTCTGACCGTTCTGACGAGTGACTCCGGGGCAAAGTGGATTCGTCGGATCAAACTCTTCGAGATTGGTCTTTTGCGGTGGTTCATTTTGTCCAGACCATGGACGTTTCATACGATGTGGCGAAACTAAAATCCATTGTCCAGTCATAGGATTAAAGCGACGATGTTGATGCTCTGGAATAATATTTTATGTTGAAATATAAATAATAATTAATTTACATTTACCTGTTGCTATAAATTCCATCATTTAAATTCTACTACCAAATGAACTATACACGTTGCAATTAGCTTTTAAAATTAAACGATTTTGATTACTTCCACTCGAAAACGATTGATAAGCAACACTAAAAATAATGAAAATGAATAAATTATGATGAACTTTTGCTATCGTTCGACTTCTTCTCTCCAATGACTGTTATGAAAGCTGACGTCATTTCGTAAACAAACACTCGCATACGAACGTTTACATTTATTCTTTTATACATAATTATTATCGCTATCAGTATTGTTTCCGTGGCTGCTTTTCTGACATTTCAAATTTAGAAATCGAGTTTTAACAATAAAATCGTCCCGTGTTGTTGACAAGGTGTTCAAAATATTTGAACAGTATTTTCCTTTTATTCTCATTTATTTTATAATTTCCGCATCACCCGAAAATCACGTTCTTGATCAAGTGACAGAAAAAAAACTCGACACCACAAAACTTTTTGTTCCCTGCAAATTAATTAAAAAAAATTAATTCACTTACTTATCAAGAATATGAGTAAGTGAAAGATGTTACAAGTTTTTATTATCACTTTTAAGATAGCACAAGCCTTTGATAAAATATCTTGCATTTATTATTACTTAAAGTCAAATATAAATGAAAATTTAACAGATCATCAATCCAAACAATTTTATTTTTAATCAAACTTTAAAAATTTATTTTAATAAATGAGATTTTCTTTTGCTTTCAATTAAAAAAAAAATATTCTAATGTGGTAAAAAAATATCTTTCATCATCAGAACCAAAGTCGATTGTCATTAAGTCAAAGTTTTAAGGTTTAACGTCAACGTTCTGCTTTGCTTTCTATCGTGCTTTCCACCCATGCATGGATTTTTTCAGTGTTTTATAAGTTTATATATTTAGAGACTATAAATGCATCATAACGCTGTTAATTTTGCTGGCGGATTGTAGGTTGACAAGAAAATAAAATATATTTGTAAGAAACTTTTACTTTTTAAATCCAGTTTTTTGATATTTTTCCGCTTTTAAACCATTCATTCGTTCTATGAATTTAATTTCATTCCATGCAGTGATTATGTCTTCGAGTACGTTTTTAATTAGTTAAACGTTTATACATAAGGAAACATATGTAGATACTTTTTTGACGAGTATGGTTTGCATGTTCTTGGTTTGAACCGCGAATTGGATACGAAACAATGCGAAATTTAGACACTTTGATTCGTAATAAAAAAAACCACCAACAATTATGTAGAAAAAGTGGGGGAAATGGTTTTATATGTACATACAAACCACTGTATAAAAACTTTAATTAATAAAAGTAGATAATTGAATTTTTAAAAATTGCGGCAATTTCATAGAAGTGGGAATGTGATTAAGTTTGAGACTTGACTGACATTGACTTTATAAATGTCCATTCTTAATCATACTTTCATGTGGCGCTGTAAGATGAATTGGAGCTTTCAATGTTTGACCTTTAACAATGCTTTCTAAGCCTTCTCCAGCATAAGATACCATCGGCGAGATTTCAACTTCAACTCCATTCACAAAACCACCAGCATTTTCAATATATTTTTTATGCAATCGATAAATGTCGTTGCGAGCTGTTGTTGCACAATCTTTACCAGCGCTGTCAGCATTTTTCAAAGCACTAAATTCTTCATCTCTTGCCACTTCAACTGTTACAAAATTTTCAGCAAATTCAAAGACATCGAATACAAACTTTTCGATCTTAATGCCATTAGGTTTGTCTGGTTGAATTCGCTTTCCAGAGTTATCAACAAATGGAATCTTTTTCTTCGCAACATGAAGTTTCAAATCTTTTTCATAAGTCGAGCCAATTTTATTTAAAAACTCTGCACTGAAATAATGATTGCAAATATTTCCAGCATTAAATGTCAAACGGCCATCACTATTGCGCATCTCAGCAGTACTTTGTGTAATCTCAGAATATTCGACGACTTGATATTTTCCGTCAACCATGCATACAACACCAACAGCCTCATTCGGATGTGATTTCTCAACGACCTTTGCTGCACAATCTGCACTTTGTTTGACACAATAACCAATAAAGATTGGATCGGCAATTTTTATGAGAATATTGTCAACACTATGTGCATGAAGGGACAACACACCACGACGATTCATATCATCGAGGATTCCAGTGTCTCTCAATGCTCGATATAATCCTCCATTGCCATCGGGTGCTTTAGAAATCCGATGTTTTTCATCTAACAATATTTTCCCGTCAAAATCAAAGCATGGTAAACTGCCTTGTTCGAACATGACGATATCATCTTCAAAAAGTCCAAAAAAGTCGTGGTCCTTAAAGTAGTTCATGGTCGGTTGCATTGTGTGCTCGCTTGTCATAATGTACCATGTTATGCGACCTTCTTGACCTGTTCGAGCTTTTGCTAGCTCTTGAAGCTTTCTTATTCTTTCAGCTTGCACACAAAACAAAGACTTATGTGACGGTAAACTAATGTCATACATTCCCTTGGGATGTGCGAATCCCAAACGCGTTCCTTGCCCGCCAGCCATCAACAACACTCCAACATGGTTGTTTGAAATCTGCTTGAGACCTGTTCAATAGTTTACATTTTAAATCACAATTGAGTAAACCAAAAAAGTTAGAAGAAAGGAGCAAACCTTCATCCTCATAAATCTTTAATTGGTCCTTGTTTGTTCGACTTATCGACATGAAAGTCGTCTCAGGCACTGGCTTAAGACGATCATCAAGTTTTGCTGAACTTTCATCTATTGATGCTGTGGCACGCATGAAAAATGATTGAACTTCTTCTAAGTTTAACTCTTGAATGTCGCTTATCAGCTGTTTACGTTCGATGTCACTCAACTCTTCCCAAAATCTCAACAAATGCTCTTGGCCATAACGCGATAATGTTTCTTTCAAACTTTCAAAGTTCGTCATCTTATGAATTGAAGCTAAGCAGATACTTTTTTATGACACTCAGTAGATTGGATTTTCGCCACGTAAAATAAAATTAACAAAAAAATTTTTGAAATGACAAAATTAAAATTTTCTATCCACTCGATATCAAGAGAAAGCAGAGACTGATTTCAATCGATCGCAAATGAAACTAACAATGCCATGATGAAATTTATTTCTCGACTGTTTCTCTTAAAAAACTTGGTTTGTGTTTGTATTGTTTCTTTTCCATTATACTACATAAAATTTTATTTTCGGCATACGACGCTCCGAACATCGTTTCTGAACTTCTACACCACAAAAATATTGGAAAATTTTCACACTTTTCCGGGGGATAAAAATTAACGGAAAATTTTAGGAAAATTTTTCTTAAATGAATTTGTTATCAAATATTATTCTAAAAAATTTTATATATCATAAATAAGTGGTGAAGAATAACAGAACTGATAATGTAATGATAGAAGTGTGTGAAATTATACAAACAACTTGTTTTGAACATTTAACATTTCCAGTTAAAGTAAAAATACATTTTCAATGTCAATCGCCGAGAGGGCTTGTTTTAGTTTTCTAAATTTCCTATAAATGATAGAAAAAACTTCTTCCTTATGTATCTCAAACATTATTTAGCTGCTTAACTAGAAAACTACCATTAAATGTCAGATTAAATTCAATGATCAGAGCTTTTCTAAGCCTGATCAACGAAAGTGAAAGTCATATAAATATGCGAGGGAAAGAGAAATGTTGTTGACCTTAGTCTTAAAGTTGTTTCGTGCTCTTAAGTCACACATAGTTATATAACAATCGAAATCTTTTCTTGCATAGCTACAGCTATTTTGTTATATTTCTCATAACGGCGAACATCGACACACGCGGGAAATATATAAATAAAATGTCTAAAAGAAGTTGTTTTGCTTTTTCCTATCTGTTCTTGGGAATACCGGGGTTGATAATGAATGATAAGACAACATATGTTTGTTTGTTTAAGAGAAATTCATATTTAATGTCACAATTTCATAAAAAGTTTCGTTACTTTACATCTTAAATGCCTCAAGACTACTTGGTTTTCTATCTAAAGATACCTACAAAAATAAAAAAAGATTCTAAAAATTAAAAACTTGATTTAATGTCTTTTGTTTATCATGTTATTCTTCTTTAGTTGTCTTAGCGCACATTTAGCAGCTGTGCACTTTGCTATTCGATAGTTTCGTCCAATACCACGGAAAATTCCTTTTCCAAAGACTTCAACGGTCACGCGAACGCGTCGTCCATCAGCAAGTTTTTCGGGTTTTCTGTAAAATATTTTTATTTTTATCAAAAAAAGATTTTCTTATCATTTTTTTTGTGACTCACCCGAACTTTGCTGTCTCTGGTTCTAATTCAAGAAGTTCTCGAATTGGTGATTTTGGAACAGAACAACTGAATTGTTCTATTTCCGGGCCCATCATTTTGAAGTAAACACGCCAAACTGCGTCGAGTGACATATTCGAATCAAGGAAAATTGCACCAGCAACAGATTCAAAGACATCTCCGAGTGCTTTCGGAACTTCGACATCTTCAGCTTCGTCGCACTCATCTTCCGACATTAAATAATATTCTTCACTTATATTATGACCATTTTCATGTTGAATTCTCACAAATCGATCGATGACTTCATTTAATGCCGGCGATAAGTGACGAAAATATTTATGAAAACCATGACGCACAGCAAGTGAAGCGAAAATCGTATTATTGACTAGAGCTGACCTTAAATCAGTTAAAGCACCAGGCGAATGCTGTCTTGGATCTTCGTAGAGATGTCTTGTAATGAGATAATCAAGTACGGCATCGCCAAGAAATTCCAATCGCTGATAACAATCAGTTAATCGATTAGGTGAATACGACGCATGTGTCATTGCTTGTAATAAATATGAACGATCTTTAAATTTATAATTTAATTCTTCTTCAAACACGTCAAAGCCATCGAGCAGCAGTTCTAAGACATTCTCCGCGTCTGGAATGCAATGAAGTAACGGCGATTTAGGTGGAATCCAATGACCATAAAGAGTTTGCTTCATGATTCCATCTTCTTCAAATGGTTTTGTACTTCCTGGAATTCTTTTTACTTGCACTGGTACATTAATGATTGGCAACACTCGAATTCCAAGCCATGCCATAAATAACAATGCACCACGACCACCACAATCAATTAAATATGCTCCAATCAAAGCCTCAACACAATCAGCTATTGACTTATCTGGAATGCTGTGTTGTGTTACCAGATTATAAGGAATGAAGCAAGGATAATTCTCAGTAACTGTCGTCGGCTCATCATCGTTCATTGGAAGTGGAACAGGAGTTTGAATATTTTCATTTTGCATTTTCACTTGAAATTCATCACCATTGATTTCGAGATTCTTTAACGAAGAAAATTTGATAAATTGTTAATAAAATTAATTTCAAGTTCAACATACATCTTCAAGTTTTCCCAACTTTTCAGCACGTTCTCTTACAAGTTCACAAATCTCATCACTTGAAAGTTTCTTGATATCGGGAAGATCGGCAAGGTTCCAATAGCAAACAGGAATCTAAATAATTATTAATAATATTAACAATAAAAATGGAATTTGAGTATGAAATTTGAACTTACTTTTGCATCGATGAGTGCTTGTTCAAGTTCTTTCGGAACAAAATAACACGGTGGCAGCCAATTGTCATGTGGCTCAAATTTAGTTGCAATCATTGACTCGCCGAGAATTTTCCTTCGTCCTAAACGATAAAGATTTAAATTCGAAACTTGCTTTGATCGTAAGTAACTTAATTTCCCCTCGTTGACATTCTCATAAGTACAATAAAGATAAGTTGTAATGGCGTATTTAAGAAACGAGTCACCGATTGTTTCAAGACGCTCAAGATTTATGCCATCGTTGGCATTTGACATCGTCAGTGCTTGAAGAATAATACTTGGACTCGGTCCTGGATGGCCACAAAGATCTGGTTGATAATCGAAACTAAAAGCGGATGGATCAGGAGAAGGGTCAAGTGGTATTGGATTCATTATCCGTTTTAATTTGTCATCATCATCTTCCTTCAACTTTATGAGTTTTTCGAGATTATTTCTGATTGCCAACTTGATAACTTTTTCTTTATTTTCCGTAATTACCAATTTGTTACCATCTGAAAATCGATCGAAGAGATCACCACATCCTATCACTTGAAATTCTTCATCTGGATGTCTTTCTTCGTACATTAAATTGAGTTCGTAAAGATCATCAATTGTGAGTTGTTCTTGCTCCATCACTGTCATCACTTCATTTCGATCCAAATATGGAATCAAATCAAAGACTTCAACATCAAAACTCGAAGATAAATCAATTTCGTTCTTTAAAGCTTGGCGAATCTTTGTCGGAATAATTTCAGTTTGTTTAATTAAAACTCCACTCGATTTAATCATCGCTTTTAATTCTGTCGTTGATTTCTCAAACATTAGTTCATGCATTTCAATCTTTTCTTCAAGTTCCGATAAATTTGATTCATCAATAAAGTCGAATCCACTTGTTTGATTTTTCACAAGTTCGTAATGTTTTTCAATCGCAATCGTTTCATTGATAAAATCCAGTTTCCTTTGTCGTCGTTTAATTTCCTCTTCAGTTTCCACAGCCTCCGCTAAATGATCATTTTTAAACTCAATCTTCAATCCGTACTCATCTAAATCATCTTCATTTTCGTCTTCTTCTTTCGAACTTTCAAAGTCATCATCATCTGATAGAAACTCATCTGAATCTGATTGATACACATTTTCCATTTGCTTCGTTTTCGTTACACCATTCTGAGTTTTGATGTTCCACGATGTCGGTGAACCGTAGCGAATATTTCTGCTTGTACACAATTCAAGATTCCTTGGAAGAATGTCAAGATTCTCATCATCATCTTCGTCATTATCGAAACTTTTTGCCATTTCATTCGACCAAGTTCCAATCTCTAACAAATGACCTTTTCTTGCTTTCTGATCACCTTCCTCCAACAAATCATTCGCCGTCTTCTTAGCTTCCTCCACATCTTTCTCGCTTTCTTCCCTTTTTTCATCTAATTCTTCCGAATCTGTCTGACAAAGTTTAGCTTCACGTGTCTTCTTCAAAACATCAGCAAGAGTCCAACCAAAGTCCAACATTGGCCATATAAACTTTTCATTTTTCACTTCTAATGTACCAAGTCCAAGATCCACAGAAACTTCCATTCTTATCTCATCAGCTAATAACAATGCGTTTATCCGATACAAAACACATGGCAAGCAAACTGCTGCTCTCCAGAGTGAAGCAGGGAATGGATGAACTGTACACAATTCCGGAACAAGAATTTGTTTCTGTTCAAGATTTTCGCGTTTAGCTCGTTTTGTTTCTTCAGAACTTGTTGGCAACGCGACACCTTTTCGATTCACATATCGTGGCGTTAGGAAATTTAATCTTGCACTTGTATGATCAACATCAAGCAGCGGTTGCTTCTTGTTTTGTATTTCAATATTATATTTCTTAAAATAATATTCACGGAATGTTGAATAATTTTCACCTGGAAATGAACTTTCTGGTGTCAAATGATAGCAAATTTCAGCGACATAGAAATATTGCGGTTGATCTTGATTTCGATACCATGGCATGACAACAGCATCTCGGAATTTATTATGATCGAATGTTTGATTACTTCGCTCATCATCACTCACAAATTGTGGCGTCATGTTAACATTTTCTTGAATTAATTTAAGAAACTTCCAATCAATATCCAAATCATTATCAGCAGTCTTCTTTCGTGTTACTGGAATCACAAAGAAGCTATTCTCGTAAGCTTCGGGGTCGAAAAGCATCAAATATTTTCGTAATCGAAGCACATTTGTGAATGTGTAATTAATAAAATTATTAATTTTGTCTAATTGATCAACATCCAATGTCACACTTTCTCGTATCAACTGCAATGACACTTTAACTTCTCCTGATCGTGTGAAGATGGGAAAAGCTGATATTTTAGGAATTTTCTTTGTGGTGAGAATCCCAAAACTTTGAAGCGCATCTTCAGGGGGATAAATCTTTCTTCCTCTTGTGTTCTGTTCTTCAGGAATAGGACATTGAAGGACCATTGTGATGTGGTAGAGATAAGCTTTAGTTGAAGTCGTGGGACGACAATTTGAAAACACGGAGGCGATTCTTTTGTAATAGTATTGACGACGTTTCGTTGTTCCTGGTCTTGGTTCGCTGCTGTTGTTATCACCGGAAATCTCTTCATCACATTTATCTAATTCAAACATTTCCCAATCAGTTTCAATTGCTTTGAAACCTTCTTTTCCAATTGGTTGAAGATTGTCATCAAGCTCACCGCTTTTGTGAAGAATTCTGCATGCAATCAAAGCAGCAAGTCTCCTTGCCAGTGTGCGTGTTGGCATTGGAATGCCAACAATGTCATGTTTCATTGGAGAGTTGAGGGGAAGCCGAAGTGTGTATTGAAACATTTGAACGCCATTCCTTTCGCTCTTGCAGCAACGCCAAATGGGAGTGAGTTTGGTGAAAGTATCCGATGGAAGTTTCGCACAATATTTGTTGATGAGAGAAATTGCAGTTGAGAGATTAACTTGAGGTGCGTCTGATGATCGAATTGGTTGATATGGTTGAATTAAAGTTGCATACTTGTCAGCATGACTTAGCTCATACATTGGTGGTTCTTTATTCTCACATTTTCTTATCAACATCTTTTCAATTTCCATGTATTCAGCCAACCTTTCAATCATTCTTTCGCTACAAGCTTCAACTGACTCGTAATAATCAACTGCTGTTATTTCTTCAATTTCACCTTCATTAGATTCAACAATACATTTCTTTATTGAAGCATCTGATGTTTCACTTGAAATGCTTTTCATTTCATAGCTTTCGTCATCTTCATCGTCACTTCCGTCATCATTTTCATATCGAATCATGTCACAAATCATTTTATGATTTTTCTTGCCAATTTCCTCGCTCATTATACTTTGATGTAAGTCGTCATTCATTCCTGGTGCAATCATGATAACATGAAGTGCATTTGGAGCTTTGGCACGTCCTTTGCATTGAACGTAACTACGATAAGATTTTGGGGAATCCCATCGTACGACTAGATTACATTTTGGAAGATCAAAACCTTCTTCAAGCACAGCTGTGCTGATCAAAAGATTGCATTCGTGCATCCTAAATTTCTTTAAAACTTCTTCTTGTTTCCGATGTTCTGCTTCAGCTTCTTTCGATTCAGTAATTGGATCAGCAGTCTTATTGATTGTATATTGCACATTAAGAAATTTTAAGTCAGGATCGTGTCGTGAAACTTCACAGAACAAGCAGAAAAGTGTTTTGGTTGTAATAACCAATTCACAAAATATTAAACCGCACAATGATTCAGCTTCGTTCTGATTGTTGTGATGACGAGGTCTATGAAAGAAACGTCGGCGATTTTTAAATCGATTATAACGATAATTCTTTTGATATGGTGCTGAGTTCAATGACGGTGTTGTCTCTTTTGTTATTTTATTGAGAGATACTTTCAAGTTTTCCAAATCTTCGCCAATCTTTTCGATTCTTTCCGATGCTGTTGTCATCATTTTAGAGATTGATTCAGTGCTTAAATCTTTAAGTAACTCTTTACACGCTGACGAATGACACTTTTCATCATTTTCTAAATGATTTTCTTTCTTAACTTTCTCACGATGATGATTTGACTTCTCTGGTTTGAATAGTTTTAATATTTCGAGGATTCTTGATACTTTCGGTGTTATGTAAGTTTCAATTCTCTCCTTTTCAGTTTTCATCTCTTGGAATGCTAGGTCACAAAAGGAACGAACTTGGATGAGAGTTGTCGATACTAAGCACAACAATAAAAAATGACGTTCATATGGAGTTTTCACTTTCTGCTTTTCAATGTGCATCAACAACATCAAAGCTGCTTTATCAGCACAATAAACTCCGAGCTCATTGAGTATAAAAAGAAATTCATCGATGCATTTGATTGGTTCATCTTTTGGATCTGGAATATTTGCAAGCTCGTCTTTAAATTCTTCTCCACCATAAATTTCTGAAGGATCATAGCGGTGATCGAGGATATAAGCTTTTCTAGTGAGCATCAAATTTCTTATGTAACTTGCTAAATCATTATCTTTCGGCGCACTACATTCTGCAAGAATTTCAATTGGCTTCAATGAATATCTAGAAGAAAATTAATTAGCACTTGAATGTTAAACATTAAATAAACAAAGCTTTACCTAAGAACTGTGACAATATCGCTCGCTGTTTCAGCTTTTGCCATCATTAATGATTCGAGATGCTCCAACTCTGCACCAAGTCTTCCTGGTTCACATTGCGCATTATGAATCGGTCCAGCTAATCCAAATATTTTCGGTTTCTCTATGCAATGCTTGTAATATTTTAAAAAGATTTCAGTAATGTCAGATTTTCTTGTTCGACGGTGGCAATCATCAACAATTATAAGATTGACGCAACTAAGATCGAGATAGGAACATTTAAGAGCGTCCAAACATTGCTGCGTTTCAAGAATTACAACTTGATAATCTGTGAGATTGTCCCAATCAATAAGATCCTCGTTTAAGTCGTTTAAATTGATGACTTTGAGGTCAGTAAGATAATATATGAGATTGTATGCTGACGGGCTGCTTGTAAGGAATAACGAGATCTTCTTGTTTGGTTTGTTTCTAAGCTCATGACTCAGTTCTTGAATTAATTTAAGTGCACAGAATTCTTTTGCAGAGTTTTGAGTGAGACAGATGATTATATTACGTTCTTTGGCAGCTGATAACAGCTCTACTTGATAGTCACGAGGCGTAAACGATATCGCAGAGATATTTCCTTCATAGAAATTTGGCGGAGTCATCTTGAAAAAAAAAGAAAAATCTTGACATATCGTTTCAAGCTTAATCATATATATAAAATCCTCACGCTTAATGGTTTGAATTTTTTTCCTATAAGTTTTTTAAGTCACTGACATCTTAATTACTATATAATTTAACTTTTAAAAAATATTATTTGAGAGAAAGTATCAAATTAGGTTTAATTCCGATTTTTTCTTTTTCTTCTGTTTATTTTTCGTTTTGCGGTTTTGCCGACGCTCAGCCGTAGCGGTGAAAAGAGAAAAAAGTAAACAAAAAAGCATGCACACAAAATCTTCAGCATAATCATTAATTATGGGAAAACATAAAAAGTTCTTGAAATCCGAAAAAGCAAAAGTAAAATTGAAGGGAACCAAATTAAAAGCACCTCAAAATGTAACGAAAACAGATTTTAAAGTACGTAAAATTGTCATAACCGAACAATTGAGAAACGTGCAAGTAAAGGAACCTGGAACAAGAAAAATTCACAGTGTTAATGATTGCCTCGCCAGGTTGAAGAATTCATCATCTGCAGAAGCTATCAGCAACTTAAAGGATATCATTCTCGGACAACCTGAAGACTTTCAAAAGCATCTTGAATCAATAATTAAAGTAGTTGCAAATTTATCATTGAGTATAGAGAAAAACGATCGTAAAGAGTGTTTTAAAATACTTGACCTAATATGTGCTCAAACAATAGAACAGAATATGCGACCATTCTTTCCAATATTGGTGACCTTTCTGAAGTGTGCGTTGACTCACATAAAGCCAGCAATTCAACAAGATTCACTCTTGATGCTCGATGTTCTTCTTAAACATGCACCACAATTAGTCGCATCTGAAAAAGATAATATTCTTCGACCATACTTGGATATGGTTTCAAAGATGAGATTTGAAGAAAAGCCTGAAAGAACTCTTTCACTTCAGTTGGGGAATAAAATCATCAGTATGAAGTGGCGGAAAAGTGTTCTTGAGCGTTTGATTGTCTTCCTCAAGTGCATTGCTACACAGGATAAGGAAAATCAAAAATGTGCTTTAATGTACCAATCTCATCATATTCCTGTAAATCAAAAGTAATTAATGAACATCTTTATTTATTAATACGCATTAATTAATTAATTTATTTTTTTAGAGATGAATATCTCGGAAATCTTTACACACAACAAATTGAATTATATTTTCAAAATAATATTCCAATATCAGCAATTGAGAGACATCTTAAGACAGAAAACAATCAACAAAATGCTTCTAACGTGAAAATATCAAAATACATTGATATGATTATGCCACTTATGTTTGAGACTTGGGTGGAATTAAAACCGACTCAAAAGTCATCGGTTGATAACGAAAATTCTACATCAATTTCACATGAGGACAGTATCATGTTGAGAATAATTATGGATATCATCACAGAATTGTTTCGGATGATTGAAAGTACAAATGATGAAATGAAACAAAAATTTCTGCAGAAAAATTTAGAGAAGTTTGAATTACATTTCGTTTCAAGTTTCCCTTATTATCAAAATGATTCAAGTCCAAATTCACAAGAATCCGGAGGACCACGATGTTTATATCAAAACCTTTCAATTAGTATCATTTACCTCGCATTTGTTTCAAAACACAGACAAAGATTTTGGAAACACCGGCAGAGAATCTTTGCATTCGTGAAGGATTGCATTTTGAAATGGAAGTTGAAAGATGTAGAATTCAACAAACTTATGAAAAAGTTTATTCGTCTTCTTTTTTCTAACGAGGTTCGAAAAGTTCTCCCACACGAATCAAAAGAAATCTTTGACGAGCTCATTCAGAAATGCAATGCTGATCAATCTTCTTATGATCCGAAACTCGCACTTGTATGTGAAATTATTGAGAAAAGCAAAAGTGACAAAAAGGCTTCAATTTATGCCGAACTTGTTCCACAACTAGTTCAAGTTCTCAGCCAAAAAGAATTTATTCCAATCCATATTATAAAAACAGTATCAACATTAGCGAAACAAGGAAATCAAGTTGTATACGAGAACTTGGAAAATACAATTTATGACATAATTAAACATCTTTTGAGTGGCGTGAAAATATCTGGAAGCTTTGATTCTGTTCCTCACACTTGGAGGCATGAAATCGCTAATCTGATTTTCTGGGTGAACGACAAAGAAATTCTTACAAAAATAAATTTAAATCTTGGAAACGATCCAACTTCACGTTATATTCAAGAAATAATTAAATTAAAACTCAATTCATGTTAGTCATACTGAAATTTATTCAAATTATTTTCTGTATAATTTCCTTGAGCCGATAAACTTTCGTTAGACTCGGCATGGAAACTTCGGACTTGTGAAAAATAAAACGGCGGGTACTTTGTACTGGAGCGAAGGTCAAATTCTGAATTTAATTCTTCTCCATTACGGCAATGGATAATTTCATAATGTTTCCAGGTCAGCTTCGAAAACTTCTTCTTGACAGTGTTGTGGATGTCAAGTTCAAGGAAAAATGTCAAATTGTCGTCAACTGCGATAGTTTTTCTTTTGAATTTCTGGTGAGATGTTTGTTGTTTTTTAATGACAATGACGACGGTTGAATCTTGATAGTGATATTGTCCTTTCATAATTTCCCGAGATTGCAATGCGTTTGAAATATTTTTCAATCGATTAACACTCATTTGTAGATCGTCTGCTGATGTCATCATGAGTAATGATCCATTAGGTAGGAAACGTATCAAGCGGAAATATTCAACTATTTGAAGAGGTCGATAAAATTGATCTTGAAATGAATTCTCTCCATATCTTTGATAATTAATCTTACTAATATAGCAGCCATTGAAGTTGACCCGAGACCGAGTCATAAACATTTCACGCCAAGTTGATGATGGTGAGATGTTTGATCCCCACACTTTCGTGCATGCAAGTTTCCAAATTTCTTGATCACGAGAGAGAAGATAAAATCCTTTACAGACTCTTCCAAACCTTTCCAAACTTTTGATGTCTAAGTCATTGGAAACTAACCACTTGAGGATTACTAGAAAGACTTCAACAGGCAAACACGAAATGTGAAGATTTGTTGAAATCACTCCGGGACCAAAATTTGACTCACATATTGCAACGTTATTAAGAGATAAATCTCTTTGAAAAACTTCAGCAAGATTCTCAATAGTTTCAGTATTTTCATCATTTTTAATTGTCTGAACTGTATTGCTGTTTGCCTTTTCATTTTTTTGCTTTTGTTGAGAACTTTGACTGTAGATTTTATATTCAATGTCAGGATCGAGTTGAATTGCTCTTCTGTAAAGCCTTATTGCATCGAAACATTTTCCTTTCCGTTCTAAATCGACACCTTGCAAAAAGTAAGTTTTTGCTTCGTTACTGTTATCTTCTTCTTGAGAACTTCCTGCTTGAACTCCTTGATTAAGCTCTTGTCGCCATTGATTTCGAAAATCACTCAAAACCTGTTCGTTGACAATTTCCTCTCCATTATTTTCCATTTAATATGTATTAATATATTTAAAAAAAATTTCTTTTAATCTAAACCTTAAATTCAACTACCTATGTTGGTATATTGCATTCAGAAAAAATTTGTAAACAAAACTAAAAGCTGAGCGAAATTTAAAGTTTTTCTTTCCGTTATAAATTTCGTTTATTTAGGTATTTATGTATATCAACATAAACTTAAGCATATTATATGAATATATGTTCATTGCATTATTGGTTAATTATACTTGATATAAATGTATTCTTGTTAATAA